ATCCATAATATTTAAAACCTTATATTCCCTTTGGACATTGTCAATATAGTCCACGATTGACCCAAAGAGCCTCACAACCCCCCCTCCTAGAAAAAGGGTCGACCCTTTGGGTTTGCCTCGCACCAATCACGACACCTCACTCTAAACCGAAGGGCTGTAATCCGCTTCGATTTGGTCGGATGGGCGGAGGCTTCGGGCTACAAAGGGTCGATACTCGAGGACCTTGCGCCCTAAAGGGCCGCAAGGATTAAGCGAAATTTTAGTCGTTCGCCCGTCCTTGGATCGAGAGTGCGTGATCGACGATGATTTGTAAAGATCGCGAGTCGAGAGACATCGAAATGTTTCGTGTGCCGCCGATTTGTTTGGACGGAATGCCCGAGATTATTTTGTGTGAGTGTGAATTTGAATCTAATAGTGACAACACTGTAACTTAGTAGGCCATGGAAAATGAGAATTAATCCTGTCTCTGTCTAGCCAACCTACGGAGCAAAAAAATAACATATTTGTCAAGAGGTTCATTACTATTGGTCAAGTTTCAGCCCCCTCTACACTATAAAGTGATGTTTTGTGCACTTGGCCAAACATAAAACTGGTTACCGGCAATCAAAATTGTTTAGTGTGAGTCAGGCTTAACAACAAAAAGTCTCTTCTGAAAAACTTGGGTCAGAAAGTTTTTGTAATGTCAAAGGTGAACAAAAGTAAATGCAACATGTTTTTATGTTAAGTTTGATTTACAGCGATTTCCATTTGTAGAATCAGTGCAAAAAAAATGTATCGTTTTCCTTATATTTTACATGCTTCTAGAAAAAAATGCGGATGATACACTCAGTGCGCACTTTTTGTCAAATGGAAATCGCCATTAAAGATAACACTGACTTGACTTTTTTTGTCATTTTTGAAGTGATAAAAAAGGTCGATTTACACAATACAATACAATAGAAAAATGCGTACCAGTTTTATGATTGTGTACTTTGTTGTGCAGTGTAAACCGAACTGACCATCTCCGCCATGTTTGCTCCGTAGGTTCGTAGGATAAAGTGATTTATTTTTTAGTAATTCAGAATTTCTAACTTTTCGCTAGCTTAGAAAACAAACCTAGAAAGACTATTTCAAACGAAATTGGTAGTAAGATATGAAAAATGGACTAAATGTTTTTCAGTTGGCAAAACTGAAAATTTTCGGCTCAATACCTGAATGACAGATCTAAGTAGGCCGTGTAAAGTTAATGTAGTTAGTTTAAATGTATTCAAGAATACGAGTTTAATTGTTAACAATCCAGAGTTGGGATCACGACAAGTAGAATTCTACTTTCATGACGTCACCTGCGTACAGTGCAGGCAATGATGACGGTTGCTAAGCAATTTGACGTCATAGAAATAGAATTCTAGTAAAATTCTATTTGTAATCCCAGTCTTGAGACGAGACTATTGTCATTACCAATGGCGGCTCGGGGAGGCTAAGTCTTCCCCAAAATATTGAAAATTCAATTTCAGTTTTTTATTCCTGATTCCTAATTAAAATAATAATTTACCGGCCCGAAGGGCCGGAGTTATACGCGAGCCCGAAGGGCCGGAGTTATATACGAGCCCGAAGGGCCGGAGTTATACGCGAGCCCGAAGGGCCGGAGATATACGCGAGCCCTAAGGGCTACAGTTAAGCGTCATTCACATCCACTTAACTTAATTTAACGCACGGAAAATTATAATTAACGTACGAAATTGAGAAGGTGTCTGTTTACAATGACGTTAATTTTCTTATGTGATGCATGCGTACTTATAACCTCAACTGTCAAGTCAAATTATAAGCCCAGAACTAGAAATTAACGTACGGATTTCTTTATGTTGAAGTTGGCCCAACTTTTCCGTGTGTCACGTTAATTTTTTAAACTTTTTAATGGATGTAAATAACTAGGTATAGCACATGATCTTCAACTTTTCTTTATTGTAAATTTTCCGTACGGAAAAATCAGTTAAGTTGATGTAAATGACACTTCATTTTAATCACGGAACCCAGTCTATAATTCTATTGGTCAGCGAATAATTTGCCCCAATCAAAAATCGGGAATATTCAAAATGTGATTTTTACTTAAAAAAGTTAGCCTTTTTGGCAAGGTGGCACATTTCCGTTTGTGTAGATGTATGTACAGGGTGGGCATTTTATTAGGGGCCTATGTCTTTTCTCAGAAACTACAGGGTGGTTTTAAGCAATGTTGTCAATTATTTGAGTTTTATTTATACAGGGTCTCCCAAAAGTGCTGCATCGATGTACAGAGTGATTCATTAAGAATGGCACTCGGCCATATCTCAAAAACTATTCATCGTAGTCATGTCGGAAAAAAATTATCCCATAAATATGGCCAAGAGAAAATGCTGGAAATATATTTCAGCTCTCTAAAATGTCCGTAAGGGGGCGTAACCCAACTGTCAAAGTACAAAAATGGTTTTATTTTTTAAATTTCAAATGGAAACGTATCTCAAAAATGCTAGCAATAGATTTTTGATGAAATTTCACACAATTTTGATTCATGACTTTTTACCATAACTTATCGGATAAGACAGTTATGAGCTGTCAAATATTGCAACTTAAGAACACGAATAACTTCAAAACTACTCAACGAATTGGGTCAATCTTAGGTTCGTTGGAAAGACAAGAGTCTGTTCTTTAATTTTATTGTAAAAAATTCCAACTTCAGTTTGTTGGACTGACTCTATGGGTGGATATTTGAAAACAATTTTCTAATTTTTCTTGAAATTTTCAAATGGAACGGTATATTTAAGATATGTTCAATCGATTTTTGAGGATGTTTTACACAGTTTTTCTTTATTATACCTTCCTACAAACGAATTCCAGAGAGTGTTAAATTTAATTTTATCAAAAATAATCAATATTTATGAAAAAGCCCTCGTAAATAATGACTTTGCTTTTCTGACAGTTGATTGTCATCATTGATGAATGTCAAATAATGGAAAAAGTGCGTTAGGAAATTAAATTAGTAACTATAGTATGCAATGATCATGTAATGATAGCCATTAATACACGAGCATGTTGTAGGATACGAAACTTGAAGAAGAAATACATATTTATTTTGAGAATAGTAAACTACTCAAGTGGTGGTGCCATCTATTAATAATTTTGGAAATTAAAATCTAGACGTCATTTCCGCATAAATTCGGCACCCGCGTACTGTGGATTTATTCATTTTTCATTCTGCTCTTTCTGTAAATACTAACAAAGATAATCCAAAACCAGTCTATTATTTTTTTTATAAGCATTGTCCATTTTCAAAATAATTAGATTTTAGTGGCTGCGATTGCTGCATTTCCATTGCATTTATGCAGAACCTCAAGGATGTCCTGTGCTTCTCTATTTGGGAAATGCACTTTGACTTTAGAAAATAGCGTTTGAAGTTTCAAAAATGTGTCAGCCTGACATACTTAACTGGTATCTGCTCAATTTACGGGGGCTTTTTCATAAATACTGATTATTTTTAATAAAATTAATTTTAACACTCTCTGGAATTCGTTTATAAGAAGGTATAATAAAGAAACACTATGTAAAACATCCTCAAAAATCAATTTAACATATCTTAAATATACCGTTCCATTTGAAAATTTTAAGAAAAATTGGAAACATTCAGGCTCGCGTATAACTCCGGCCCTTCGGGCTCGCGTATAACTCCGGCCCTTCGGGCTCGCGTATAACTCCGGCCCTTCGGGCTCGCGTATAACTCCGGCCCTTCGGGCTCGCGTATAACTCCGGCCCTTCGGGCTCGCGTATAACTCCGGCCCTTCGGGCTCGCGTATAACTCCGGCCCTTCGGGCTCGCGTATAACTCCGGCCCTTCGGGCTCGCGTATAACTCCGGCCCTTCGGGCTCGCGTATAACTCCGGCCCTTCAGGCTTGCGTATAACTCCGGCCCTTCGGGCTCGCGTATAACTCCGGCCCTTCGGGCCGGTAAATTATTATTTTGATTAGGAATCAGGAATAAAAAACTGAGATTGAATTTTCAATTTTTTGAGTGAGACTTAGCCTCCCCTGCCTCCTCTGACGAGCTGCCCTCCTTAAAACGTAGCAACCCTAGTCTAAAAATTTAGTAACCCTAAAGGTACAGTTTGTTAGGATAGTACGCGACGCACAACTGACAACGTACACGTCGTCATTGGTTCAGGGATGACGTACACCCGTTTTCTGATGCTGACGCTGACGTCAGAAAACGGGTGTACGTCATACCTGAACCAATGACGACATTTATATTGTCAGTTGTGCGTCACGTACTATCCTAACAAACCGTATCTTTATTCTTTACGCAATTTAACGTTTCAAAGTAGACCCTGTAGTTTTTAACAGTTAATTCAAAATGGCTGGGTTGTTTCCAAAACCTACTTGATTTGATAAATTTTTTGCTTATAGTTATCTGTATTACCGACATCGATTAAAATCTGGACTGGGATCACGACAAGTAGAATTCTACTTTTATGACGTCAGGTTGCCTAGCAACAGTGATCATCGCCACGATAAATAGGTCGCGGGTGACGTCATGAAAATAGAATTCTACTTGTCATGATCCCAGCCCAGGATTTCTTCAAGGTTCACTCAGTTTTTGATAAGTAGTAATCTTATTGCTTGACATAAATGATATTTGACATTTTGCCAAACAGTATTGCCGATGTTTATATAATTACTGTTATGGAAAATTTGAAATTTGCAAGGTTTTTTTTTTGTATAAATTCGAGCCTCAATAATTGACACAATATTTGTTATAAATTGTAGTTGGCCACACTGTTTAACAAGGGACAAAGTAGTCTTTGCAAAATTTTAAAATTTAAATATGGCGCCCTGTAATACCGACATTGCAATACATACATGTTTCCAAAGCCTACTTGGCTGGACATTACCGTCATTGACTTGTTCAGTCAAGACAATTGACATTTCGATTACAGCCTCTCTACCAAATAATTGGTAACCCTGTCTAAAATCAAATTTTGTTTTTTTTTTTTTCAGCTACAATTCCAAAGTGCGGCGGCTGTCACGAACTAATCCTAGACCGGTTCATCCTCAAAGTGGCCGAGCGCACGTGGCACGCCAAGTGCCTGCAGTGCACCGACTGTCGCGTGCAACTCACCGACAAGTGCTTCGCCCGCAACGGCCAACTCTTTTGCAAAGAGGACTTTTTTAAGTAAGTATCAAATCGTATGCGTCAAAATCGTTTCGTCCTTGTCTTATTCGCACGAAATTGTATATTGTTTATGTTTTTATGCTGTGGGTGCAGGCGGTTCGGCACGAAGTGCGCCGGATGCGAGCTCGGCATACCGCCGACTCAGGTGGTGCGCAGGGCGCAGGACAACGTCTACCATTTGCAATGTTTCGCGTGCGTGATGTGCGCAAGACAGCTTAACACCGGAGACGAGTTTTATTTGATGGAGGACCGGAAGTTGGTGTGTAAACCCGATTACGAAACTGCCAAATCGAAAGGTAAGAATTTTTGACAGCAATTTTTTGTCTTCATTGTAAGTGTGTTGAAAAGAGATGCATTCAGTTGCACTTGACATCTGTTAAAATATCAACTAAAGGGAGGGTTTTCATAATCATGAAAAGACAAAGAGATTAGGAGTCAATTGAAACACATCTTAGAGTAACTTATTTATTCATTTTCTTTAAGTGTGTCACATTTTCTCTCCCAATCAGTCAGAGACAGATAGATATATGTTTCTCAAAGTCGTTTTTCCTCTTCTTTTTTTTTCCAAAAATACATCAAAGTAGGCAAAACTTTGACACGAGTCATTCATCATTGATGGTAGTACTTTATTTGCGAGACAAAATTATGAAATATTGTAACTTTGACTATTGATTTCTATAAAAATACAACAGACAGAGATAATAAAATGGACGATTATTACATAAATTGTTTTTTTTTTCTAATTAAACTTATATATTTTTCAATAAAAAAAAACATTCCCAGTGGTACATACACACAAGTGGCATTATTAATATCTGCTAATTCAATCTCATTATAACACATTGTTATTATTATTTTTTGCCTTTCTCTTTTTTTTTTTCAACAATAATTACGATTTTAAATTGTCGCTGGTATTTTAATGGGTTTTCCCAGAAGCGACCGCGCTCCGGAGATATAATTAGTCAACACCATACACGTTTTCACGATATATTCAAATAAATTTTAATAAATCAAAAATAAATAGAAAGCTTCATTGTATATAGACAATAAGTATGCAATTGAAATTAGCATATAACGCGCGAGCAACACGCATTTGAGCGGGAATCGCATTATCCTAGGTCACCTTGGCCTTACAATTACATATTTTGCAAATTCTTGTTTTCGATATTCTAGATTCTATAGCGATTTCGATTTGATATTATTCTTGTGCGTATTTTTTTTGACAGTTGACGTTCACTGCATTGTTTATCTGTCAATTGTCAAGTTATCAAATCGAAATCGCCATGTAGAAAGTTAGAGAAAATTTATTAAAAAGTTTTTCCTGCCTTTTTTTATTTGAAGTACCTCAGTCCTTGTCTTTCACATGCTGACAGAAAAAGATGCAAATTGTATTCGAGTCAAAACTTATTACCAGTTCCAAAAAGCATACGTCTTAGTAGGCCATTTAAAATTATTATTTTTGAATTGGTGAACCTGAAAGTTTTCAGTTGGCAACGCTGTTGGTACCTATGTCAAAAATTTATGTATAACAATGACGTATCTTATGGCCGTTTGTCATTTATCCAATAGAAATGTCACTTCATGGAATATTTATCGTTAAGGCTTCCTCAAAATGGTTGGTGCAAACCGCCATTAGTAGGCCATGTAAAATGACATTTAATTGGTATTATTGTTTCAAAACATTTTAGCTGGCAACACTGCTTCTAAACAAACTATGTAATATAAGTAGGCCATGTAAAATTATACAAAGTGTATATTTTAAGTGATACCACTATTACTGTATCCGAATCGGTTAGAGCTACAAGGTCGGTTAAATTAGAAAAAAGTTGCCTTTTTTGATGTCTATTCAAGAATTGTTTACAGTGTTGCCAAATTCCTTTTAGTTTATGAAATACAGGGTAATTTCTGAAGAAATATTTCGAAAACTATTGATTTTCGCTCTACAACATGGCATTTTCAGTAGTTACATACATCTTAGTGAGTCATGTAAAATTGAATAAATTTCTTTTAATTGGTAAACTTGAAAGTTTTCAGTTAGCAACACTGTATTTCAAATGACATACTTGCCATTTTCATACAAGGAAATATCACTTCAACCAAGGTTAGGTTACCTAAAAACTTTTATGACGTCATCTAGAGTGCCTAAATTATCCTAAACATAATGCAAATTTCCATTTGGCACCATAGATGACGTTATCTGTTTCCCAAACTTATTACCAACAGCAGAAAAAGAAAGAGATAATTCGGATTTGACAGTAACCTTGGTTTTCGCGTTTTGACTTTCCTTCAGCTTAAAAAAGAATCAAATCAATTGGTAATTACATACATCTTAGTAGGCCATGTGACATTAAATAATTTTCTTTAGTCGGTAAACTTGAAAGTGTTGGCAACACTGTATCTCAAATGACATACCTATCTTATGGCCGTTTGTACGACGCACCATTTTTTGCCCCCTTCACACTGCACTGAATTTTGATTTAAGACAAATAATAAAAAATAATTAATTAATGTAAACTAGGCCTTAATTGTGTTGCTACAATATTTATTTTTAAATGTAAATAGTACCATCAAAGCCCCCTTCACACTGCACTGAATTTTGATTCAAGACAAATAAAAAAAAAAATATATTAATGTAAACTGGGCCTTAATTGTGTTGCTACAATATTTATTTTTTAATGTAAATAGCAAAATTAAAGCCCCCTTCACACTGCACTGAATTTTGATTAAAGACAAATAAAAAAAATAATTAATAAATGTAAACTGGCCCTTAATTGTGTTGCTACAATATTTATTTTTAAATGTAAATAGCAACATTAAGGCCCCCTTCACACTGCACTGAATTTTAATTTAAGAAAAAAAAAAAATAATTAATTTATGTGGACTGGCCCTTAATTGTGTTGTTACAATATTTATTTTTTAATTAAAATAGCAACATTAAGGCCCCCTTCACACTGCACTGAATTTTGATTTAAGACAAATAAAAAATAATAATTAATTAATGTAAACTGACCCTTAATTGTTTTGCTACAATATTTATTTTTTAATATAAATAGTAACATCAAAGCCCTCTTCACACTGCACTGAATTTTGATTTAAGACAAATAAAAAAATTAATTAATTAATGTAAACTAGCCCTTAATTGTGTTGCTACAATATTTATTTTCAAATGTAAATAGCAACATCATGGCCCCCTTCACCCTGTACTGAATTTTGATTTAAAACAAAAAAAAATTAAATAAAATTAATGTAAACTAGCCTTTAATTATGTTGCTACAATATTTATTTCTGAATAAAAACAACAACATCAAGGCCCCTTTCACACTGCACCAAATTTTGTTTTAAGACAAATAAAAAAAAAAATTAATTAATGTAAACTAGCCCTTAATTGTGTTGCTACAATATTTATTTTTGAATGTAAATAGCAACATCAAGGCCCCCTTCACACTACACTAAATTTTGATTTAAGACAAAAAAAAATAATAATTAATTAATGTGAACTGGCCCTTAATTGTGTTGCTACAATATTTATTTTTAAATGTAAATAGCAACATCAAGGCCCCCTTCACACTGCACTGAATTTTAATTTAAGGAAAAAAAAATAATTTAATTAATGTAAACTAGCCCTTAATTGTGTTGCTACAATATTTATTTTTTAATGTAAATAGTACCATCAAAGCCCCCTTCACACTGCACTAAATTTTGATTTAAGACAAATAAAAAAAAAAAATTAATTAATGTAAACTGGCCCTTAATTGTTTTGGTACAATATTTATTTTTTAATGTAAATAGCAACATCAAGGCCCCCTTCACACTGCACTAAATTTTGATTTAAGACATAAAAAAAAAATTAATTAATGTGAACTGGCCCTTAATTGTGTTGTTACAATATTTATTTTTTAATGAAAATAGCAACATTAAGGCCCCCTTCACACTGCACTGAATTTTGGTTTAAGACACATAATAAAAAATAATTAATTAATGTAAACTGGCCCTCAATTAATTCATTTCGAGCAATAGAAAATTCCCTCAAAAATCCATAGATTAAACACAGAGAATAGTTTTATGATAACACGGTTGTCTGAAGGTAAACGATATTTTTTGTGCCAATTGTTGACCATAACCGCCATCTTGAGTTTTGATATTTCTATACATAAATACACATCGCAGATGCTTGACCGTTACCGCCATATTGAATTGATGTTTTGACAGGTCATCGGATTGCCCTATTGCGTTTTTTTACGAAAAAGAACGTTTATTGGGGTGCAAGGTGCAAACAATTGAATTTTTAAGGAAAATCTAATTTTCCTCCAAGTAAAGTAGAAATTATTTGTTAGCTAACTTCACGTTGCAAAAACATCAAAGCAAGCCTTGGGCGGCCATTTTAAAATTGTGTTTATTGGCCGTCTTTAGTTTTTCTGGAATATTTTTCGATTTTCAATAGATTTCAGTGCGGAAATGTTTCTTGTGATACGAGGAATTGGATTTTCCATAATCGGCACGTTAATGTTCAGATAAAATGCCATTTTTCATAGGAAATATTTCCATGGTAAGTGGAAACTGTCATATTAGCTACAATGGCGACAATTGCCGTTCTATTTTTGAAATCCTATATGTTCATATTGAAAATTGGCAAGAATATGGCGGCGGGGGTCTGGCTCACTTCTATATTCACTAATTAAATATTCAAAATTAGCAAAAATATGGCGACGGAACCTCTATTGTCATTACTGTAAAGATGTAATATCAGCTAACTTCACCGAAATAAACATCAAAGTAGGCCTTGGACGGCCATTTTAAAATTGTGTTTTTCAACAAAAATGGCCGTAGTAGTATTTTTCTCAAATATTTCCCGATTTTGGATATGTACATTTTTCCATTTCAATTTTTATTTAGTTCATCCTACAATCGTGCTTTCTCTTTCTCACCCATTCAAATCGAGTTGGCTTTTTTAGTGGTGGCAATAGGTTTAGGTTTCTTGTGAGTTGTGAGTGTGCCGAAAATATTTTCCAATCCGGCTCTGTTGACACAGTGTAAACAGTTCGACAACCAAAAAAGTAAATCTGTAAATATTTAGTAGAATTTCTTTGAAGTATTTCGATAATCTTGTTTCTGGCACTGATTCACAGTCCATTACGCAGCCTCTCTGTCACGTTTGGACGACATGCTCCATAAAACAAAACGCACTCCATACACTATAGATCTGAAGTCTGGTTACCATCAAATCAGTGTTCTACCCTACCGGCTGATAGGGACAAAACGGCTTTTATCACTTTTTTTGGCTTATTTCGTTATAAAGTGATGCCATTTGGATTGCGAGATGCGCCTTCAACTTTTTAGAGGCTCTAAAACAGCACTTACAAGATTTACAGAGAACATTTGGCCGCTAAAAATAATTTAAACTTCACCTTAACAGGAGTAAATGCACCTTTGCTTGTGATCAAGTGCATTATTTGGGTCATGTGATTACACCCCAACGCATTATTCCTAGTCCTAGTAAAACTGTCAAAATGCCGCCATATTGAATTTAAGAAAGTACCTTCTCATGCCGCCATCTTGAAAACAAATGCAACTTTTGATATGTCATTGAAAAGAGAATTTCAAGTTCTATCCAGCTGTGTAGAAAAATATATAAGGTTCCATAAAAAATTCTTGACTTGGGTCCATTTCCGGAGTAACCGCAAGAGATATTCAATTGTTTTTTTCACGAAAAATGTGCTTTAAGACAACTGAATAACGCCTTGTGTATAGATCGATTTTGTTTCCAGTGGGATACCCTGTATAGTAAAATAGAAAATTTCCAGTTGACAACGGCAACACTGTATGCTACTACCAATAATGATACCTCAAAGTGTATTAGGTCTGTCAACAACGTCATTCTTATGTATGTCAATGTTTCAAGGTCAAATTTTTGACACTTCAATCTATTTATAGCTGCCGAATGTTTGGACGGCGACCAACCTAATAAACGACCACGCACAACTATCACCGCCAAACAACTGGAAACCCTGAAGACGGCGTACAACAACAGTCCGAAACCTGCGCGGCACGTCAGAGAGCAGCTGAGCCAGGACACCGGCCTGGACATGCGAGTGGTGCAGGTGTGGTTCCAGAACCGAAGAGCGAAAGAGAAACGACTCAAAAAGGACGCGGGTCGTACCAGGTGGAGCCAGTACTTTAGGTCGATGAAAGGTGGATCGTCACCAAGACACGACAAACTATTAGACAAAGACGACATGAAGGTCGATTTGGATAGTTTTAGTCATCATGGTAAGGAGTTTTAGTTGATTTAAGATTATAGTAAAAAAAAGTGTATGTCATCTGTCAAAGAGCACGCAACTATAAGATGGTGGTACATATTGCAAATTTGACATAATGTCATTGTCATATTATTTCAGATCTCAGCGATGACAGTTACGGTACAGTCGTAAATATGTCAATGGACCAAGACGGGTCGTCACCTCATAGTGGCATTGGTCGACCAATGTTCCTGCACGGAGCAGCTTCACCCTCTTACCTACCCGGGCACACTCCTCCTCACGGGCACGAGCACATGGGCTATCCGGATCAGTTGGCGGTGTATTCTAGTTTAGGTAAAATATTTTGACAAAAATGACGTAATAAATTAATTGTTTTTGATTCAGGTCAAGGTCCCCCACCGGGTATGATGCACGGTTTGCCGCCAGGGGGCCACGATTCTGATATCAGTAATGACAGTAGCGCCCGAGGTTATCCCGATTTTCCTCCCAGTCCCGACTCGTGGCTGGGGGAGCCGTCCAGCGCACATTACTGACCCCCCAACAAACTATTCTGTGTTAAAATTGGATTTTTTTTTGGGATCATTGACATTACACGACATTGGTTGATGAGAATAAGTGTAAGAGAGATGAAGCTAATGTCGTATAATGTCGTTTTAGGAGATTTTTCCCTCATAATTTTATTTGTTTCCTTTTTCTAGTCAAAATCTGTGATTTGGCAATTATTATAATTTGCTTTATTTTTCTCAAGTAGTTATTATGCAAGGATGATACACACCTACAGGATTGCTTATCGGCTTCGTTTTTCGTAATCGGCGCCATATTGGTGTGTCACCATTGCCGACGTCATTAACTAAGTCGTCAGCTGTTCAAACAACCTACGTCAAGGCGAGAAACGCCATGCTGCTTACGTCACAACTGGTGATTTGGCGGAAGGAATAGGGGATTTGTTACACACAGGCCTTACGGTAATTTCAAGCTTAGAAAACTCAGATCAAAATACCGAACGCACAATAGATTCAAACCTCGTGGTGTTGCCATTTTGAATGGGTTTTTGCTAATTATGGCATTTAAAACTGGAAATTTTTACTGGAAAATAAAGAAAACTCAAAGCCTCGAATTTTAAATCAGTTTTCCCGCTCGAAAACGGTCTAGAAAAGCGGAAAATCTAAAGAAAAAGCCTACTTGATAAAACTTCAGTTTTCATTACTTACCCTCTTGGGAAACTGGAAGTTTTTGGCCGACAATGAAGGAAATTCGAAACTTCATATTTTAAACCAGTTTTCCCGGCTGAAAACAACCTAAAAAAATCGGAAAATTCCAGGAAAAACTGAATAAAATGTAAGCAAGTCAATTTAAAATGGCCAACTGTCAAAAGAAAAAGTGACAAATGACATTTCATTACAAGGGCTACTCGATTGAAAACGACGTTGCCACATCTTAAATACGAAAAAAATATATTTTAAATGGGATTTTGCTAATTATAACATTTGAAACTGGAAATTTTTGCTAAAAAATGAAGAAAACTCAAAGCCTCGTACTTTAAATCAGTTTTCTCGCCCGAAAACGGCCTGGAAAAGCGGAAAATCCAAAAAAAAAAAACAGCCAAAATAACATTCCAAAACCTACTTGAAAAAACTTAATTTTTCGTTACTTACCCGCTTGGAAAACTGGAAGTTTTTGGCAGAAAATGAAGGAAATTCAAAACTTCGTATTTTAAACTAGTTTTCCCGACTGAAAACGGCCTGAAAAGCGGAAAATTCGAGAAAAACTGGATAAAATGTAAACATTTCAATTAAAAACAGCCGACTGTCAAAAGAAAAAGGCGACGTTGCCACATCTCAAATAGGAAAAAAATTGATTTTAAATGGTTTTTTGTTTTAAATTTAATTAAATATTGAATAATCTATTGATAATGATTATAAGATGATAAGTTCCCAAAATAATGCAATGGAAACTTATTTTTAACAAAATTTCATGAAAATGACACTCCAAGGCTTGTTTGATGGTGAGTAAGACAAAGAGGGAGATAAAGTAGGACATAATTTAAGTCTAAAAATGGAAGTTTTTGATAAAAAAAAAATGAAGCAAACTTAAAGCTTTGCCCTTAAAATCTCCTGGAAAAGCGGAAAATCCAAAGAAAAATCAACATTTCAAAGCCTACTTGATAAAACTGTCAAAACTGACAAAAACTACATTATTACAAGGCCTACTGACCTCGCGTTCGGTATTTTGCTCAAAGAGCAGAGCACGCTGAAGCGGAGCCGTAATTACGTCACCAGTGTGTATCATCCTTGGCTATTATGTACAAAAGCTGTAAATAATTGTGTACAAATGTGTCTCTGAACTGAATGTCAATAATTATTACCGCACACATCTACAATACGCATAATCACCAAATGTCAGGTTAAAATGATTCGCACAAAGTGTGCGTTGTAAATTTACTCACTAATGCAATTGAGTAGGTTTACATTGCCTGGGTGAGGCATTTGTAATGTACAAAAACTGTATCTATAGTCGTTTTAATTCATCTATACAATGTAAACCAAATTTTCGTGACGAAACTCATGACGTCATATTGTATTGAACCTAGTTTGCTGAAAGCATGGACGCAACTTCTAGCCAATGATCAAACTCATGACGTCACAACATTCGTCGCAAAAATTCGGTCATAGTCGTTCTAGTCAAAAAAAAACAAAATGCAGGTATTTTAAAAAAATTTGTAAAAAAACCATAACAATGATGTCTTTTTATTTGTTTATTTATTGTTTATTGAAAATAAAGTTTTATTTATTGACGTCATAGTTCTGTAGTTGCCACGCCCCAATACTGTTGCATCCGATCGAGATCGGTCGAGTCGACGAGACCGCGCTCGTGCATCACCGCGAAATCGTACTCCAAATTGTACGGCATCAGTCGCTGCAAACTGCCAAAGTAGGCGGCGTTCGGGCCGCCAATCAGATGCTGTTTCCGGTCCGATGTTAACCGGGACGGGCCGGGATTAAACGAACGTGAGCTGCCGAACTGTTTGGACAGGAACGGAGCACCTGGATAATTTTTGAGGATGTTTCTTTTTTTTGTATATTGAAATTATTACTAACCGTTATTGTTGCCGTCAGAGGACGCTAGGTGCGGACTACTTCTGCTCAAACTAGAAGGCGTTTTCACTCTGAAGTGGTTCTTTGAGCCTCTATTTAGAGTATTGAGTTCCTGCAAATAGAAACATGTCATAATTTTTTTTTTTTTGTGAGAATTAATTGACCTGTCAAAAGAAATTCAATATGGTGGTTCAGGTCAAACACCATGTTGTTTATATTTAGGACAGCAAGGCAAACGCTTTTCTTATGAACTTCGTCACAATATTTGACCTCAACGGCCATATTGAATCATGTGGTTTGGATTCAAGGATAATACACATTACTACTACAGGATGACCTATCTTTATAAGGCCTGTGTGGAACAAATCCCTTCCTATCCCTTAAGCCAAATCAACAGTTGTGACGTAGACAGCATGTTATGTCTCGCCTTGACGTTGGTTGTTTGAACAGCTGACGACTAAGCTATGACGTCGACACACTAATATAGCAGCGATTACTAAACACGAGGCCGATAAGCAATCCTTGTATGTGTGTATCATCCTTGGTAGTTGGCAACACTGTTTAACAAACAACAAAGTAGGCTTTAGGAAATTTCAAAATTTGAATTTAGCACCTTGTAATACCTACATCGTAACACATACATGTTTCCAAAGCCTACTTGGTTTGACATAAACTCATAGGGTGAGAGTTATTGCAATCATAAGACCGTAGGTCGAGGGTTTTTTTAATTACGAGCCCGCAGGGCCGGGGTCTTGTCTGGTAATACGCACGAATATTTATAAAACTCCGGTATTACTTCGGCTCTCCGGGCTTGTTATTAAAATAATCCCGGCTCTTCGAGCTCGTTATTGAAATAACCCCATCCCGCCAGTCTCGAAATTTGAAAAAAAACATATGGCAACACTGCTTATGACACAACAAACGTCAAAAAATTGACGTTTAGTAGACCTTGTTTTCCTTCACAGTCGATATAAAATGGCGTTTTTTTTGTTGCCCTATGCGCCTAAGATTAATTTAAAAACACTCTCGCCCTTCGGGCTCGTAATTTAAAAAAACGCCATTTCGACCCAATGATGAGACACAACAGGATGTCCTATGTGGAACAAATCCCCCTCACGCCAAATCACCAGTTGTGACGTAGGCAGTATGTTATTTCTCGCCTTGATGTAGGCAGACGACTCAGTTATGACGTCGGAAATGGTGACACACCTTATTACCAAAAACGAGACTGATAAGCAATCCTGTAGCTGTGTATCATCCTTGGTCTGAATTGTCTAACAACGTACCTTGTCAAACAAAAGCTGGGTATTTTGTTCCAGCATGTACTCCCAGCACTTGAATTGCTCTTCCGATAGGGCCGAGTCCGAGTCTGGGTCTTTGTTGGCCTTGTCTTCCTCTCGGCGTTGTTTCAAGGCTTTGGCCACTCCCCTATAACTGCGACGTTCTGGACTAATTTTGACCTATTTGTCAATTGTCATATTAAAAATAAATGTCAACTGTGAACAATTACCTCAACGGTTTCAAACAGTGACGGAGTGACGCTGCGAAACAAGCGATTTTCCGGTTGTTTGGCCGATAATTGACTCATGAACAATTTCGAGGAAGAATTGCAGTCGCTACAAGCTTGCTCACTTTGACCACTCGGCGAAGATCTAGAAAATTGGAAACACTTGACAACATTGCAACAGTGTATTGCATTACAATGTTGCCACGTCTAGTTGAATTACCTGTCGTCTCCGATCGCCATTGGCGGAGGTACGGCGATTTTTTCGTGGGCGTCGTAGCAACAACAACAGCCTGGTTGGCACACGGAATTCGTGCTTTCGCTTTGGTATTTGTTCTTACGTATGGTCTGACGTAGTTCGCGCATGAGCAAATCGACGTCTGAGCCGAGGAGATTGAATTTGACGACGATTATGCTCAAATTTTCTTCGGCACCTGAAAATATCAGCAATGTAGTAGATTTTATCTACGACTGAAACAGCATAGACTCATTCACTTTAATAGAACTGTCTTTTTCTATTTAATATGTTAGACAAAGGTTGAAATATGATTTGATTACTTTCCCACTTCCTTAAACTCAACAGATGGCGTTAATGTTTAGCACTTTCTACCGTGACTCAATAAACTTTTACAAACGAAAATTTTGCAAAAACATGGCTGCCATCTATTTGGTAGACACAGGCGGCGGCCATGTTGTTGCAAAATGTTCGTCTATTGTTACCACTGTTTGTAAAGATTTATCGAGTCACTATAGCGCTTTGTATAGTGACCCGATAAACCTTTACAAACAGTGGCGACAATAAACGAAAATTTTAAAACAACATGGCTGCCATTCATTTGCTTTGCACAGGCGGCGGCCATGTGGTTGCAAAATGTCCGTTTATTATCACCACTGTTTGTAAAGGTTTATTGGGTCACTGTAGCACTTTGACGGCCTACTAGCATATTCAACAATGTTGCCAAACTTGAGAAACCATCGACAAAGTGCGTTCATTACATCAAAAAATCAGATTTACCATAACTTTGTGCCAAATCTTGCAATCGCTTAGCAGCCAAAATGACGTTCCGTTGCAAACTGACTTCCTTGATAGCGTTTTCCGGCGTCATCACGTCCCAAAGATTCTTATTTGCCAGCACCATGTACTCGTCCCGCTCGTCCAAATAAATATCGGTCACTTCCGGATCGGGCACCAATTGCATTGTAGGATTTATTTTGCGCCCTCTACCAGGCAACAAGCGCACTGGACCGTCGCATTTGCCAATCACCAATTTCATATCGCCTATACTGGCTATTTTCATCAGGTATTTTTTATTTGGCTCGGCAAAACCGTTGATGAACTCAGTACTGAGCTGTTTGGGCTTCAGAACGTGGACTATTAGAGCGTTGATGCCTTTTGCCTTCAAACTTCGAAAAGTTGACAGCATGGTGTACTTCATGTAGTCATGCGCAGTTTCTTTGATTGTACGCTCTTCCAAAAGGATTCTGGGTAATAATTTATCAACACCCAATGGACTAAAGTTATTTTTTTCTCCTACATAAATAAATAAATAAATAAATTCAAATCGGCCATTTTTTATAATAAATATTACCATCGAAGATTCCAAAAAGTGCTTCAGTGTTGCAAAAAGCGGGCAACCTGATTTGAGTCAAGTGCAACTTGGCCCTGGACCCGGAAGTTTCCGAAAAACCAACCGACCAGCTGTGATCTGTCAAATCGCTTTCGCAAAATGGCGCCGGCGATAGCGGCAAACTAGTGCGATTCTTACCACTTACGTCAACCAGTGACATCGGTCTTTGGGTCCTAAAATTGTCAATGACTATACAAGTGACAAGTGACAAGTGACATTTACCTATACGTATTAAATTGCTGACAATCCACGTGTAATTTGGTGTTGCAGCTTAAATCAAGGAATTTTAAGTTGGGTGGAATTAGTGAGCTTAAGTCGACGCGATCGAGCTGATTGTGCGCCAGGTCCAGTACGCGCAACTTCATTAGGCCGGCCAGCTTCGGGATACTTTGCAACAGATTCGAGTGGACTCGGAGCACCGACAGGTGGCGCATCTGTTGAACGTTGTCGGGCAGGCGCAAGATTTTGTTGCCAGATAACACGAGTTCTTCAATTTCTGTCCAGTAGAGGGCGCAGTTTTCCGGCAGCGATGTCAAATTGTTGTAGGCTGAAATGAAAATTGAGGAAGTTTTTAGATGTATTGGCAACAATGCTTGTTTGTCATAGTCAAGCGCGCGGCATTGCCAAATCTGTTTGCTTCAAATTTTAAGCCCTTTAGTGAGAAAAGTGTCAACTATAATGACGTCATGATGTTTGTATGGGTCAATAGACTCTGTGGCATATTCGAATATTTGAACGATATAGCGTTTAACAGCTCTGTGCGCTCGCTGGTCACGTGATTACGGCTCCGCTCTACTCTTTGAGCAAAATACCGAACATAAGGCAAGTAGGCTTTGTAATAATGTCATTTTTGCCAGTTTAGATAGTCGGTCATTTTTAATTGACGTGTTTACATTTGTATTCAACTTTTCCTCGAATTTTCCGATTTTCTAGGGCTTTATGAGTCTGGAAAACCAATTCAAAATACGAGGCTTTGGATTTACTACATTTTGTGCCAAGCATTTCCAGTTTTCCAATGGGGTAAGTGAGAGAAATTTCAGTTGTATTAGTAGGCTTTGGAATGTTGGTTTTTCTTTGGATTTTCCGCTTTTCCAGACTATTTTTGAGCGGGAAAACTGATTTAAAGTACGAGGCTTTGAGTTTTCTTCATTTTCTAGCAAAAATTTCTAATTTTAAATGCCGTAATTCCACAATAATTTTAATAAAAAACGACTGTGTGGATTAAGGGTCAATCTTGACTTAAAAGGTTTTTATGTTATATTTAGGATGACGTCATCGAACGAGAACAAACAATGTTGTCAATGCCTATTTTTTGTCTTATAATTTACCAGAATGTCATACTTCAATAATTCTAACGATAGCTAAAAATAACGTAATGAAAAGGTTTATACAAGTCATGCAACGTCGCGCACCGTTGCCAACCAGAAACATCTGAAATTCCCCTCTTTAGGTTGACAACAGAAATTGACTAAATGTGACGTCATCTTAAATATAGCGTAAAAAAAATCCTATAGAAATGGTTTCTGATCAAACAAAAATATCGTTCGTTGCAGCAGTTGTCAACATTGGACATTGTTGCCAAACTTAAATAAATACAAACCTATATGCAAGATTTTCAGGTTCTTCAAATATGCGGCAACCCTGTCCAAACTTGTATCAATCAAACAATTAGCTGTCAAAAACAGTTTCTCCAAAACCAAAACTTCTTCAGGCTTGGGCAAATCGACCAGACGATTATTGGACACATTGAGCACCCTGATGCTCCGAACAAACTTGAAAAAATTGTCCGGCAAACTGGACAAGCTGTTGTTTTGTAAAAACATCTCCTGAACGGGCAAACAACGCTGTATCATTGGCAAACTTTGAAGGCGGTTGTAGGCCAGCTGCACGGTTTGCAGCAGGGGCATTTCGTTGCAAAACAAGTGATCCGGCAACGTCGCAATCGCATTGTTGCTGGCGAATAGGGAGCGTAGCTCGCTGCAACCCGACAACCAATCGGGTAGGGTTTGGAGATCGTTGTAGGAGACATCAAAGTGGCTCAGTTTGAGTGGCGGATGAGTAGTAGTGAAAGATTTTAGTTCTGTAAAAAAGAAGACATTTGGCAACAGTGTATTGATATATTTTAGGCAATTTTTCGCGAGGATGATCAAGCATACTTGAGTATGTTGGGTTATGGTGATGTGTCAATTGTGTCATACTCCCTCACCATCAAATTTTTGGTTTGCGAGTGATGTCATTATCAGCAGCGTATAGTGATGACGTCACCCGCAGACCTCGATGGAATCCATGCGATTCAGGCTGTGCTAGTGGGTTAATTTGTTTGTCAATTTTAAATGTAGAAAAGGTGATTTTCGGTCTGTTCTCACAGAAGAAATTAAGCTTTCTTGATCCTCGAGTATCCCAGAATTTGATGGTGAGGGAATTAGGGGAGTATGACGCAAATGATACATCACATAATCCAGCAAAAGATTATGCTTGGTTATCCTCGTAAAAAATTGCGTGTCATTAAATTTTCTTAGGCAGCAACATTGTTGTCAACTCATTAAAATCTGAAATATCAACAATGTTGTCAGATATTACATTACACTGTCAAATGTCACTCACTATTATTTCCAGCGATTACTGACACTAAATTTTTGCCAAACAATGTTAGTTGAGTCAACGAGTTTCGAGAACATTGTAGTATTTGTAGCTGTTCGACCGCGCCCAAATCTAATATTTCTATGCCGTTTTCGCTTACGTCTAATTGGGTTAAACTCTGAAAAATAACTACTGTCAAACAACGCCCTTTATTAATAGAAAAATCCAACTTACACTGTAACTACCTAAAATAATATGCCCTTTCAGTCGGTTGGCTCTTAAATTTAAAGTTTTGAGACCGTTGTTTGCGTTTTTCGAGCTGCGACGGTTTTCTGGATTCAGTTCGGATTCCTACAACAGTGTCAAGTAATTGACATTTGTACTATTGACAAGTGACAGTTACTTACAGCTAAAATCAGCGCTCGCATTTCCGGTGGTTCACGAGGCTTGTCCGGAGGCAGCGCCAAACGATTCGTAGCCACCCTTAAAGTGTTCAGGTACTTCAAGTGCCATAAAGTCACCGGCAAGATGCTCAGAAGGTTTTGATCAAGTATCAGTTCTTCTAAGCTACAAAATAAGATTTCTGATTGGACTTTTACGTTCTCACAAGTCGAGTTTCGGTAAAGAACTGAATGAAATTTAATGAAAATGTGCTAACAAGGCTTGCATCAGGATGCACAAGTGTGTTATTGACAAGGACACCGCGCTTCTCTATTGCAAAAACAACGATGGTTTTCTTTTTGATGAAATTTGGTAATGGCAAAATTATTCAACTGCCCGGATGTTGCTATTTAATGTTTATGAATGATGAAGATAATATGAGGTTGCTTGATAATGGGTAACTTGATAACGCATCTGGGATGTCTTATCGAGATGTTGAGGCACCTCAGATGACGTCATAAAAAGACCTCTCTCAAAAAAACCTTGTGCAAAACGATCAAAATCAGTAACGCTATGTTTGTTCATTTGACAAGTATTGAACAAGGACAAAAATATAATCCTACTATGCCAAAAAATTGACTCACATTTCAATAAAATAACACATACATTGGCACCACAATTAAACGAAATGACCGCGCGTTAGTACCACACACACAAAATAAGAAAATTGTTTTTACACTCACGGATGGGCGAGTTCCGTGCCCGAAAACCAGAGCAACAGGCGGCGGGGTTCCATCATCTTTAATTTATGCAGTCCCGGTCTACCGAGAAAGCGTAACAACGATAAAACTTATACCGAAACGAAGGAAGATTATATCATGATTTTTGTTAAATTGGCAACGTTGGAATATATACCGTTTTAGTGTAAAAAAATTTTTCAAGAAAAACTGTTCAAACCTCATTATTCTACGATAAACCATCGCTCAGATATACAGCCTTAAAATATGTGTGACGTCACGAGAGCTTCGCATTTGTTCATTTGTTTGTTCCCGTTTAGATTATTGCAAATGACACAGGAAAAAATTCAATGTCAATGCACTTCACTTTCGTGACGTCATAGGGTGAGATGCGGTATCTTCATCTTCGGTATTATTTGTCATAGAGGGGTGCGGTTTTCACTGTTACTCTTAGATTTTTTAGTTGTTTTTTTTTGGCGCACACCCCCCTGTAAATTCTTACTTGTACAATTGGTCGATTTCCGGTGGCAAGGTCAGCAACCGATTGGCCGAAACGTCCAAAATGGTCAGCGTGGTCAGTCGCAAAACGCTCAGAGGAAAAGTGCGGATGTCGTTGTTTTTTAAACTCAAAACGGTCAATTCTTGCAGCGACGATTCGCTAGGCAGCACGATTTCGTCCGTGTAAATTTCGCGCCTGCGCGTTTTGCACTGAGCGTTCAAATTCAGCTGTTTCAATGGCGAATTGATATTGGATAGAAGAGGATTGGATGGATCCTGAAAAAAATAAAAAAAACAAATGATTCAATAGAAAACGAATGCGTTCGAACTACAGTTTAAACCAATTTGTAGATGACGTCATCACTTGTGAACGCGAGAAAATGGAAAGTTTGCACTGGGTTTGAACCACAGTCTTATGTCAAACAAGAACAAACCATGAGTCCGATTCTGAACTTTTTTGAACCAAGTTCAGGTTCAATGTGACGTCACTGGTTCGAACCAGTTCCACCAAAAAAAAAAAGCTCATATGTATCAGATTTTTGCGATTTTTGTAACATTTTTAAATGATTGAGAATCATTGTTATGCCCACTTCGCCATCTTGATTTTGAAATGGCTACTTTGATAGTTTGGAACAACTTTAAATCGATTTTGTAATGAACCTAACCTAAGTTGGTCTACATAATACATTGATATGGCATGACACAAATTTGGAATTTTGGAAAAAATCGCAGTGACAGATTTGACTGATGAGAATTCCGCGTCATGTAGGAGCAATTATGAAGTGAAAAAACAATAATTTTTATCGATTCCAGGCACTTGACAATCGCCATATTGGTGTGTTACCATTTTCGACGTCATCACAAAGTCGTTAGTTGCTTAAACAGCCTACGTCAAAGTGAAAAATACCATGCTACCTACGCTACAATTGGTGATTTGGCATAAGGGTAGGGGCTTTTTGTTGCATACAGACCTTATGAGGATAGGCCATCCTGTAGTAGCAGTGTGTATTATCCTTGGGTCGAAATGGCGTTTTTTTTAATTACGATCCTGAGGGGCGAGAATGTTTTTAAATCCAATCTTAAACGCACAGGCAACAAAGAAACGCCATTTTGTATCGAGTGTGAAGAAAAACAAAGCCTACTTTGAAACGTCAATTTTTTGACGTTTGTTGTATCATAAGCAGTGTTGCCATATGTTTTTTCCAAATCTTGAGATCGGAGGAATTGTGGGGTTATTTCAATTACGAGCCCGAAGGGCCGAGGTAATACGAGCCCGAAAGGCCGGAGTTTCACGAGCCCGAAGGGCCGTAGTTTAACGAGCCCGAAGGGCTGTAGTTTTACGAGCCCGAAGGTCCAGAGTTTTACGAGTCCGAAGGGCCGGATTTTTTTAATCACGAGCTCGGAAAACCGAAGTTATACGAGTCCGAAGGGTCGGAGTTTTACGAGCCCGAAGGGCCGGGGTTTTATAAGCTTTCGTGCGTATTACCAGACAAAAAATCCTTGCCATATAAATTCGTGATTTAAAAAAACCCCGGCCCTGCGGGCCGGGCTCGTAATTAAGAAAACCCTCGCCCTACGGGCTTGTGATTGCAATAACTCTCACCCTACGAGTTCATATCGAAGGAAGTAGGCTTTGGAAAAATGTATGTATTACGATGTCGGTATTACAGGGCACCAAATTCAAATTTTGAAATTTCCCAAAGCCTACTTTGTCGTTTGTCAAACAGTGTTGCCAACTGCCAAGGATGATACACACATACAAGGATTGCTTATCGGCCTCGTTTTTGATAATCGTTGCCATATTAGCGTGTCACCATTTCCGACGTCATAACTAAGTTGTCAACTGTTTAAACAGCCTACGTCAAGGCAAGAAATAACATGCTGCGTACGTCACAACTCGTGGTGTATCATTCTTAGTGAGTGCGTGCATATGTGTGTCAATAATACAAAGGCAAAGTAAAAAATTCAAGAGCCTCGACTCATTTGACCTTTAAAAACTAAGTAGGCTTTGAAAATCAAGGATAGTAAACCCAAAAAAGGTTGTTTGGAATCTTTATAATCAAATTTGTTTGTCTCGATACGTCACCGGAAAGTAGCGAGTGTGCAAGGATGATACACACCTACAAAATTGTTCATCGGCCTCATTTTTGGTAATTGCCGTCATATTGGTCTGTCACCGTTTCCGATGTCATAACTACATAAGTCATCAGCTGTTTAAACAGTCTACGTCAAGGTGAGAGGTAACATACTGCTTATGTCACAAATGGTGATTTGGCGGGGGGGAGAAGTGATTCGTTCGATACAGATCTTATGAGGATAGGCTATCCTGCAGTAGTAGCTGACGACTTAGTTATGACGTTGGAAATGGTGACACACCACTATGGCGGCGATTACCAAAAACGATACCCATAAGCAATCCTGTAGGTGTGCATTATCCTTGACCAAGATGTACCAACTTATTTTGGTTTTAACTTGTCTTTCAGGCTAGAGGAAACTTACAAGACAAGAATTACTGTCAAAAATAAATCATTTCACATGGCCTACTAAAATACATCACATTAATATCGAAATACAGTGTTGCCAACCTAATTTGGTTTGCATGACATAAGACATATAAGTCCATTGAAAAAATGCAATTTTTATCGATTCGAGACACTTGAAAGCCGATTTAGATAGTTGAATCTCAAAACACAAGAATTTGACATATCGCCATTGACATACTCAATACAAATTTGACTTTGACATTGTTTTAATAGGCGCCAAAAAATAGTAGGTACCTAAACAATGTAAATTAACCCAAATTTCTTCTAGAAACAAAACCAAAATAATCTAGCATTAATTCTAATTAATTTTGCACGTTTCCTTCATTATTTATAATCACTATGCATGGTGTATAAGTTTTATAAGCATAATGAGGAAATTATAATAATTAAGTTTGTTGGAAAAAAGGAGAGAGCCAAATTTGTAGTTGCAAAAAGTGAGGTCACTAGTGTGGAAAACTCCTACTTTTCCCACTTGAACCTAAAAATCATTACACAATTTGCTCCAAAATAGCCAAAGCGCCAATCAAGATAAACATACTGCTCAACTAAGCATAAACATTTACTTTTACTTTTAAGAAACAATTTTGCTGATTCACAAATACCTACCTACGGTGCAATGACTTCAAAGAAAAGGAAGTATGGAAATTAACCGCGTCTCGAACCGAATCTACTTTCACTGTCAATAGTGTCAAAACTGTCAAATAAATAATTCGCTTACGTTGTTTTGTTCTTCTTGTGAATTGGTGCCGGAATCGCCGTCTTCCAACGAGTCCAGCTCAATGCTGTCGCACTCTCGTATATTTAGAGCTTGAGCTTCGTAGAGCCTCAACGGTTTTTTCGGAGGCATCATTTTGTCGATATCTAAAAAAAAAATCTGTCATTTAAAATTCCCGCCATATAAACTGCTGACGTCTGTCATTGATTGTGACAAGTTGTTTATGACAGTTGTCACGAGTAAAAACAAAATGGCGATGTCATTGAATGAAAATGAATGTCAGTGTCAACCAGTGTTGCCAAGTGTAATGAATCGGACAAAACCAAAAAAAAAATCCTTTTGTATTACATGGCAACAGTAAATAATGAGAGACATATTTATTTGAATTTACAATATTGCCAAATGTAATAAGGAAGACAATACCAAAAATTCATTTATTAAAAACAGAATAATTTTGTAATACATGGCAACAGTGGCAAGTGGAAAACGTATTATAGGTATTTGACTTTACAGTGTTGTCAAATGTACTAGAGGAGACAAACTCAAAAAAGATTATTTTATTGTGAACAGTGTCAGTTTGACAATGACAATCTCTCATAAAATAAAACAATTGAGAGTTTGTCAAATTATTAAAAAAATATCAAATGTCAATAGTTAGTAGGTACACAATCTCTTTTATGAAATCTAACAATATGTCATTTTTATTCAAATAATTTCCAAGGCCTACTACGTGAAATATTGAATTTATTAGAATCTTGTCTTTTAGTGGTAAATCAAAAGTATTCAAGTTATCACACAACTATCTAAGACCCGGTTTATTCATCTTCAGACTTCAGATAACTATCTACAAGATAAATGTAAATGCAGTTCTATAATTCCATGAGTCAATGAGATTACAGATAACGTTTTTATCCATCAAATTGTATTACCTGACAGTTTATCATAAGGTGAATAAACCGTGCCTACATCACACTTTTATCCTTGATAGATGATAATCACTGTATTATTCATGAGGATGAAATTTATGCCCAACCGTATAATTAACCACTCAAGTGGATAATAGACTACAAAATAGTTGAATAATGAAAAAATTACCTCAAAGTTTTTTAATCCACATAATTTATAATATAAATCACTCCCACGAACAATTCTTTTGGGGTACTTTGAACAGACTAAAAAAACATGACAATTGTTTGATTCTCCGGGTACCTACATTATGAAGACACCAAGAGCGTGACACGTGACACGGTTGGCTAATTTTTATTCTTAATCCGTACAGTCTAGCGTATCTACATAATTCAGCGAGTTTTTTCTATATACCAATGCGTGAAAGCACTTTACATGGGATCTACGGTTTTGATTGGAACTTGTTAAGTAATTTTATCTTAAAAAGGATGTTCGGTTGTTAAGGAAATTTTCACTTTTAATTTCCAACTTTCTGTTTAATTGAATTTGCCGCCATATTTGCAGCGCCATCTTTTGTCACTGTTATATTCAATCGACATTTGTCTGACAAAAACATTACAAAATGACATTTCTTTATTCATTTTAATTAAAAATTAACTAAATCCAACTCTCGGTTCATAATCAGAGTAATTACGAGTCTCTCTCTGTCTTTATCGAATTGAGCGTCGCCTCTTTTCGGATCCACAGGATGCGGCAAGTCCAACTTCAAAAAAAACTTGGGTGACGTCAGAGTTAAGGTGTCATTTTCGATTTTCAAATCGATATTTTGTCGATTCTCGCCGGGCAGGTCAATGGCTACCACCATGTTTTCGCAACTGCTGGTCGATGGATTTTTCAAGCCCATCTACGAAAAAAAAAGTCGTTGAAATTTTTTAAATTATGTATTGTATTTGTATCTCTTTCTTTTGTAAACTTATAGAAAAAGACAGAAATTCAATCGGGCTACTTTGGTCTGAATTTTTTTAAAATCTAGTAGGCACTACTTGTGTGTGCACATAACTGAAAATTAAATGGCCGCACCCAATCAGCGCCATTTTGTTTTATTGATTTACATAGCCTACTTGATTTTAAGCAAACGAACATTTAATTGTATCTGCCTTTTTTTATTAACATATGAAAGAAAGAAATAGAAATGCTTTAGTTTTAAAAAGTCAGTATCAGTGGCGTAGGTTGATAATTTTTACCGCTAAATACATGTCGCTCGAGCTGACACTTTGCCTATAAGAAATGTCACATTTCGGTGTAGTTTTCCAACAGTTTTGCTCCAGTTCTTCTGGATTTTCATCGAAAAATTCCTCCGAATCTGGTACATCTTTTCGTTTAGGAGTTTCAACTTTTGCATAGGGATTTGCTGCTTTTTTGTCAGTAGAATTTGAACATTTAACGTCATTAACTGAAAAAAAAAAACGGTTTTTTTGATTTGAAAAACCAATTTGAAATGTATTACCTGGTGTTTTTGACGGTGCAAGTTCTTCATCGTCGAATTGTTCACTATTTTGTGCGGAATCGAAAAGTTTCACTAATTTTTCGATGTCGCAAATGTTCGAAGCCATTTCGACGCAAAATAACAATGGGGGTTGTTATAGCAACGGAAAGTTAGTGATATATTATTGTTAGATCGATAAATCGTCAGAATCCCCCAAGGATAATACACACTACTACTACAGAATCATAGACTATACAAGATAGTCTGTATAGAACAAATCTAAAGCCCCCACCACGCCAAATCACCAATTGTGACGTAGCAGCATGTCGTTTCTCACCCTAACGTTGCTGTTTTTAGATCTCGTTTTAATTTTCCTCTTCGTTTATTATGTTCATCAAAATTGAATAATAATTTTCTTCATAAATTTAAATACAAAACTACGACCGCTAGTAGTGCACACACCTGACGACTCAATTATGACGTCGAAAATGGTGACACACCAATTACCAAAATCGAGGCCGATAAGCAATCTTTAGTAATATGAGTGTGTATTATCCTTGAGAATCCCTTTGTTATTCTAATCGGTGACTTCGCCGATAAGTTAACTACCTATCTTTGTTTAGTAATTGGAAAATGACAATGACCGACATAGAATGGTGGATCAATCGGTAAAATTTGATGAGAATTGTGTTCTGACAGTTGACCTAGTCGATCTCAAGTTTGATATTTGACATCTGTCATTTTTGAAGTGAATACTTCTTTGGCCGCATGAGAGTGATTTTTCAAGGTCGCGTCACGACACAATTTATAAAAAAATTTGAAATTTTGTTTTTTGAAACTCCTCGAGCAGCTTAAGCGGTATGTATGTAAAAAAAGTTTAAGCATTTTTGCACCTGTCAAAGAATTTGACAGCTGTCATTTTGACCATGTAACCCCCGAAAAAAGTGACAAGGAGATGTCATTTTTTTTTTTTTAAAAGTGCGTTTGATAGCTGACGTCCTATTCTGTCAAAATCAAATTTGACATTTGACATTTGTTAAATTTTTTTTAGTAATAATGACCCCAGTTTGTATGTATTATTACGCCCGCAGGGCGTATAGGGGTATAGCGTGGCTTCGCCGATACCTGTTATGACAGACCTATATGTAAAAAATTATCTACAACTTTTTTCACCTGTTAAAAAATTTGACAACTGTCATTTTAACTATGTTACCCTCGAAAAAAGTAACAAAGAGATGTCAGAAAAATTCGAGCAAAAGTGCGTTAGACAGCTGACGTCCTATTCGGTCAAAATCGAATTTGACATATGACATCTGCTAAATTTTTTTTTGTTCAATTCCTCGACTAATTTATGTGATAGATAAGTAAAAGAATTTTTAAATTTTTTTTGCACCTGTCAAAAAATATGACATCTGTCATTTCGACCATGTTACCTTCGAAAAAAGTGACAAGGAGATGTCAGAAAAAATCGAAATAAAGTGCGTTCGACAGCTGACGTTCTATTCTGTCAAAATAAAATTTGACATTTGACATTAGTCAAAAAGTTTTTAGTTTGCAATAACGGCCCCAGTACGCCCGCAGGACGTTTGTATGTATTATTATGCCCGCAGGGCGTATAGGAAAATAGCATAACTTCGCCGATACCTATTATGACAGACCTATAAGTAGAAAATTATTTACAACTTTTTTCACCTGTCAGAAAATTTGACAGCTGTCATTTTGACTATGTTACCCTCGAAAAAAGTGACCAGGAAATGTCAGAAAAATTCAAGATAAAGTGCATTCGACAGCTGACGTTCTATTCTGTCAAAATCAAATTTGACATCTGTTAATTTTTTTTCTTTTAATTCTTGGACTAATTTATGCGACAGATATGTGAAATTTTTTTTTAAATTTTTTGCACCTGTCAAAAATTTTGACAGCTGTCATTTTGATCATGTTACCTCTAAAAAAAATGACTAGGAGATGTCAGAAAAAATTGAAATAAATTGCGTTCGATAGCTGACGTCCTATCCAATTTGACATCTATCAAAAAAAATTTTGTTTCCAATAACGGCCCCAGTACGCTTGCAGAGCGTTTATATGTATTATTTCGCCCGCAAGGCGAATAGGGAAATAGCGTGGCTTCGCCGATACCTGTTATGACAGATCTATATGTAAAAAATTATTTACAACTTTTTTCACCTGTCAAAAAATTTGACAGCTGTCATTTTGACTATGGTACCCTCGAAAAAAAGTGACAAGGATATGTCAGAAATTTTCGAGCAAAAGTGCGTTAGACAGCTGACGTCCTATTCTGTCAAAATCGAATTTGACATTTGACATCTGTTAATTTTTTTTTTTAAATTCCTCGACTAGTTTATGCGATAGATACGTAAAAAAATGTTTAAAATTTTTTGCACATGTAAAAAATTTGACAGCTGTCATGTTGACCATGTTACCCCCGAAAAAAGTGACAAGGAGATGTCAGAAAAAATTGAAATAAATTGCGTTCGATAGCTGACGTCCTATCCAATTTGAAATCTGTCAAAAAAAATTTAGATCACAATTACGGCCCCAGTACGCCCGCAGGGCGTTTGTATGTATTATGTATGTATGTATATATGTATAAAAAGAAATAGCGTGGCTTCGCCGATACCTGTTATGACAGATCTATTATGCCAGTTCTATTATTTTTAGCCTAGGAGTGTAGGTATTCTTTATTGAAAAAAAAAACAATAAAATTGTTGCATTTTATCCATTATTTGAAGAATAATTTTGAATTTCCCGGCAAATGTCAACTTAAAATCTGACAGTTCACAACGTTGCCAAATGGTTTCTGTTCTGAAAGTTCAATTTGTATAGTTTCAGCTTTAGTTGATGGAGTAGTTTCATCCTACAACTGAAGCTGAATCATCTTTTGCAAACTAAATTTTTTTAGTCGTTATTTGTTTTTCATCAGTTGGCAACACTGCAAATCACAATATCCATGGCCTATTACCTATCAAAAATCAACTGTTGACAGAATATGATGAAAATTAAATTCATCGGCCCCGTTTTCGCCACAGAATCGCCGCCATATTGGTGTGTCACTATTTCCGACGTCATTAACTAAGTCATCAGCTGTTTGCACTCAAGGATAATACACACTACTAAGGATTGCTTATCGGCCTTGTTTTTGATAATCACCGCCATATTGGTGTGTCACCATTTCCGACGTCATCAACAAGTCGTCAGCTGTTTGCACTAAAGGTCCAAGTTTAGAATTTAAATTTATGATGAAAAATATTATTTAATTTTGATTAACATAATAGGCAAAGAGGAAGATGAAAACGAGATTTGGAAAAGAGTTGCTTTAAAATGTAGTAAAACCAAGTATGCATAAAGCAAAAGCCCGCGGAATCATAACCTATGGTGCAAACAGCTTACGTCAAGGCGAGAAATAACATGCTGTTTACGTCATAACTGATGATTTGGCGTTGTGGGGGGCTTCAGATTTATTCCATACAGACTTTATGAGGATAGGCTATTCTGTAGTAGTAGTATGTATTATCCTTGAACTTTGACAACTCAAAATCTGACAGCTCACAACGTTGCCAACATCATCTTTTAATATGTTTTTTTTAATATTTACCAACTTAAGAATGTTTTGAAGAGTTTTTCTGGCAAAAATAATTTCATAAGTTGATCTTTGTTCTTCATTAGTTTTACTTAACCAGACAACACTGCAAATCTCAATATCCATGGCCTACTTTTACTAACTATAAAAATCAACGGTGGCCAAAAAGTAATAAATACATCCCAACATTTTTAAAGGTATTTGGAAAATAATTTTGAATTTCCCGGTAAAATGTCAACTTTAACAATCTAAAATCTGACAGTTCACAATGTTGCCAGGAACGTCATTTTTGAAAGAGTGCTTTAAGGTGGATAATTAAAGAATTTCTTTAGTTGATTTTTATTCTTCATCAGTTATTGAATCAATTGGCAACACTGCAAATCACGATATTTATGGCCTACTAGCTATCAAATTCAACGGTTGAATACTAACGTTTTTAAAGGATTTTGGACAATAATTTCGAATTTCCCGGTCAAATTCCAAATTTGACAACCTAAAATCTGACAGCTCGCAACGTTGCTAACATAATTTTTTAAACTTAAGCCCCATTTCTTCTTGATAATTAACCAGCTAAAGAGTGCTTTAAGGTGGATAATTGAAGAGTTTTTCTGTTAAAAATAATTTGCTTAGTCGATCTTTGTTTTTCATCAGTTTTAATTGATCAGCTGGCAACACTGTAAATTACAATATCCATGACTTACTAGCTATAGAAATCAACGTTTGAATATTAAATTTTTCAAAGGTTTTGGACACTAATTTTAATATTCCCGGTTAAACGATAACTTTGACAACCTGAAATCCGACAGCTCACAATTAAAATCAAAATCAACTGTTGCCACGTTGCCAGAAAATTTTTGAATTTCTCGCTTTACATCTAAGAAAAAATTCACCTCGCGTAAATGTATACGTCAAAGATTTCTGAAATTTGACAACGCAGGAAGCTTAAATGAAAGAGTTACATATGTTGGAATTTTTTTTTACTAATAAAATTGGTTTATTTTGTCCATTATTTGGACAGTAATTTTGAATTTTCCGGTAAAATATCGACTCTACTGACAACCTAAAATTTGACAGATGACAAACGGGACCAACATTATCGGCTTCAGGTAATGGAGTAGTTTTAACTTGAACTCAATTCAGTTGATCTTTGTTCTTCATCAGTTGGCAACACTGAAAATCACAATATCCATGGCCTACTAGATTAAAACAATGCTGACAGTATAAAAGCATTTCTGTCACTTGTCACAACAAGGCGCAACGTTGCCAACATCATCAAAATTTAAACAGTTATGGTGGTGCCGTTTCGCCTTCTCCTTCAATTGCAGTTACAAACTTTTCATCTTCAGTTTCGTTCAAATCATTGTTTTCATCTAAATCGGTTCTAGAGCTTTCAGCTTGTGGTTCTCCAAAATCAATTGGTTCTGCCTCATCAGGTTCCTCAGCTACAACTGATTCTTTAACATTCAAATCTTCATCTATAGAAGGTTCGTGTTCTGGAAGCTCAATTTCTATAGCTTCATCGGGTTCAGTTTCATCTTTTGTAAGCTCAACTTCTTCATCAGTTGATTTTTGTTCTTCATCAGCTTTAATTGATCCTTTTTCTTCTTCAGTTTCAATCGATCCTTTTTCTTCTTCAGTTTCAACCGATCTTTTTTCTTCATTAGTTTTAATTGCAGCTGAATCTTGTTGTTGAGGTAATCGAAAGGAGCTATCGCCGTACTTGATCACTCTAGCTCTATCAAACTCCTTGGCAATTTCCTTGTCTGGAAACGGAGGCAAATCGAACAGCTCCGGCATCATGTAATTAAAAGAATCCAGCCTCAAGGTTGCCAACTTCCAATCTTCATAACTGATCATCGGTTCTGGAATTATGATCACTTGCATGCCGGCAGCTAATCCAGCTTTCATGCCCTGGACCGAGTCTTCGAAAACGAGACATTTGTTGGGTTCTGGAATGGGTTCGTCAAATCTTGAAGCTGCTACTAAAAAGATGTCAGGTGCAGGTTTGCCGTTGTGGACTTCGGGATCGGTACCACCGCACACCACGTGATGGAATTTGGAGAATAATTCTGGAAATTTTTCGGTTTTTGTTTGGTATGCGTCTTCAGCGGACGAGGTGGCTATGGAAATTGGGACGTTGAATTTGTGGAGGTGGTTGATAATTCGTTCGGCACCTAAAGAGAAATTTGAATCCACAATTAAGTACTTAGCTGACGTCACACACATATAACCTCAATGAAATGTTTGTCCTTTTATCCAAAGTGACGTTATGTCATTGGTGACAAGTTTGGCCATGAACGTTGTTTGTCCCCAAGGATAATACACATCGCCATGTTGGTGTGTTACCATTTCTGACATCATAACTAAGTCGTCAGCTGTTTGAAAAGGCTACGTAAAGACGAGAAATAACATGCTGCTTACGTCACAACTGATAATTTGACGTGGGGAATTTGTTAATGAGGATAATCCTGTTGTAAGTGTGTATTATCCTTGGTTTGTTCCCCCAACGAAAGTGAAATAATTATGTGTGTGACGTCAGCATATAGGATTCTTACGCTATATTTAGGATGACGTCACATTTAGCAAATTCCTACTGCCAGCCTAATAAAACTAAAAGAAGGTAGGGGAATTTGATGTTTTTGCAACGGCGTGCGACGTTGCACGATTCGCATAAACATTTTCATTTAATTATTTTTAGCTGTCATCAGACTTATTGACACATGACGTTCTGGTAAATTATAGGAAAAAAATAAGCATTGACAACATTGTCTGTTCTTGATCGATGACGTCATTCTAAATATAACATAAACAACCTATAGCAAGCAAGGAAGATACACAACTACGGCTTCGTTTTTGGTCAGTGTTGCCAGAGGTGGTACAATTGTACCAGTTTTGGTACCATTTGTTTTGAAAAAGTACGCTGGTACGACGTTGGTATATTTGGTACAATTTTCAAATTTTTTTTTTGCAAATTCTCAAGAGTCTTAGCCTACTGCCTACGTCTAATATCGATTTTCTAATTAACTTGTATTTCTATATCCAAATTCGATGTAACAATAATTTTTGATTCGTAGATAGATGACGTCACCAATGTAACACGTAACACTCGTTTTGTGTTTTTTAGTTGACGTAGTTTGTGTTTAGTTTAGGTTTTCGGCAGAAAATAAAGAAAACTCAAAGCTTCGTACTATAAATCAGTTTTCCTGATCGGAAAATCCAAAGAAAAACCATTGAAAAGTGACATTCCAAAGCCTACTTGATGAAACTTAAGTTTTTGTTACTTACCCCTTACCCCGTTGAAAAACTTAAAAATTTTTGATACAAAATGAAGGAAACTCAAAGCCTCGTACTTTATATCGATTTTCCCAATCGAAAAAGTGGAAAATTCGAGGAAAAACTGGATAAAAATGTAAACACGTCAAATGAAAATGGCCGACTGTCAAAAATGACAAATGATATTTATTACAAGGCCTCCTTGATTGAAGTTAACAAGCGGTGTTGCCACATCAAAAGTATTTTAAATGGGATTTTGCTAATTATGGCATTTAAAAGTGGAAATTTTTGCTAGAAAATGAAGAAAACTCAAAGTCTCGTATGTTAAATCGCTTTTTTCCATTAAAAATCCCCGGGAGAGTCGAAAATTCGAGGAAAAACTGGCAAGAAAATCACAAGACGTCACTTCAAAATGGCCGACTAAAAGCAACATTGCCACATTACATCTCGGAAATTCAGATTGAGGCCTACAACAGCAACGTTGCCACATTTTAACGGTAATTTTGGAGCATTTGAACAAGTGGCAATTGACATCAAGAAACGAAAGAAACGCCACTTTGTATCGAGTTTTAAAGAAAACAAGGCCTCAATTGTTTAACGTTTGTTGTATCATAAGCAGTATTGCCATATGTTTTTTTTTTGTCGTCAGCGGTTTAAACAACCTACGTCAAGGCGAAAAATAACCTGCTGCCTACGTCACAACTGGTGCTTGGGCGTAGGGGATTAGTTCCACACAGGCCTTATGAGAATAGGCTATCCTGTAGTATTACAGTAGTAGTGTGTATCATCCTTGATCAGCTAGTGTCTGAAACTTGTGCCGCGATATTTAACATTGTTGCCAAATCAAGGAATTATTACCTGGCATTAGATTCAAATCGCTTAAAAACTGATTGGCATTTTCGAGATAGAGTTCCATGAACTTCTCAATGCTGCAAGGCAAATTGAAATGTTCCACAGCAATTTTGCTGCCGTCATATTGTACTCGGCCTTGAACTTTTAAAATGAAATCGTCCTCGTAGGGTACGTCGAAACTTTCAACGACGTGTTTGAAGGCTCTGCCGTAAACACGCTCAGAATCTAAAGAAAGTACATATTAAAGAAGTTTTGATAGTAATTTATTGTTAGTCTTACCGATTATTGTGCCATCTAAATCGAATATGACGTGCGTTACAGGAGAATATTTCGATGGACGATTGCAACAATGTTGGTGCATTTAAATGAAGATGGAAGATGAAGATACTGGAAATTTTGTGGTTGCAAATTCAAAAATGATAGATGTCTGTCAACAGGAAATGACACTACTACTTCTAAAACAGTGTTGCCAAATATTTGCGATTTTATACATTTCCTCAATAATTGCATTTTCTGCAAAGTCTTATGGTTTAATTTTTTAAAATGGAACAATTTGCGTTTAATGTCTTTTTTCAAATTGCACAAATTACCGTTTCCTGTGACACCCACTGGGAGATATTTTATAATTAAAATAAGTCATACACTCTTTAGAGCTCGATATCTCAAAAACGAATTTTTTTAACCTAGGATAATTTAGTAGAAAATTCAATTCTCTTCAAGATAAGCTATAAATAGTTCATTGAGATTCCGTTGATATCAATGGAATTGTGATTGATTATTTGTAACAATGCTGGTCTACTAACATGTCTCATTCACTTTTATGCAAAAATCTCCTTAAGTGCTCCCAATTAGAATAAATTGCCATCATACACAAAAAGTCAAACGGGTCAAAATCTGGCGAACAATTATGCTTTTATTTATTTATGTGTCTGTGCATATTGAGGTGAGTGCTAGTGACGCTCTAGTAGATCTAAAAATTCGATTTCAGGTGCATTAAAGTTCATCCACCTACAAGTAACAGATGTTTGCAAAAGTCTGCCAAACCAATAATAATAAAATTTGAATAATGTATTTGACCTATTTGGGCCTATACAATATTAAATTGGTGCATTAATCTGGCTGCGGACTCATTCGCAAATTAATGTGCGACAATGCAAAAAGCTTATTTTGTGTTTATTTTCCTTCATTTGATTTGTATTACTATGGAGTACAGTCATTTTGATCCGAACAGACGTAAGTGATTTGATTTATAAACATTATTCTTATAAGCCTACTTGTGACGTCAGTTGGTAACACATAAATCACAAATATCCATGGCCTACTAGATTGAAACATAAATGACAGTGTTTAAAAGCATGTTTGTTACTTGTTACAATAAAGCGAATTTGGAGCAAGCATGATATAAATATACAAAAATTGATTATCGGCCTCGTTTTTGGTAATCGCCACAGTATTGGAGTATCACCATTGCCGACGTCATTAACTAGGTCGCTAACTGTTTTAACAGTCTACGTCAAAAGAAAAAAATAACATAATGCCTACCTTACAACTGGTGATTTGGCGTGGAGGGATTTTTTTTTAATCACGAGCCCGAAGGGCGAGAGTGTTTTCAATTTTGAGCGCACAGGGAAACAACGCCATTTTGTATTGGCTGTCAAAGAAAACAGGTCTACTTTGAAACGTCAATTTTTTGACGTCTGCTATGGCATAAACAGTGTTGTCATATGTTTTTTTCAAATTTCGAGATCGAAGGGCTGGAGGTATTTCAATTACGAGCCCGAAGGGCCGAGGTTATACGAGCCCTAAAAGTCGATGTTTTACGACTCCGGAGGGCCTGAGTTATGCGAACTCGAAGGACCGTAGTTTTATTAACATTCGTGTGTATTACCAGACAAAAAACAAGCCCTATAAATTCGTGATTTAAAAAGACTCCAGCCCTACGGGCTCGTCATTTAAAATAACCGTAAAAAGACCCCGGTTTTTCGGGCTCGAGATTTAAAATGACCTCGGCCCTTCGGGCTAGTAATTAGAGAAACTCCAGTCCTACGAGCTCGAATTTATAAGACTCCAACTCTTTGAGCTCGTAATTCAAAAAAACCCTCGTCCTACAGGTTTGTGTTGAAATAACTCTCACCCTTCGAGATTATATTAAACCAAGTAGGCTTTGGAAACATGTATGTATTAGGATGTCAGTATTACAAGGCGCCAAATTCAAACTGTGAAATTTCCCAAAGTCTATTTTGTTGTTTGTCAAACAGTGTTGCCAAATACCAAGGATGTTACTCACATACAAGGAGTTTTTATCGGCCTCGTTTTTAGTAATCACCGCCATATTGGTTTGCAACTATTTCCGACGTCATAACTAAGTCGTCAGCTGTTTAAACAGCCTACTTCAAGGCAAGAAATAACATGCCTAAGTCATAACTGATAACTTTATGACGTCATCTAGGGTGCCTCAACATAATACAAATTTCCATAAAACACCCCAGATGATATTATCAAGTTACCCATTACCAGACAACCTTCAACTTCAGGAACCTTGGATTACACGTAACTGTCGATGTCAAAATCATTTCTTTGTCTTCTTTTAGAAAAGCGCAAGGATAGTAACTAAACTCAAATAGCGAAATTTAGGTCACATCTTTATCTCAATTCTAAAGCCATCAAAATCAAAATCTGTTGCCAAAAAATAATAAATACAAATATTTTTAATAGGGAGTAATTCACATCTAGATGGCACTTTAGCTTAAGTGTCATCTGTCACAAAGAACGTAATCAACGTTGCCAAATTTTAACTAAATCCGCCATTATATGTTTTAGGACCAAAACTGATGGGCGACCGTCTACCATTCAGAGCCATTTCCCCAGAAAGACAACGAGTCCGCAACAAAATCGTAATGTACCACAACTATTTCCGCTCTAGAGTGGAACCTAGAGCTGGCAACATGCTAAAAATGGTAATTAAACTTTTGTGAAACATTTGACAACATTGTTATTTTTGTAGAAATGGCACCGGGGTGCGGCAAAAGCCGCCCAAAAATGGGCGAACCAGTGCGAATTTTTGACGCACGACGCCGCCGTCGGCCGCCATATTGCCGGCTACGGATCGTGCGGCCAAAACATCTTCATCGCCACCGCTCGCGTTCCCTGGCTGTTCGCCATCGAAACCTGGTGGCTCGAGAAAAACGCCTTCAAATATGGCGGCGAAAACAATATGACGCTGGTGGGCCACTACACGCAACTCGTTTGGGCCGCCACCCACGAAGTAGGCTGCGGCCTGACCAAGTGTCATCAGAAAATTTACGACAAAAATGGCAACATTGTAGCAAACGGACCTAAACGGATTTTTTACAATTACGTTTGCAATTATTGTCCCATGTAAGTTGGCAACATTGCCTTCAAGTGACAGCTGTTATTAATTTATTTTTAGCGGCAATCGTCCAGGAAAAACTTCCACTCCGTACAAGTTGGGCAACCCGTGCAGCTCGTGCAAGCAAAGTTGCACCACTAGAAAGTTGTGTTCGAATTCGTGCGACGTTGCCGATATGTGGGCAAACTGTAAGGAGCTGCACCGAATCCATCCGACTTGGTTGTGTCGCACTCAGACGCCCAAGGGCCGCCAGAGGGCGCGTTACTGTAAGGCGACCTGTAATTGTCGCAATAAAATATACGATTAGATTTTATTTTGTTTTTTTCAAAGTTGGCAACAGTGTTTGCATTGACGTAATGTCAAATGTCATTATTAATTTCTCTAGAGTAGGATTCCCGCGTTTTGATTTTTTCTGACATCTTTTTGTCACTTTTTTCGAGGGTAACATAAACCAAATTTTCGCGACGAACGTAGTTCATCCAAGGACGAACCATAGTTTGTCTGTGACGTCATGTGTTTGAGCGCTGTCTAGAAGCTGCATCCATGCTTCTGTCGAACTACGTGCAATATGACGTCATGAGTTTCTCGCGAAAGCGTTTGTGTTCATGAAATCATGGAAGCAGTTCGTCGCAAAAATTCGGTTATAGTCAAAATGACAGCTGTCAAATTTTTTGACAGATGAAAAAAGTTGTAGATATTTTTTTACATACCTATAAGTCTGTTAGAAAGTTCACCGAAATGTACCCTGTTTTACGACCAATAAATGAAAGAAAATTACGTTTAATATGACGTCATGAGTTTCTCGCGAAAGCGTTTAAGTTCATGAAATGATGGAAGTAGTTCGTCGCGAAAATTCAGTTTTAGTTAATAACGTCGGAAATGGTGATACGCCAATATGGTGGCGATTACCAAAAACGAGGCCGATAAGCAATCCTTAGTAGTGTGTATTATCCTTGGTCAAAGTTAACATTTTACCGGAAAATTCGAAATTATTTACCAAAAACCTTTAAAAATCTTGGTAAAGTCTGACGCACGAGAGTTTAAAGGCCAAATTATGGACCAACTGGACATGTGTTTGGTTATAATGGCTGGGTTCGTTTATTACATCTGCGAGCAAAAAGAGCAATTTTTGACAGACGTCAGGTGACCACTTATCTTTTTTCACGTGTCAATTCACGTGACATTTGTCAAATTTTGCTCGCAGATGTAATAAACGAACCCAGCCTATATAGCAGGTACTTTCTATTCTCTAGTACCTGCTAGGTAACAACCAGACTTTTACCAGTCAGTCCATAATTTGGCCTTAAAGTTGGCAAATATGCAAACTAATATTTCTATCACGCTCTATTCCATTGCAACTGTGTATTTCCATATCGTTTTTTCTTCCGTTTTCACCTCAGACTGAAACGCTTTTTTCTCAATAGCCAACCTTTATGTGTTGTGATTTGCAGTGTTGCCAACTGATGAAGAACCAAAATCAATTCAGGAAATTATTTTTGGCAGAGAAATTCTTAAATTTTCCACCTTGAAGCACTCTTTAGCTGATAAATTAATTAAAGGAAACTGTTTAAGTTTGAAAAATGGGTACATTCAGGCGGTCCCAGCGACTAAGCTCAGCTATTCAGCAGGAACTTTATTCTCGAAACCAAGTAACAGCGTTCTCATAAGAACGATTGCTCTGTCATTGTCAGTATTATGCCGGACAACAAAGACAGAACCTTCGTTCCAATAAGAACGCTGCCCCTGTTTCGAGAATGAAGTTCCTGCTGAGTGGCTGAACTAAGCCGCTGACATCGCCTGAATGCACCCAATGATATTGACAACATGGTGAACTGTCAGATTTTAAGTTGTCAAAGTTGACATTTAACCGGGAAATTCGAAATTAGTCTCCAAAAACCTTGAAAAATTTTACTTTTGGGCAAGTTTTTAAAATCATCAATGACATATACGCATTTTTACCTATGTAATGGTGTCCTTGTCATTTGACAATAGCAAAACAAGGATATGTTACTCATCAAGAGAAATGCGCATCAAGGTTGTTTGAGAGTAGGTAGGTTGCCTAATAACTTTATGACATCACCAGGGGTGCCTCAACATAATGCAAATTTCCTAGGATCCTTAAGCATTTGCGCATAAGCAAATGGTGAATTTAAAAATTTGACCTTTCAGGATGTTCTGTCAACCGTTGATTATTGATAGCTATAGTAGGCCATGGATTTTTTTTTACAGTGTTGCCAACGGGGGAAGAACAAAGATCATCTAAAAAAAAAAATTGAGTTTCCAAAAGATGATTCAGCCTCAGTTGTAAGTTGAAATTACTTCATCAACTAAAACTGGAGAAATTATACAAATTGAGCGTTCAAAACAGAAACCATTTGGCAACGTTGTGAACTGTACGATTTTAAGTTGACATTTGCCGGGAAATTAAAAATTATTGTTCAAATAATGGACAAAATGAACCAGTTTTGATGTTTTTTTTAATATAGAATACACTGCTAGGCTGAAAACTTAGAAATAATAGAATAATTATAATGTAAGGCCTCCATTTTCTCCTGTCACGTTGCCAGATTTCAGAAATCTTTGACACTCTTGGCGGGAAATTTGAATTTTTCTTCAGATTTCAAGGAAGTAGGAAATCAACAATACACTTTAGGTTTTTATTTAAAATCTACTTCAAACTATAATACAAATTCAATTAGCCACTGATTTAATCTTGCATAAAACATCACTAGCGGATAAATCCTTCAAGGATATTGCCTTTTCTTTGCCTTGTTCTAGAAAACAGAAAATCAGTTTTTGGCCTCAAAATAATGACAGAATCTTTACCAAATCTGGCCCACAGCTTCGGCTCTACTCCGGAACACTCCCGAATCAAAATAGGGAACTTAGGGTTACTCGATTTCAGCTCTACATAGTGTTTTTCAATGAATTCTCTAGAAAAATTATGTAATCTTTGAAAGGGGTTTATTTGAGGTTATAATTACCTGACGCCTTTGCTAGCAGGACTGGTTTGGCACAAGTGCACTCGCAACTCCCTTAGGGCTCCGCTAAATTTAATTCCCGCAGACATTTCAGAATTTTATTTGAAATTTTCTTAAAATCAAAAATCACGAAATCTTAACCTCAAAAAAAAAAAAGTTTTGTTTTGACATTTTGTTGGAGGAAATTACGTCCACTGAATGCATGCCATTTAGTGCAGAGATATGGGACCCAGTGCAACAAATAAGCTTTGTTCCAACTGTTCCAGCAGAACTAGTAATTTCCAGTAGTTTATTTACCTATTTTTCAATAAGTTGAATGTTTATTCTACTGGGAAATTACCATTATAGAACGGTTCTCATGTTTGTTGTGTTGGAACAGAACTCATACCAACTTAACTTAAAAGCAAAAATTCCCGGTGTTGCCAACACAAAAAAAAAAAAACTAAAAATCCAAAACACAAATCAGCTGTTTGGTAAATATTGTTCTAAAGTTTTTTTAAATTCCTAAATACACATTGTAAAATAGATTATGATAATTAATCAAGTGTAGAATGCAAAATCCCAAAGTGTGGTCGTTCCATGAACCACAATCCTCGTTTAAAGTGCAACAACTCCTTGCTACCGATATTTCCATTAAAAATTTCCAAAATTTCCACTTCAGTCACTTGGTAAATGAATTTTGTTTTGTTAATAACTATTTCCTAATAATTGTTGTCCAGATTTCAGTTTTTGTACCAGATTCATTGTCCATACCTGAAAATTTACCCACCAAACTCATAGAGGATTGCGAATATTACAAAGTTGCCAAATTGAATTTGGCCGATTTAGTTGAAGCGGTATTTTTGAATAGTTTTATTAAAAAAGGTAACAATTTGATAAACATATATATAAATTTGTATACAAATAATGTCTTATTTAGGAAAATTGTCATTGCTCAGCATAGGAACCAAAATTGATGCGGACAATTGCTGCGCAGTTACGCCAGATGGAAATTTGATTTTGTCTTTGCTGAAAGATACTTACCAGAGTTGCGGCTTGGAAGGCAAAGTTTCGCATTTTACTAAAACAAACAAGGACAGATATAGTGAGTAAATTTGGCAATCATGTTTGTGTTTTTCAAATTTTTATAAACCAATCAGAATGACTTATTGAAGTCAGGGTGATTTTTATTGGACTGATTATTTTGAATCAAATCAACAATTTTTATTGCTTTCCACGGGTTGATTATTTTGGACCAATCAGAATCATTAATTTCGAAATTTTTATTGGTTCACAAATGACACTGCAGTGTTGCCAACTGATTGTTTAGTGAATTTTAACTAGGGTACTTGCACAAAATTCTTTTGAGTGGCTTGTGATGGAGACAACATTGCCAGATTGACATGGATGGAATTAAAACTAATGTTGCATTTTTCTTGGTTTAATTTACTAGTGTAATATTTATGTTCCCTTTTTTCTCTGTCCCTTTTTTACCCATTGAATTTTGTATACATTTTCTCACTATTCCAGGCACTTGATTGGTCAATGCCAAAGAATAATCAAAATTTGTGTCCCACTACTCCTACTTTACATTTGTCTCTTTCTTAATCATTGAATCTTTTATAACTCTGTCTCTCACTTAATTATATTCAACCTCTTGATTTGTCAGAAACAAATAACCCAAATTTGTGTAATGTTTTTGTTCCTATCTTATCTCTGTCCCTTTCTTACCCATTGAATTTGGCATACAACTTCTTTTTATTCCAGGCACTTGACTTTTCAGACAAGACTACTCAAACGCCTGGAATAATTAAAATATTATTCCTACTTTATATCTGTCTCTTTCTTTCTCATTTTATTCTTTATATATTTATGTAATATTTTTGTTCCCACTTTATCTCTATCCTTTTCTTGCTGATTGAATTTTGACTACCATTTCTCTCTATTTCAGGCACTTGATTGGTCAGATACATGATTACTCAAGAGCCAGGAATAATCAAAATTTTCGTCCTACTTTATATTTGTCTCTTTCTTAATCATTGAAGCCATTATATCTTTATCTCCTATTTTGTTATACCTAAACTCTTGATTTGACACAAATAGCCCAAAGGACCCCGCAATATTCAAATGGAAATTGGTTAAGTACCCGTGATATTTGGATGAAATTTAAATATGTTGTTGGGGATGCCGTAAGCACCATTTTTTACCATGGGCACAACCCTGTATATATGACAGGTGAGGCGTGGTTAGCTGTCAAAAATTGGAAACTTATATCCAAAAGCAGAGTGACTATGTGAACGAAGTATTGATGTCTACTAAGTCAACCATGTTAAGTCGAAAAATGTCAACGATTTTGACACCTGTCAAAACCCTGCCAAACAGCAGCACTCATGTTTTTCCGTTTTCAATATTTTATGATGTCATTTGACATTTTAAACTTGTATGTGAATTCTGAATTCAAAAATTGAAAAATAAAAATGACAGAACTGTCAAAACCTGTCATTTGTTTTAGTAGAAAAAAATACTCTAATCTAGTTCTTTTTTGTTTTAAGGTTGTTTATTAGTGATAAAACATTAAACAAAGTTCATGCATGTCACATTTTAACTCTGACAGTTGTCAAAATGTGACATACCCAAACTTTGTTTAATATTTCATCACCAATAAACTACCTTGAAACAAAAAATAATCAAATTAAAGTATTTTTTTCTTCTAAAACAAATGACAGGTTTTGACAGTTCTGTCTTTTTTTTTTCAATTTTTGACTTCAGAATTTACATACAAGTTAAAAATGTCAAATGACATCATGAAATATTGAAAAATGGAAAAGATGAGTGCTGCAATTTGGCAGGATTTTGACAGGTGTCAAAATGGTTGACATTTTTCGACTTAATTTGGTCGACTTAGTAGAAATAAATTTTTAGTTCATCAAAATCTGCCATAGTGACTCTGCTTTTGGATATAAGATTCCAATATTTGACAGCTAACCACGCCTCATCTGTCATATATACAGGGTTGTACCTATGGTAAAAAATGTTGCTTATGGCATCCCCAACAATATATTTAAATTTCATCCAAATATCACGGGTAACCAATTTCCATTTAAATATTGCAGGGTCCTTTGTGTAATATTTTTGTTCCTATTTTATTTCCGTCCCTTTCTTACTCATTGAATTTTGTATCATTTCATTTCTCTCTATTCCAGGCACTTGATTGGTCAGATATATGATTACTCAAGCGCCAGGAATAATCAAATTTTTTGTCCTACTTTATATTTGTCTCTTTTTCAATCATTGAATCCATTATATCTTTATCTCTTACTTGGTTATACCCAAACACAAATAGCACAAATCTGTGTAATATTTTTGTTCCTATTTTATCTCTGTCCCTTTTTTACCCATTAAATTTTGCATTACCTCTTTATTCCAGGCACTTGATTGGTCAGACACAAGACCACTCAAGTGCCAGGAAAAATCCAAATTTGTGTCCTACTTTATATTTGTCTCTCTCTTAATCATTGAATCCTTAATGCTTTTATCTCCTACTTTGTTATACGCAAACTGTTGATTTGCCAAACACAAATAGCCCAAGTTTGTGTAATATTTTTGTTCCTATTTTATCTTTGTCTCTTTTTTACCCATTGAATTTTGTATACCATTTCTCTCTATTTCAGGCACTTGATTGGTCAGATACAAGACCACTCAAGCGCCAGGAATATTTAAAATTTGAAACTGATATATGCACTGTTTTTAAGGCTGCCAGGTGACCTACTTGCCTGCCATATCTTTTGCATGCACCCTGTATATATATATATATATATATATATATATATATATATATATATATATATATATATATATATATATATATATATATATATAATCAACCTTGTATATACATTTATTTTGTATCTTGCTTGCTGTCAAAATATACCGAACAACTCTGTACAATTTACGCAAAAATACGAATATTTGACAACACCGCCATTCACTATGTAATGACGTCACAATTTCTAACTGTTTTCGCGCCAAAAATGTGCAAGTACCCTATTGAAATCGCCTCATTTCTTATTGGTTCAAAAAATGCTGGTGCAATGTTGCCAACTGCTTTCCGCTCACTGAATATTTCGGACCAATCAAAATCAATCATTCAAGCAGCGCGATTTTTATCGGTTCACAAATGTCGCTGCAGTGTTGCCAACGGTTTTCCGCGCACCAATTAACCAATAACTAGAATCGTTTTATTTTTAATTGGTTCAACAATGTTGCCAATAATCGCAGTTTTTTTTTGAGATTTGAGATTTGACAAATGCCCCAATTCAAAAAAAGTACCGACCGATCATAATCATAAAAATGTCGTTGCGGTGTTGCCAACTGCTTTTCACGCAATTGTTATTTTGGACCAATCAGAATCATTTATTTAGGCTTATTACAAATGACTTTGCAGTGTTGCCAACTAATTGTCTAGTGAATTTTAACTGTTTCAACTCAATAGGGTACTTGTACAAAATTCTTCGGTATACTCGAACAATTTCTGCGAATGACATGTGACGTGACGGGGGCAACGTTGCCAAATTGTGATGGTTGGAAGTAAAACGTATGTTGCAATTTTCTCAAATTTTGTGTAATATTTTTTTTCCCATTTTATCTCTGTCCCTTTCTTGCCCATTGAATTTTGTATACCATTTCTTTTTACTCCATACACTTGATTGGTCAGACACAAAACCACTCAGGCGTCAGGAATAATCAAAATTTTGTGTTCTACTTTATATTTGTCTCTCTCTTATTCATTAAATCCTTTATGTCTTCGTCTCCTACTTTGTTATACTCAAGCTCCTGATTTGTCAAATACAAATAACTAAAATTTGTGTGATATTTTTGTTCCCATTTTATTTCTGTCCTTTTCTAACCTATTGAATTTTGCATACCATTTCTCTCTATTCCAGGCACTTGATTGGTCAAATATAAGACCATTCAAACGCCGGGAGTGCTTAGAGTAATTTAAATCGAGTTAGTGCAAATGGAACAGAATTAGAACAGTCAAAGTAGTTCGGACAGTTCAACAGATCAAAAAGAATCAGTGCACTTGGAATAGTTAGAGTAGAATTACTAAAATCCCAGTAGAGCATTAAGAACCCACTCTGAAACTTTTAGAGTTACTCCTCTTACTTTTTTCTTGTTCAAAAAGAATACAATTTCGAATGACTTAGGCCATCTAGGGTACTCCGTTTTACTCCTTTTATTATTTTCTTGTTATCCGTGTGTAAATAATCTCCGCTCACTATGAATACACTATGCGAATCAGTGGATTATAGAATAGTTTAAAAGAGTGCAATTTTGGGTACTCTAAGTACTCGGGTTACTCCAACTGTCAAATTTGTTTTAATTCGTATGCCATGACACTCTGACTGTTCGAATATGGCTCTTTAGAGTAAATATAGTAATTAGGTGTATGTTCGTTTATACGGAGTGGAGTAAATAAATTTTACACCGGAACGATTTTAGAGTGAAAGTGACGAAGAAGTTGAAATCAATCTTAGTACCCGAACCAATAAGGTAGCTACTCTAACTGTTCGAAAATGACTTTTTGGTGTAAATAGAGTAATTAGAGTAACTAAAACACATTTGCAGGTGCAAATAATTTTACTTTACTTACAACAATAAGTAAAGTATAAGAGAGTAAAATAGAGTATTCCGGATTTGCTCTAACTGTTCGATTATCTTTTTAAGGGAAATCATACGGAGTAGACCGAAAAGAATTCACTCCAAAGGTTTCACCACGTGGTCTGGAACTTTTGGAGTCTACTCCTTTTACTCTTTAGAGTAACTAAATGCATCTTCGTTAGAATAGTTCATTCAGATCATTTCTGAATTGTGGTTTTTAGAGTTCCGAGTTTATCAATTGTTGTTCCGAACTAGGAAAAATTGTGAACTAAATTATTATTAGACGCATACGGTGCACGAGTATTCTGAACTAGTGTTCTGGATCGCATTAACAATTCATTTGGAACCAGTTCCAGATTATTTTAGAATTGATTTTTAGAGTTCCGACTGCTCCAATTGCTGTTCCGAAATCGAAATAAACTAATCTGAACTGTACACATTGACTGTTCGTAATTCAATTTGAACCGGTTCTGAATTCCAGAATTCGAGAGCCGGGAATAAATAAAAATCGATTCTATCTTTCTCCCTCTTTACCTGGTAGTAGTTTTATCTATCTTTTTCTTATTCCTTTTGTTCTTTATTTTTCATTACTCCAAAGTACTCTAGAGTTGTTTACTCTGGAGTAGCTTACTCTAGAGTACTCCGGAGTAGCTTATTCTGGAGTAGCTTACTCTAGAGTATTCCGGAGAAAGTTACTCTAGAGTACTCTGGAGTAGCTTACTCTAGAGTACTCCGGAATAAGTTACTCCAGAATAGCTTACTTATTCCAGAGAATTGTAGAGTATTTCACTCCAGAGTACTTTAGAATAGAACAGCTTATTATTGCTTGAATTGGTTCACAATCGAGCAATCTTCAATTTGTGTCTCTAAAGCGCCGGAAATAATCAAAATTTGTATCCCACTTTATATTTGTCTCTTTCTTACTCATTTGCATACCATTTCTCTCTATTCTAGGCACTTGGTTGGTCAAATACAAGACTACTCAAGCGCCGAGAATAATAAAAATTCGTCTCAACTTTTTCTTATCCTACTTAACAACACTGCTATTTACCTTGTGATGACGTCACAATAACCCACAGAATTCAAAATTTACAATCCAAAAACGTGCAAGTACCCTATTGAAATTGCTTTATTTATTCAAAAGTGTTAGTGTAGTGTTGCCAACTGTTGTTCGCACACCAATGAAAATCACTTATTTTAAGCCAGCGCACGAATGTCATGGCAGTGTTGCCAACTTTTCCAAATCGTTTTACTTTTTATTGGTTCAACAATGTTGCCAACAACCGTAACTGTTGTCAATTTTACTAAATTTTCTTTAATATAGCGTGGGACTGGGATAGCTCTACAAAAGTACAGCTCTCCAATCAAGTTCTCATTGTTTCAGACAATGCCCAAATTCAAAGAAGTACCAACTCTAAAATCCTTATCACTAAAAAGCATTGGATCTTTGATAGTCTACCTAACTCCATCTATAATGTCTAGAGTAAAACTGAGCAGAGACCCACAGAAAATAGTACTGCACCTGCAACGCACCATCGACCGAATAAATGACACTCTAGTCTCTTATGTTCCTTATTACCTGTACGAAATCATGGCTGTGGAAGTTTTAAAATCAGTAAAACTACTTATAGAGAAAACCAAGAAGAATTACTATCCGCAAGTGTCTATGGCACATTTTTTGACTGAAATGAATGTAGTTGTCAGCCTGACTGAAGTTGTACTCAACCCAAGGTTAAAAACCGTAGATTTTTCACAGTGGCCCAAAATAATGCGATATGTTTTGTATAAAAACTTAAATAAGTTGCGAGGTTTGGAAGTTTTAAACCTAGGCTCATGCACAGGAGGTTGGAGAACATCAGAGCATGACAAAAACATCTTAGATGGAATTAAAATAATGAAAAACCTACACACAATCTGTCTATGTTTCGATTGTAGTGACTTAGTTATACAAACCTTATCAGAAAATTGTCCTAATTTGCAAAACATTGATGTAACATCAAGTAGATCAGTAACAGACAGGAGTGTACCATTTTTATTAAATTGTACTAATTTAAAAGAGCTGCAACTCTATAGGACTTCAGTGACAACATCTGGATTAGCAAGACTAATCAGTGGCTTACCAATGTTGCAAAACATCGGCCGAAATGATGAATTTAGGGAAATAATCTCAAAAATTCATCACATTACAGGTTTGACTAGACTTGAAACTAAAGACTTGCCAACTGAAAGCTTAAGACTACTAGTCAACATGCTTCCTAACATCGAATATATTTGCTTGTTTCATGACATTGTTGTTGCAGACTTATCAGTCTTAATTTCACTTACAAATTTGAAGCAACTAAAACTTTTATCTTATGCCTTTTATCAAGACTCTTTGAAACAACTACTAGAAATTCAAGGCAAAAACTTCACTCATCTTCACTTGGAACATGTAGAAGAAATGGACTTCAATGTGTTATTAATAATAGGAAAATCCTGTCCCAAAATTAAAAGCTTAGTGTTTTATAATTGTGATTTTAGACATAATAATCAAAATATCAATGTGCAACCAATATTAAGTTCTAAGCCTTATTTTCACAGCCTGGAACGCATTTTTTGGGTTGTAGACAGTAACATAAATCACTTAGAATTCATTCTAAGCCACTCAGTAAACATAAAATATATTCATTTGGGGTCTTCCACTGGTATAACACACGGCAACATTGTCAATATTCTAAGGGTGAATCCTATGAAATGTCTAGAAGAATTCAGGGTGTTGTATAGCAGCGACATGAGCATGCGCACTGTGCAATTGTTGCTGGCGAGTTGTACCAACCTAAAGGTGTTGTCCGAATTGGAAAGTTGGCAAGGGATTCGGATGGAGGAGTTGAAAGTTTTCAAAGAACAAATCAGGAGGAGTAATTTTGATTTGGATATAAGGCCTACTTTGTCGTTTTCTAGTTGAGTTTTTCATTAAATTTTGACCCTTTTGATTGCAGTCGTACCAACTGCATTTTCAATTTGATATTTTATTAAACATCGTTTTATTTAAAATATTGTTTGTATTTCCACTGAATTTCCCCAAATTTATAGGCAGAAATGGTTATTTTGGCAACGTCGCAAGCTGGCTGTATCAAGCGTTATTGTTATGTTTGGGAATTAATCAGCAGTGTTGCCATTCGCGGATATTTTACCCGAATTTCAGGTATTCTAACATTGAAGCAGGTAAAATAAGGTAATTTGAAAACAAGTGTTGAATTGTTCGATTGTTGTGTTATTTGAAATCCTATCAATATACAATATTCTTGATTATTTTGAGTTTTGTTTGCTTGGGGATTATAAAATTTTGTGGTGGCAACACTGTTAATCATTCTTGAATTTATGTCGAAATGGGAGTAAAATTGTGATCACTACTATTTTAACGTCATATTATTCTATTCGTTCCCATCTTATCCCTATCTCTTTCTTGCCCATTGAATTTTGCATACCATTTCTCTCTATTCCAGGCACTTGATTAGTCGAATGTAAGATTGCTCAAGCGCCGGGGATAGTCAAAATTTGTGTTCCCATTTTATCTCTGTCCCTTTCTTACCCAGTGAATTCTGTATATCATTTCTCTTTAGTCCAGGCACTTGATCAGTCAGATACTCAAGCGCCGGGAATAATCAAAATTTGTGTCACTTTTTTTTTCCTACTTTATATTTGTCTCTTTCTAATTCATTGAATCCTTTATGTCTTTGTCTCCTACTCTGTTATACCCAACTTCTTGATTTGTCAGATACAAATAGCAGAGATTTGTGTAATATTTTTGTTTCTATTTTATCTCTTTCCTTTTCTCACCTATTGAATTTTACATACAATTGACGATTTCGCCATGTTTTTGTTGATAGGTAAATTGGTTGACCGCTAAATAGGCTCTTCGTCACAACAGTGACGTCACATACCATTTTCAGCCGGTTTGTCAAATGTCACGTGTATGACGTCATAATGATGGTATGCCTGAGAAGTTTTCTTTAAAACTCCATACAAATGACGTTTCTTTGTTGCCTTGTGGGCTCCAGATTAAAAACACTCTCGCCCTTCGGGCTCGTGATTAAAAAAAAAGACGCCATTTCAATCCTCTAATGTTACAGTGTTGCCAAAAGTTAAAAATTTCAATCAACCTACAACATCATAACAATCGTTTCTTGATGTCAATTGCCACTTGTCAACGTTTTACATTTACAATTACAAATGCTTCAAAATTACCGTTAAAATGTGGCAACGTTGTTGTTGTAGGCCTCAATCTGAATCACAAGGCTGTCAATTGACAAAAAAAGTCATGACAATCGTAGGTTGTTCTGAAAATTAACTTGTCAATTGTCAAAAAACATACGAGAGCCCGGCCTGAAGGGCCGGAGTTATATGAGAAATCGGCCCGAAGGGCCGGAGTTATAGGAGAGCCCGGCCCGAAGGGCCGGAGTTATACGAAAGCACGGCCCGAAGGGCCGGAGTTATACGAAAGCACGGCCCGAAGGGCCGGAGTTATACGAGAGCCCGGCCCGAAGGGCCGGAGTTATACGAGAGCCCGGCCCGAAGGGCCGGAGTTATACGAGAGCCCGGCCCGAAGGGCCGGAGTTATACGAGAGCCCGGCCCGAAGGGCCGGAGTTATACGAGAGCCCGGCCCGAAGGGCCGGAGTTATACGAGAGCCCGGAGGGCAGGAGTTATTTTAATCACGGAGCCCAGTTTATAATTCCATTGGTCAGCGGATAATTTGGAGCCAATCAAAACTCGGAAATATTCAAAATGCGATTTTTAGCGCCCAACCAAAGAGCCGGGAATATTCAAAAATTTTATGTTGGTTTTTCTATTGGGTTTTCTTAAGATTTTTACTTTTTTCAGAAAACGGTGGTTTTTGCAAATATATACTACTTTATCGTTGTCTTTGTCTTACTCACTATAATCAACAAGTAAACCTTGTAATGTCATTTTCATTGAAATTAAACTAAAAACAAGTTTTCTATACTTTATCTAGTAAAATTTAATAATTTTAATCATTATTAAATTGAATTTTAAACAAAAAACCCATCTAAAATATTATTTTTGTTTTCCGAGATGTAATGTGGCAATGTTGCTTTTAGTCGACCATTTTGAAGTGACGTCTTGTGATTTTTTGCCAGTTTTTCCTCGAATTTTCGATCTTTCCGGGGATTTTTAATGGAAAAACGCCATTTAACATACGAGGCTTTGAGTTTTCTTCATTTTGTAGCAAAAATTTCCACATAATTAGCAAAATCCCATTTAATATGCTTCTAATGTGGCAACACCGCTTGTGGCTAACTTCAATCAAGGAGGCCTTGTAATAAATATCATTTGTCATTTTTGACAGTGGGCCATTTTCATTTGACGTGTTTACATTTTTATCCAGTTTTTTCTCGAATTTTCCACTTTTCGAGGTCGTTTTCAGTCGAGAAAACTGATTTAAAATACGAGGCTTTGAATTTCCTTCATTTTCCGCCAAAAAAGTAACGAAAACTCAAGTTTTATCAAGTAGACTTTGGAATGTTATTTTGGCTGGTTTTTCTTTGGATTTTCCTTTTTTCCAGGCCGTTTTCGAGCGGGAAAACTGATTTAAAGTACGAGACTTTGAGTTTTCCTTCATTTTCTAGCAAAAATTTCCAATTTTAAATGTCATAATTAGCAAAATCCTATTTAAAACGTTTTTCTGGAAGTTTTGATGTGGCAACACCACAGTTAACCAACTTCACGAGCATGAAATTACCTTTCGTTTCGCTCATACCACTGTTGCCAGGTCAAAAAAATTAAATTTGGTATCAAACCTGGTACAATTGCACCACCTCTGGCAACACTGGACATACCAAAATAGATGCCAAAGTTATCGTGACGTCATTGTTTTTCGTGCCGAAATTGGTTGGTACATTTTTGACCAACCAAAGTGGGAAACCAAAACGTGGCAAAATCGTCTCAATATTTCTCTATTCCAGGCACTTGACTGGTCAGATACAAAATCACTCAAACGCCAGAAATAATCAAAATTCGTTCACTTTTTTTTTATCCTACTTTATATTTGTCTCTTTTTTAATCATTGAATTTTGTATGTCTTTGTCTCCTACTTTGTTATACCATACCCAAGCTCTTGATTTGACACAAATAGCTAAAATTTTTGTTCCTATTTTATTTTTGTCTCTTTCTTAATCATTGAATTTCTTATACCGCGTCTTTCTCTTACTTGACTATTCAATATAACATACTTATATACTAATGTATGTATTTCGTTAAAGTGCAACGACCGACCAGTGTAACGTAGGAGGCTGCCATTTTGACCCATATTTTAAGCCGGAATTTCAAAAATAACATTGTTATAAATTTAGAAATGTCAATATTACAGACATCTGTAACTTATATTTCATTAATGTCGAAGCATAAGTCAAAATGGCCGATTCTTCTATCTTCTTTTATTTTAATGCGCAGAAAGTTGCGCAGTCGTTTTTCAGCGGTATACGTTAGTATTATATATGTATGTGTGATTGGTAAAATACAGAAATTACTAGGCCTCTCATTATTACTTAAGCCAGGTTTTATAATCCATTCACTATAACTTTATCCGTCTCTTATTCAGTGAATTTCTCATATCGTTGCCTCTCACTTTGTTATTTTAAGTCGTTGATTGGTCGGTCAGACACAAAAATTTGAAAATTCTGCGATTGAAGCATCAATTCTGAGCTGATTTAGTTTTTCTCTCTCTCTTACTCGGCAGAAATTGAAAAAAGACCAGAACAATTTTTATAATAATTGAATTAGAATAAGTTAAACCTACAAATTACAAGGTCATTTATTTTCATTTTAACTCCATCTCTTTCTGATTCAAAGAATTACCTATAGGTTAGTCTTTTTTTTATTATTCCAGGCTCTTGGTTGAATTTTGCATACCATTTCTCTCTATTCCAGGCAGTTGAGGCTAATAAATAATCAAAATTCGAATCACTTCTTTTATATCCTACTTTATATTTGTCTCTCTCTTGATCATTGAATTCTTTATACGTTTATCTTGAACTTTGTTATACCCAAATTTTTGATTTGTCAGACACAAATAGCCAAGATGTGTGTAATATTTTATTTTCCAATTTTATCTCTGTTTCTTTCCCACCCATTGAATTTCACATACAAAACTACCCAATCGCCGGGAATAATCAAAATTTGTTTTTAACGTCATCACTAATGTCAATATAAAAATGTAGTGCTCTGTTCGTTAACAAAATATTGGATCATATTTGTCTCTGTCTAACCCACTTGATATAATTAAGTTGTCCAACGCCTACTTTGATTAATTTGCAAAAAATAACCATCTCTGTCTAACGCATTTAAAACAATGGCTCATATGAATAAAACATTACGTTTTTTGAGATAAACATATTCAGTTTCAATGCAACAAAAAGAGACGGAAGTAGAGTAAAAGCATTTGCTACACTTTATTCATACGACTGAAAAAAGACAAAACATCAAATGAAAGTTGTTTGCATTGTTTCCACATGTCATCACTGATGTAAAAATAAAATGCAATGCTCTCTTGGTTGAAAAAAAAAACAATTGGAATATATTTATCTCTGTCTAACACACTTGATATAATTGCCAATACCTACTTTGAAGTTTTTGCAAAAATAACGCATTCGAAACAATCAGGTCTATGATGTATCATTTTCTGTTATTTCAACAGCAACGTTAAGTTATCTGTCACTGTTTATTTTATACGTCAAAAATGAGATACAAATAGATGTTGAGCCTTAACACAGCCGTTAAAATAACAGGACAGGATACATCATAAGCCTGATTAAAGACAAAAGTTATTTGCGCTGTTGCCACATGTCAAAATATTAAATGTAGTGCTTTGTTGGTTGAAAAATTAATGCGGAGTATATTTACACACTTTTTATAATTGACTTATCCAATGCCTACTTTGATGTTTTTGCAAAAAAAAAAAAAATAACCATCTCTGTCTAACGCATTTAAAACAATCAAAATGCGTTGTTGCCACATGTGTATTTTTATTTGTAAATTGTCCAAGAATAATTAATTTTGTTGTGATAATATAATTGAAATTATATTTTATTAATGTATTTTATTGGAACCTCCAAAACCTTCAAGTCAAGGTAAATTGTCATTTAAAAATAATTATTTTGATTATTAGTCTATTCTTTTGCAGTTGTGACTGTTAACCTTGCCGAGCTCAAACCTGGAAAACCTTTGCATGGAAAAACTCAAAAATCCCTTGAAGCCCTTGGAAAATTCGATGTCATATTGTCATGGCAACCCTATGATGATATCATATGCCCTTCCTCTGTTGCGAAATATTTTCAAAATTACGACATAAAACTTTGTGAGCCTACTTTTGACAGTCACATGGTGTATTCTGTCAAAGGGCCTACTCTTGACAGTGTTGCCAACCAAGACGACATTATTGACTTTGTAGAATGGCTAGGCATGGTGTCTTTGGACGCAGATTTTAGTGGCAACATGGAAAATTACGTTAACACATATGAAAGTCCCGAACCCAACGTTGAAATGGGACAAGTAAGGGTGCTGACTTGGAGAGGGTTTTATTCTAGCAATCAAGTAATGGAGGTTTTTGATTATCTCAGGTAATTTTTGACAGTTGATGGATGTCGACAATTGAATTAATTTTTTTTTAGAAACTACAATAATGTTCAAAATAAACTTTGGATTTCCATGTATGTGCAAGGATTTTCTGATTCGCCAGTGATTGAGGGCAAAGAAGAACAAAACTATTTTACTAATGGGGATAATTGTAATGTTTATATTTTGAAGGAGTTGCAATGTTGGTTTTGTAAACATCGCACTTGTGCTAAACGATATAAATAAATGTCAAGTAACTTCCAGTGTTGCCAACCACAATATGGCCTACTATAACACATAAGATACAATGTTACAACTGTGAAAAATAAAACACATTTTTACTGATAAATAATTTGTATATTTATTTATTTATTCTTTACTTTCTTTATATATACACATTGTTGAATATTTACATAAGTCTCTCTAGTAACCAGTTGTTTAAGATTTACAATATTTTCTACATTATACATCGAATAATTTTCATTCATAATATACATAACTCAAGCTGACGTCACACATTTGACTTTCGATAGGGGGACAAAAAAATGTCATTGTTAGGTTATGTGTGGGTGACGTCAGCAGCTAATAAATTGTTAAAACTTTGGTTTAAAAAATAGAAAGTTTTGGAATGCAAAAAACTATTTACATATATTTGAACAATCACACGGGCAGCGACAAAGGAATGTCAACGAATAAAATTTGACAGTGATTATTTGTGAGAGATTTTAAGCCAATAATCTGACAAGTTTGACACAAAATAGTTCAGTACAGCATACATAACCTCAAACAAAATAGCCTAAAAATCTCTTTATTAACAATATATTATAGGGGAATAACTAACTATTTTAAAAGTATTTTCAACCAACCCTTTAATTTTTTAAATCAGGTACATTTAACAGTAGTTTACTCTTGCCCAAAAGTGTCAGTCTCTTCGATTGCGTAGGTTAACTTTTCAACTAGCTGGTCGTAACTTTTATAGGGCGGCAAATCTAGCCGGTTAAAACAGGTGTGCGACCTTGGCAACCAAGATTCTTTGCCTACTTTTTCAATACAAAACCGTTGAGGCCCATTGGAACCCATCAGTTCCGCAAAACCTCCTACTGGCACTCTACAGGTGCCTGTAACAAACTGTAGCAGCCTGGCGCGTTTTTCATTGTCCGATTGTTTGACAAACTAAAAAAAAAATGACACTTTAAACTATTGCCAACATTAAAAAAAAAAAACTTACCTGCCAAAACCACATTACAGGTTTACTGTTTCTGGTATAATGCCTGTAAATTGTGTGCCGTTGCCAGTCTTCTACGTCGATTTCCTGCATGCCACATAAAAGCAGCTCCAACTCTCGTTCGTCGAAATATTTGAGCCACTCTATCGGTACGACCTCGTTGAAACCATCTAAGAAGGCTTGGGTTTGTTGCTCAATACCGCGTGTCATACGCCAATTGGTCATCAATGTAAGGTACTCTTCTTTGTTCTCTTCGGTCACTCGTTCGGCGTCGCCGCCTTTTTGTAGTTCGTGATGGACCACTTGGCCAAGGACCTAAATGTTGGATTTACAGTCTAAGGGTTTGTTGTGTGGGATTCGGATATTTGTATGGTGTTTAGAATGTGATAATTAGTTTGAAATTTCCTCCATTTCTAGTATGTTAAGCTGTGTTGTGATAATGGGAAAGAGATGACGCTGGACTATGTGATGTATTAATTATGTCATACTTCCCCACCATGAAATTCTATGAAAAAAACTCACCTTTTCTACATTTATAATCAACGAAAAAATCCACTCGCTGAATCGCGAGCATTCCATCGAGGTCTGCGGATGACGTCATCACTATAAGCTGCTGATAATGACGTCACTTGCAGACCCAAAATTTGATGGGGAGTATGATACAATGATACATCATACAACCCAGCATAATCGGTTTATGCTTGATGATCCTCGCGAAAAATTGCCTAGAGATATTTTCTCTATCTCTATTGACGTCCCCTCTTCACAGTCTAAGGGTTTGTTGTATAAGATTGGGACATTTAGACAGCGTTTGGACTGTGAGTTTATAAGGCTTGATAGTGTCATAATTGGTTTGAGAAATAAACTTATTAAAATATTTGAAATTCCCTCCATTTCTAGTATGTCAAAATGTCAAGCTAGTTGAAGTTAATAGGTTGTGGTAATGGGAAACAGATGACGTCATCTGAAGATGCCTAATGGTTATTTGCATTATGTTTGAGCACCCCAAATGACGTCATGATTGGGACTCTGTAACGAATAAAGATATTTTTTTTATCTCTATTAACGTTCCCTTTCCATAGTCTGTGTGTTGTGTGTAACTGTAACACTTTATTTCTATTGACGTCTCCGCTTCACAGTCTAAAGGTTTGTTGTGTGGGATTAAAACATTTGTATGGTGTTTGGACTGTGACTTTATGAGGCTTGATAGTGTCATAATTGGTTTGAGAAATGAACTTATTGAAACAAAACAGTTTTAAATTTCCTCCATTTCTAGTATGTCAAAATGTCAAGCTAGTAGTTAATAGGTTGAGAAACAGATGACGTCATCTGAGGTACTTAATAGAAATTTGCATTATGTTTGGACACCCCGGATGACGTAATGAAAGTTATCAGGGTTTGGGATTCTGTAACGAATAGAGATATTTTTACCATTTTTATTGACGATCCCTCTCTATAGTCTAAGGGTTTGTTGTGTGGAACTGAGACATTTATATGGTGTTTAGACTGTGATTTTATAATGCTTGAAAGTGTCAATAAACTTGTTGAAACAAAACAGTTTGAAATATTTAAAATTCCCTCCATTTCTAGTATGCCAAATGTCAAACTAGTAGTTAATAGGTTGAGAAACAGATGACGTCATCTGTAGTGCCTGACGAAAACTTGCATTATATTTGGGCATCCCAAATGACGTCATAAAAGTTATCAGGGATGGGACTCTGTAACGAATAGAGATATTTTCTTCATCTTTATTGACGTTTCCTCTTCACAGTCTAAGGGTTTGTTGTGTAGGATTGGGACATTTGTATAGTGTTTGGACTGTGACTTTGTGAGACTTGAAAGTGTTAATAAATTTGTTGAAACAAAGCAGTTTGAAATATTTAAAATTCCCTCCATTTCTAGTATGCCAAATGTCAAGCTAGTAGTTAATAGGTTGAGAAATAGATGACGTCATCTGTAGTGCCTGACGAAAACTTGCATTATATTTGGGCATCCCAAATGACGTCATTTTTTTTTTTTTTTTTTTTTTTTTTTTTTTTTTTTTTTACGGATATGCGCACTCGCAAGGACAATGTCCTATCACGCTCGAGAAGCGGCAAGTGCGCGGAAATGTCGGTGTATGTTGGTCTTGAAACGGTTCAGGTTGTAACCTGCAGGGAAAACCGTCGTAGGGAGTTTATTCCACAGCGATGCTGTTCTCCAGAGATATGAATTCTGATATAATGAGGTTCTTGGTGCCTCTAGTTTGACAGTAAATTCATGGTTACCGTCTGTTTGACGGGTTCGCCTGGTAGGTGCTACTCTCGGTGGAATCATACGTGCCAACTCTTCAGAGCATTTTCCGTGATAGTACCTGTAGAACAGAGATAAGTCGCCCACAGATCTGCGATGTTCGAGACCATCCAAGTTACGAGTAAGTGCGGGGTCATTGATCAGCTTGATAGCTCGTTTTTGCACGGTATTCAAAAGCATTAAGGTATGTTTGGGTGCAGCACTCCATATATGTGAGCAGTACTCCATAGTTGGTCGAATCTGGGCTTTGTAGAGTGTCAGCAATTGGCTTGGTGTGTACAGATGTCTTGTACGAAATAGCACCCCCAGCTTTTGGGAGGCCCTTTTAGCAATATCTGCCACGTGACTGTGCCAAGACATGTTCGTCTCTGCAGTAACCCCCAAGATGTTCAACTGACTCTGTAATGTGACAGCACTTCCAGATAGCATGATGTTTGGCTCACCGGTGCTGGTCTTTTTTGAAAACAGAGCTGCTTGGGTTTTCTGCGCGTTGAACTGTACAAGGTTTTTGTTACCCCAGTCCTCTATTAACTCCAGGTCGTTATTTATCTGCGATATTTGAGTTAGTCTAAGATGATGGAATTCACGTGCGGAAAGACCTGTGGGTGGTATGAGTGAGGAGACTACATTGCCATCGTCTGCAAAGCAATAAAGTGGATTTACTGTTTTATCTATGAGGTCATTTATGTAAATCAGGAAAAGAGTTGGCGAAAGGATTGCTCCCTGTGGCACACCAGCATTTATTTGGTAAGAGTTGGAGTTCTGGCCATCCAGTGCAACATAAATGGATCTGTCCTTTAGGTAACTTTCAAACCAAGTGCAAAGTTTCGGCGATAATCCCATTGCTTTGAGCTTGTTGAGCAGATTTTCATGCCAAACTTTGTCGAATGCTTTAGATATATCTAAGGCAATTGTTCTTGTTTCACCCCGCAACTCAATCGCTTTTTGCCATAAGTGAGTGACGTATGTAAGTAAATCGCCAGTTGACCTATATTTTCGAAATCCGTATTGCTTATCGTTGATAATTTTGTACTTTTCCAAGTACTTGGTTAGGTGATTGTTCACAACTCTTTCCATTACTTTTGATATCACTGGAAGTAGAGCAATTGGTCTATAGTTTAACGGATCTGTCTTTTTTCCTTTCTTTGGAATGGGTTGTACTGCGGCAGACTTCCATGATGATGGATATACTCCTTGCCTGTAAGACAAATTGAATAATTTTGCGAAAGTTGGGGTGAGTTCGTTGGCGCAATTTTTGAGTATTATTGCGGGAATGCCATCCGGACCCATTGCTTTGTTTGTATCATAAAAGTTATCAGGGATGGGACTCTGCAACGAATAGAGATATTTTCTCCATCTTTATTGACGTTTCCTCTTCACAGTCTAAGGGTTTGTTGTGTAGAATTGGGACATTTGTATAGTGTTTGGACTGTGACTTTGTGAGACTTGAAAGTGTTAATAAATTTGTTGAAACAAAACAGTTTGAAATATTTAAAATTCCCTCCATTTCTAGTATGCCAAATGTCAAGCTAGTAGTTAATAGGTTGAGAAACAGATGACGTCATCTGTAGTGCCTGACGAAAATTTGCATTATATTTGGGCATCACAAATGACGTCATAAAAATTATCAGGGATGGGACTCTGTAACGAATAGATATTTTCTCCATCTTTATTGACGTTTCCTCTTCACAGTCTAAGGGTTTGTTGTGTAGGATTGGGACATTTGTATAGTGTTTGGACTGTGACTTGAAAGTGTTAATAAATTTGTTGAAACAAAACAATTTGAAATATTTAAAATTTACTCTATTTCTAGTATGCCAAATGTCAAGCTAGTAGTTAATAGGTTGAGAAATAGATGACGTCATCTCGGGTGCCTAATAGAGATTTGCATTATGTTTGAGCACCCCAGATGACTTCATAAACATAAAAGTTATCAGGGTTGAGACTCTGTAACGAATAGAGATATTTTCTCCATCTCTCTTGACGTCCCCTCTTTATAGTCTAATAGTTTATTGTGTGGGATTGGAATATTTGTATGGTGTTAGGACTGTGACTTTACGAGGCTGTGTCGTAGTTGCTTTGAAATATTTAAAATTTCTTCTATTTCCAGTATGTCAAAAGTTAATTGTTAGTTTTGTTAGGTAACATGTAATATCTTCAAAATAAATATTGCTTAGGGTAAGAATATTCCAATGACATTTTAACACAGATAGATGACAAGACCTTTTAGGGGTGGTGAGCTGCTCGAGGGGATTCATGGTGGGGATGCATTAGAGGTGTAAGTAAACAAGCCTTCGTGATTCAATATGGCCGTTCAGGTCAAATATTGTGGTGACGTTCCATTTTCTAATTTTTCATTAATTTTTATCAATAAATCAAATGTAAACAACACGGTATTTCACTTGAACGGCCATTTTGAATTCCATTTGACAGGTCAATGGATTGCCTAATTCAATATGGCGCCGTAGGAATAACGAATAACCATTGTGTACAACCTAATAACACATCTGACAACTATAAAGTAAAGATACGTTTTACTTTTACGTTCGTCAAGTTTGTTACCCCCACGTCGCCATCTTGAATTATTGGCTGGCTGATTCGAATTGTCCAATGCCTTTTTATTGGCTAACTAGTATCGGTGTGCAGGGTTGCCAGACGTCCCACCTTAGGAGGGACAGTCCCGCATTTTGTTAATCAGTCCCGTCTTTTTTTTATTAATTTCAGGTCCCGCTTTTTACGGGAATTGTCCCGGTTTTCCCGCTTTTTCCATCCAAAATTGACATTTAGTGCAAAAACGCTCATTTTACAACTTGTTACATAAATAACTAGGTATTTCTACATTTAAAATCGACGGAAAAGTCAAATAACGAGCCTAAATCGCAAGCAATTCATCGAGGTCTGCGGGTGACGTTACCACTATTAGCTGCCGACTTGGTGACGTCACTGGCAGACCATGTGGCAAAAACCTCATAGATCTGGCAACCCTGTCGGTGTGAGGTGTTCGTTTTGCACGCTGAATATCTTGTCCTTGTTCATTGTTCATGGTCTGACAAGGATAAAAATAAAGTTGACATCCAACTTAATGGAATTTCAAAACTGCATCATGGCTATGAAACTTCAAAAGTTTGTTCCAACAGTTTTTAATTCAAAAATATAATGCACTGAACGCGGTTATCTTCCTTCCCTTTTTATTTTGTGCAAATAACAAGGATGTATTGCAATACATAAGTCCAACATGATTTGGTACATTTTGCCGGCAAGGATATTACATACTACTACAGAATTGTTCATAGGCCTCGATTTTGCACCGTTGCTGACGTCATCAAAGGTGTCGTTGGCTGTTTGCGCCAGCGGTCTTGTTTAGAGTATACATTTATGATGAAAAATATTATTTAATTTTGAATATCATAATAGACAAAGTTTGTTTCAAATTTTTCGACTAAAATCAAATACGCATAAAGTAGAAGGACACGCTGGCTACGTCATCATTGGTACTTAGATATAGTGAGGGGTTTGAGATTTGAAGTACACACGCCTTATAAGGAAAGGTTATCTATCCTGTGTAGTGTGTAATAAATATCTTTGTCTAGGAAGTTACTTTTTTATTAAATTTGATTGAACGTCCAATGAGAAGCGAGTTTGTCGGGTGCTTACGTCATATTTGCATTCAGGAGCGAGTTCAGTACACTCGGTTATTCACGCGCCACATCATAAAGAACCTTAAGTAAAAAAGCGCCCTCTACAACTTAACTGTCAATAGGCGAGTTCGGTTAATTGTCAAAAATTGTCCTTGTCCATTGCCCATGGTCTGACAAGGATAAAATTTGTTGCTGATGTCCAACTTGATAAAACCGCATCATGACTATGAAACTTCAAAAGTTGTTTGAGTTTTCGGACAGTTTTTGAATTGTGAAATACAATAGGATATGTGACACGTGATATTTTTCTTTTCTTTTTTATTCTGTGCACATGAAAAAGATGGATTGTTATACGTAAGTTTAACATAGAACGATTGACACAGCCCGAGGATTATAAACAAAGAGGATTGCCTATTATTGTCAAACGCCGATACCCTTGTGACGTCACTACAGATGCAACAAAATTTTGTTTACTGTAATGTCTATCTTATATGCTAATATGTCATTGGTTGATAAAATGAAAAAATTCTTACCTCAAAATCGACACTGAAGAACAACTCCAGTCCGCACTCGTCAATGTTATTTTCCTTGATCCAAACCAGTGAATTATAAAACTCCGGGTCGATACTTTCAATATCTTTCATTATCAACTTCTTGCCCAACATCCTCTTGTAAAACGGCATAGTGAATCCGGAATAGATAAACCGGCCGTGATACAAGGCCATGGCAATAAACCTGCCAATAAATTTGAAGTACGTCAAATGTTCAGGATTGACGTAAGAGGCTGGATTAATTTGCAAACTATAATTATTTTTGTTTGCATACTCAAATAGGCAATACATGGGATTTAAAGCTTCGTGCGACACCAAAAAGAACCATTCGCGGCTCACGCCCCCATAATCTAAGCCTTCTTCGCCTTTGAACATTATGTAGAGCCTGCGGCGCAGCTCGTAGGCAGGCAGTCGCATAATGGTGTGAAACGAGTCTTCAAACAAAGTTTGACGCGAGACTTGGATTTTGATGTGACTGGGCAAAGCGTTGCTCTGGCACAAAAACCTAAACTGGCTGATTTTCCATTTGAAGGAGCGCTCGTAGGCACGCGGGACTCCATAAGCTCCTTTGGGACCTTTTGGGGCACCTGGTCTTGGATCATCAAATGTGGTGGTTTTGGTGTTGTGATCCACGAAATATCTAAATTGGTGTATTGTAAATTTTTTTGGTTGTTGGTTGTTTGGTTGTTACCTTTTATTGTCTTCGGTGTAGCGGATTTCCCAACCGGGAGGCAATGGTAGCTCGTCGATGTCGCCGATTTCTTGTCCTTGAGTCCTAGGATCTTCCCACTGAGTCGTTCGATTCTGATTTTAAAAAAATAATAATCTAACTTTGAATTTTTCCGGTTTTTGAACAATCAATAATATAGAATTTTATTCCAGGCTCTTGATTTTGTGTGACTGCCCCTAACAAATATGATACACACTATTACTACATGATAGCCTATCCTCATAAGACCTGTGTGGAACAAGTCCCTCCCTTCCCTAAATCACCAGTAGTGACGTAGGCAACATGTTATTTCTCGCTTTTGGACTGTTTTAACAGCTGACAACTTAGTTATGACGTCGAAATGGTGACGATTGCAATTACCAAAAACGAGGCCGATAAGCAATCTTGTAGGTGTGTATCATCCTTGCCGCCCATGTTCCAATCAAACAAACAGGTTATAACAAAGTGAGACGTTGCCAAATTTACGCTCTGTCAATATTGTGTTTAATTTGTCAACACTATACGTGACATCTCAAAAGATTGTTTGTCTCTTTTTGTCTTCTATTATTCCATCATGAAATAAAGAGCCAGGAATAATCGATAACTTGGAACAACGCTGCACTTTTGCATAATACGAATAATTTAAAAATTCCGTGGCCTACTAGACAGTGATAGTGAAGGCCACAAAATGAGAAAAAAAAGAAGACTCGACAAAATCTATTTCCATAGCCTACTTTGTTCAGGAAGCCAATCAAGAGCCAGGAATAATCAATAAATTGGTCCGACGATGCACTTTTGTATAATACGAATAATTCAAAAATTCCATGGCCTACTAGACAGTGATAGTGAATGCCACAAAATGAGAAAAAAAAAGAAGAGTCAACAAAGCCCACTTGGTTGTATGACAAAAAAAGAAGAAGAAATGTGAGAAAATCACTTACCTTATGATTGACGAAATAAACTCGTCCCTCGGGTTGCACCCTTCGTTCCCAGCCCGATGGCAAAGGCCCTAAAGCCTCATCTTCTTCAGTAGGTGGTGCCGGTACGGAAGGCCCCGGCGCCGGACCCGCCTGATATTGCGGATACAAAAATCTCTGATTTCCTTGTTGCACGACATTCTGTCTTTGTCCCTGCCACTGTTGGAAATGTTGCAACCTCTCCAAATTCGGACGTTGCCACGTCGTTGTTCTGGTATTGTGATCGACGTAGTAGACGCGGCCTCGCGGGTCCCGGCGCATCTCCCAACCTTGCGGTAAAGGTTGAGGTCTTTCCCACGATGTGGATCTTGTATTGTGGTCCACGTAATAACGTCTGCCGTACGTGTCAAAGCGCATTTCCCAACCGGGCGGTAAGGGTTCGTCTTGTCTTTGTTCGTCTTGTTGGGCGACGGAACCGTTTGGTACCGAAGCGGGCGGACCGATAATATCCGCCGAGTTTCCTTGATTAGGATTAAATTATTGAGAAATTTTCCCCTTTTTAAAATATTTCGAGAATCCAGTGCACTCCTGATCAAAACACCTCCGTTAAAATGGCGCCCAACGTGGGGCAAGTTGAATAATGTTGGCAAATAAATTAGGTACACAAATAACCTCAATGACATGTTTGTCTCTTTATCAAAAGTGACGTTATGTCATTGGTGACAAGCTAGCACCTGTGTGTATAAATAGTTCTTCAAACGCTTTGCTTGTCTCCCTAACGAAAGTGAGGTTATGTGTGTGACATACAGTCGTGAGCACAAAAAAATGGGATACTCGATTTTTCCTATTGTAAAACGGGCTCACCAGCTACACATTTGACAATGACAGGGATTGTCATATTTGACAAAAAATTCGTTGTACAGAAGAGCGAAAAATGATAAGACCTGTCAGTCTGGTGTCCCACTTTTTGTGCTCACGACTATAGGTACTACACTGGTCGATTGTAAATTGAGCTGCAAACTCTCAGGCAGCATTGTCAAGTCTTTAAGATTGATATTTTTCTTTTATTATCATCATGCGCAAGTTTGAAGTGGTAAAAGAGAGAACACAACAAAAGTTGTTCAAAAGATGCGGCAACGTTGTAAATGTAACAATGGCCGCGTAAGAGTTTACCCAACGCATTCTGTTAGTATTTGTGAAATGTTTACAATCTGTTTTAATTCTGGTGAACGCAGCCATTGTTTGTGTATCACCAGTAGGCAGTGGCGTACCTACTTTTTAAAAATCAATTTAAAATTCAAATTTCCGCAATGAGGCAATCTATTCCAATATGGCCGTTCAGGTCAAATTGTAGTGACGTTCATAAGAAAAGCATTTGTGTTCCGCCATTGTTGCTGTAGATGCCAAACATGATAACGCAAATGTCAAATCTGTACAGAATGTGACAAAATAAGTAATTTTTCATTGATTTCTATCAGTAACCTAAATGTAAACAACACGGTGTTTGACCTGAACTTCCATATTGAATTTCGTTTGACAGGTCAGGAGATTGCCTAAACAATATGAAAACAATGTAAAAAGTGAGGACCAAGAAGGGTGAAATAAAACAACAACAACAAAATTATTATAACATCACTTACCATTTTGCAAAGTATGATTGGCAGGTGACGTTTGTACAGGACCCGGTTGAAAATTGACAGCACTCCCACTACCAATCGGCGTAACTGGCAACGCCGGAGGAGGAGGCAGTTGAAGCCCCCGAGGCCGTTCCGAAACAGCAACGTTGCCAGCTGGTGCGGCATTTTCGGTGCCTTGCGTCCTGGGTTTGATGCGAATACCGTTGAGCACTGTATGAGCGACAGCCTGCGAAGCCGAACCAATGGAGTTTTGGCTGGAGCGTCTAGCTAAAACTTCCCTCCTCCTGTTGTTTCCGGTTTCAATTCGCAAGCCTTTGATTAAACACATTAATTCTCCTGCTTTGACAGGTGAATCTGATTGTTTGACGTTCATCAAGTCTAAAGTGACATCTAAACATTCTCGGCCTTCGGAATGGGCCAGTAATTGAACTAGTTCCACAGTTTTTTCGCCGACAACTGTGTCTTTGCGGAAACTGTTGCGGTCCAAGACGGCAAAGTGGATTTTCGATTGGGGCGTTACCAGTAGGTTGAAGGTTTCGTTCCATTTTGGTTGTGTGGTGTTTTTCACGGTTTCGGTTTTGCGCGGCGTTTGTCCGTCTATCGTTATTTCGACGTACGGGCTGGGTTTTATGAAGGAAGAAGTTGAACGGATATGAGCAGTTTCCACTAGAAAAAAAGAAACATCTGTTGCTTTTACTGCAATATGATACGTTTGGCAACATTGTTTGTAGTCAATGACGTCAGGAAAATTTTATCAATGTTAAGCCTTGTACTCAGAATTGCGAAATTCGCATTTTTTGACAATGCTTCGACAATTTGATGTTTTATGCGTGAATCAAACGTCAAATTTTCGAAGTAATGTTAAAAAAGAGCGAATTTCGCAGTTATTACTATTAGGCTTTAATGGGGGAATTAGCATTTATTATGTTGAACATAATAAAGATTAAATAAACATCAAACAGCAGTAAACAAAAAATGGAGTGAACATTTGACAACACTGCTATTTAGTATGTAATGACGTCACAACGAAATGACCCTTTTTGAATTAATTATAATGAAAAGTCAAGGTTTTTAGAGGAGAGAGGTTATCTGGTAACTATAAATAGATGACGTCATCAGGTGGATATAATGGAGATTTTTCTTTTGTAGTGATTTGCTCAACATATAGATAATTTCACTTAGAAATTAGTGAAATTTTACGTAACAGCGAATTGGCAACACTGAGACAGTGTTGCCCTACCAGGTTTGGTACCGTTCGTTTTGAAAAAGTACGCTGGTACGACGTTGGTATATTTGGTACAATTTTCAATTTTTTTATTTTTTCCAAATTTTCAAAAAGTCTTAGCCTACTGCCTACTTAGTCTAATGTCGATGTTCTAATTAACTTGTATTTCTGTATCCAAATTCGATATAACAATAATTTTTGATTCGTTAATAGATGACGTCATCAATGTAACACATAACACTCGTTTTGTGGTTTTTGGTTGACGTAGGTTTTCGGCAGAAAATAAAGAAAACTCAAAGTCTCGTACTTTAAATAGGTTTTTCTGATCGGAAAAGTGGAAAATGCAAAGAAAAACCATTGAAAAATGACATTCCAAAGCCTACTTGATGAAACTTAACTTTTTGTTATTTACCCCGTTGAAAAACTCAAAATTTTTGATACAAAATGAAGGAAACTCAAAGCCTCTTAAGTTAAATCGCTTTTTTCCATTAAAAATCCTCAGAAAAGTAGAAAATTCGAAAAAAAAACTGGCAAAAAATCACAAGACGTCACTTCAAAATGGCCGACTAAAAGCAACATTGCCACATTACATCTCGGAAAACAAAAATAACATTTTAAATGAGTTTTTTGTTTAAAATTCAATTTAATAATTAATTAATAATGGTTATAATAATTAAAATTCCTTAGATAAAGCATCGGAAACTTGTTTTTAGTTTAATTTCAATGAAAATGACATTACAAGGTTTACTTGCTGATTATAGTGAGTAAGACAAAGACAACGATAAAGTAGTATAAGTTTGCAAAAACCATCGTTTTTTGAAAAAAGTAACATCGATTAAACGCGATTAACCAATTGGTCATAAATGACAGATAACCAATGAAGCAAACGTCATTTGTCAACCAATCGGTAATAAATGACGTTAAATGCATTATTCATCTGTCAATATAACCGACTGGTTAATCGCCTTTAATTGACTTAAAAATCTTAAGAAAACCCAATAGAAAACCAACATTCCAAAGTCAACTTGATGAAACTAAAGTTTTTGAATATTCCCAGCTTTATAATTGGGCGCTAAAAATCGTATTTTGAATATTCCCGGTGTTTGATTGGCTCCGAATTATCCGCTGACCAATAGAATTATAATTCTAGCTCTTCGGGCTCTCGTATAACTCCGGCCCTTCGGGCTCGCATATAACTCCGGCCCTTCGGGCCGGTATTACTGAGTATCCCGACCTAGATTCACAAACAAAGAAAATAAGGTAGGATACATTAGCAAAAAACAAAAAGCGATTATAAATGAGTAAGATAAAGAGCGAGATAAAGTAGGAAACAATTTAAATGATCAGTTGGTCGAGCCAAACTATCATCAGAGTAAATTTTCGATTGTTCCCGGTTCAAACACTTGGAATAATTACTCAATTTTTTTTGACAACTGACAAGCCTACATACAATATTATGACTTTTGACAATTGACAAGTTAATTTTCAGGACCTCCTACTATTGTTATGACTTTTTTTTGTCAATTGACAACCTTGTGATTCAGATTGAAACCTACAACAACAACGTTGCCACATTTTAACAGTAATTTTGGAGCTTTTGTAATTATTGTAAATGTAAAACGTTGACAAGTGACAATTGACATCAAGAAACGATTGTTATGATGTTGTAGGCTGATTGAAATTTTCAACTTTTGGCAACACTGTAACGCTAGAGGATTGAAATGGCGTCTTTTTTTTTAATTATGAGCTCAAAGGGAGAGTGTTTTCAATCTTGAGCCCACAAAACAACAAAGAAACGCCATTTTCTATCGAGTTTTAAAGAAAACAAAGCCTATTTTGAAACGTTATGAAGCATTTAATAAAAACAGCAGTAAACAAAAAGCGAAGTGAACATATGACAACACTGCCATTTAATATGGCAATGACGTCACAAAGAAATAACTCTTTTTGGGTGTGCTCAAAAGATTTATAGCAATTAATGACAAATGATAGCTTGGCCGAATCAACTTACCCTCACTAAAATAACAGAAATTCAAAAATTTGTAGATCCAAAATTTGATAACAAGTCAAGGTTCTTAAATGAGAGAGGTTGTCTGGTAGCTATAAATAGATGACGTCATCAGGTAGGTGGATGTAATGGAGAGTTTTCTTTTGTATTGATTTTCTAAACAAGGATACAGAAAATTTCATTTCTATTTGTTTTATTCAATTTGAGAAATTAGCGCAATTTTACATAACAGCGATTTGGCAACACTGAAACAATGTCAGTTCAGTAGTTTAAAGTAACAGATTATAATTATTATCAAAGATTAAAATTCCAAAAATAATTTATGGTTTGTATTTTTATTTCCTCAATAAATAATGAATGAAAATCACTGGTGTAAACTTACTCGTTTACATTGACTTGACACGTAACGCCATCTAGTTTTTATGAGACAAACTACAAAAGTGCACAGTTTATTTTGCATAGGTTTACATCTACTAATTTATTCTTTGTTTTGTGTAAATCCAGATATTATTATAATGTATGCATGTGTACCCAAAAATACTTATTTTCTAGCAAAAAAAATAAAATTGCAACACTGTCAAGGACAATACTTAAGTAGGCACTTATCTATATTGTTTTTTTAACTTACCCGTAACGCAAATTTGATGAAAAAACGGTCCAGATCCGACTGGCTGAATTGCTTGTTCCATTTTCTTATTCGACTAGAAATTTCTTAAAAACTAAAAAAAAAAAAAATTGAGTATTTCACAAAGAAACTTGCAAATAGATAATCACCTTTTAATTTTACATGACTTTCACATAACAACAACAACAACAACGTCGTTCGATCTTATCTAATCCGGCCATAAAGCACCTTAAAATCGCGAAAACAGATTAATTAGCTCGATTTTTGAACTGGTGATGACGTTTCATCCGGAAATTGAGGAGCAATTTTGGCTTTGGTGCGAGCAAGATAATTCGTTTAATCGATCGGTAACTTGCACTGGATTCACTAACGATAAAATGAGAGCTTTTTATTAAATGGAAAACAACAAATTTACAATTTTAAAAGTCATAATAAATAAAATCCACCATCTTTTATTGTGGTGAGCACCATAATTGTCCACCTGACATTTGTCAAAGTCATATAAGACAGTGATACCAACTACATTAAACTGACACCGGCAATCGGAGTTGAATTAAGAACAGCCCCCGGATTCTATTTTACGAATCGAGTCGGTAATACGTATCGAAATGTCGTAAAATAGAATCGCTATTTTGACAATTCGATACAAATTACGACGTAAAATAGAATCCGGCAGCAGTATTTTTAGAATAAAGAGAGTGTTAAAATATACCTAGATCAACTTGGAACAGTTGCGAACTCTTGGAGCAGAAAAATGTCAACCGATTGTTACTCTATTTACTCCAAAACTATCATTTTTCTTTTAAATGTGGAACACTACATATGTACACTTAAAAATGCAATAAATAATCGAAATACCTACAGAATACTTGGAGTGCACAGAGCGAGTAAATCATAGCCTATTTTACAGTGGCTAAATAAACCTTTACATACAGTGGCGACAATAGAGGTCCCGCCGCCATCTTGTTCCCAACCTCTTGTTACTTTTAAATATTAATATATAGGATTTAAATGGATATCTATCATAAAAAATTGAAGTCGACGTAATTAATGACCATTATTAGTTCCATCATCCGTTGTTTTCCATGATTTATGATGAATGTTCACCTAAATCCCATATATTCATATTTAAAAGTAACAAGGGGTTGGGAACAAGATGGCAGCGTTTTCAATATAAATATATGGGATTTTAGAACCAATCAAAAATGAGACAGCAATTGTCGCCACTGTGGGTTATAGAGTCACTGTAGCCTATTTAGAAAAAAAAAAAACTTGGAATAGTCAAGAATTCAAAAAATTAAAACAGGGTTTGGTTTATTCGTCTTTTCAAAACTGAAATAGAGTGAACTCAGTATTTTATCACGTGTTCTTAGAGTAGAGTATAAAAGTTGACTCGAAACCTTTGAGACAATCTCTTCTTATAAATACCTGATTTTCCAATTATTACTCCATAACTGCTACTCTGCTTACTCTAGAACTAAAGTTTTATTTATTCGCTGCCGAAAGAAATCGTTGTTACTCCATTTACACTGAAAATACATATAGAGTGTAAAACAAATAATTAATTTGTCTACTCGGTTCGAGGATTTTCCTTGTTCAAAGAGAACTAGTTTGAACATTCAACTTAATGAAAAATAGGTGGGCAACCTGAATATTATACTGGTTCTGGAACAGTTTTCATGTGGGTTGGAACAAAACTACGAAGAAAACAGAAATACAAAAGCCTGGAATAGTGAAGAGAAAAAAAAAATAAAAACTAAGAAAAAATTGATCTTGGAGCCAGATTTGTTTCTTTAAAACGGAGTTAGAGTGAATTCATTGTTCTGTCACGTGTTTTTAGAGTAGAGCAAAAAAGCTCACTCGAATAACTCGGAATTTTTGAAGAAAAAAAATATCAATTACTCTACTCACTCTAAAAGACTCTTCTTTGGAAATAAAACGTAGTAGGCTCCATTTACTCGCTGCCAAATAGCTGAAAGTAATCAAAATTAACTGAGTTAGAGCGTAGTCAGAACAGTATTTCGTTGCGTAGAGCATAGAAGTTGCAAACTGAACAAAAAAAACACATTTTTCAATTACTCTGACAGTTACTCTAAGTGGCTTTTTTTCCGAAATGGAACATTATAGAGTCACCTCTAACTTCTATCCATTTAATCGAATATGAACCGGGTGCTTATGAATCACTTAGAGTACACGGAGTGGGTTTTCCGAACTCAGTGATATTTGAAAATTGAAAGGACACCAAAACTCAATAGCCTGGAAAAGTCTAGAATTGAGCAAATTTAGGTAAAATAGAGTAGAGTTGGATTCAGCTATTTATAACGGAGATAGAGAGTAGGTAGTCAGAACAGTGTTCTGATACATGTTCTTGAGTCGAACATAGAAGCTGCAAACCGAACGAATATAAAATAGCTGATTTTTCAATTACTCTGACAGTTACTCTACTTACTCTAAGCGACTCTTTTTCCGAAATGGAATATTTAGAGACATCTCCAACTCGATTCTGAAAAATCGAACTGAATTCACTAATATTTGAAAACAGAAATTGCAGTGCCTGGAAAAATCAAAAATTGGGCAAATTCAGTAAAAATTGAGGAAAATTAGGTTTGCCTATTTATACCGCAGTTCTAGAGTAGACAGAGCAGTGTTCTGTTACGTGTTCTCGAGTAGAACATAGAAGTTGCAAAACGAACGACCCAGAAAATTACAAAGAACTGATTTTTCAATTTCTTTAATAATCACTCTAACTACTGTTTTTTTTTTTAATGGGAACCTGCAGAAGTTGAGTTCGGAATGGAATTCTGATACAGTGCTAGTGCGGTGTTCGTGTAGTGCAGAGTTAGCTAATCGGTGTAACACCAAATGAAACATCATTTTGTATCGAATAAACGGTGTTCTAATACTATTCAGGCACCAAATAATTTCCAAACGCAAATAAAGTGTACACTAAACTTACTCTTACACTTTCTATTATTCTGAACTCACCTAGAGTCACCTTGTCACTCGATTCTGTTTAATCGAACATGAACGTGGAGCACGGATCACTTAGAGTGTATGGAATAATCTGGCTGAATCCGACAGCCTGGAAAAGTCAAGAATTAAACAAATTTAATCAAAATTGGATAGAGTTGGGTTCGGCTATTTATAACTGAGTTAAGCCTAGTACTCATAACTGCGAAATTCGCATTTTTTTTGACATTGCGTTGACAATTTGACGTTTTATGCGTGTATCAAACGTCAAATTGTCGAAGCAATGTCAAAAAAATGCGAATTTCGCAGTTATGAGTACTAGGCTTTAGAGAGTAGTCAGAATAGTTAGTGTTTTGTTACGTGCTCTCGAGTAGACCATAGAAGCTGCAAAACGAACTACTCAGAAAATTTCAAATAAACTGATTTTTCAATTACTCTGAGAGTTACTCTACTCACTCTAAACTGGAATGGAACATTCAGAGTCACCTCCAATTCGATTCCGTTCAATCGAACAAGGACGGGGTGCTTACGGAACACTTAGAGTCCAAGCTGAACCGAGTAATAGTTAACTTAAAATGCTCCAAATTTGACATGTGGTACCTTTAAAAAAAAAAAATCAACCAATTTAACAAAACTTTTATAAATTGGTTCGAAAATAGTACTTGCTTTAAGGCAAGGATCGATTCTAACAGTTTTAAGACCGTTTTAGAACAGTTCTGATTTTAACCCAAACGCCAATTTTTTGAATCCAGAACACTCTTAATTTACCTAGTTCTGACAGTTCTAAAATAGTCATTGCAGAAACCCGATTAAAGCCTAGTAGTCATAACTGCGAAATTCGCATTTTTTTGACATTGCTTCGACAATTTGACATTTGATACACGCATAAAACGTCAAATTGTCAACGCAATGTCAAAAAAATGCGAATTTCGCAGTTATGAGTACTAGGCTTTAGCTAGGTTTGCTCGATTCCGTATATTCGAACATGAACGAGTTGCTTACAGATCACCCTAAGTGCACGGACTGATGAAGCCGAAATCATTAATTTTAACATTTTCGGCTTGACTGTTTTCAGAGCGCTTCCCATCGATGACGTCACAGATCGAGAGTAAAACCAATTTAAAACTAATTTAGAATTGTGGTAGAGACTTGCACTACACTTCCCAAATGGAGACTGAGTGTGTTCTAGGACAAGTAAAATTTATTGATCCGCAAACAAAACTACAAAGCTAAAAATACAGTGCAGATGGAATATAACAGAAAGTCCAATTCAAAAAATGCAGTTCATAAAGTGTAGAGCAACTGGATTAGAGCAAAAAGTGCAGAGCATAATCTAAACCAATTTGTAACATTTTAGAATTGTGGTAGAGACTTGCACTGCACTTTCAAAATGAAAACTGAGTGTGTTCTAGAACAAGAAAAATCTATTAATGTGCAAACAAAACTACAGAGTTAAAAGTACAGTACAGACGGGACAGAACAGAAAATGCAGTAAAAAAATGCAGTTCAGAAAGTGTAGAGTAACTAAAATAGAACAAAAAGTGCAGTGCACAATCTAAACCAGTTTTTAACTATTTTAGAATTGTGGTCGAGACTTGCACTACACTTTTAAAATGGAAATTAAGTGTGTTCTAGAACAAGTAGAATTTATAATCCGCAAACAAAACTACAGAACTAAAAGTACAGTGCAGATGGGACAGAACAGAAATTCCATTACAAAAAATGCAGTACAGAAAGTGTAGAGCAACTGGATTAGAACAAAAAGTGCAGTGCACAATCTAAACTAATTTGAAACATTTAGAATTGTGGTAGAGACTCGCATTATACGTTCGAAGTACAGTGCAGACGGGACAAAACATAAAATTTAGTACAAAAAATGCAGTTCAGAAAGTGTAGAGCAACTAGAATAGAACAAAAAGTGCAGTGCACAATCTAAAACAATTTGGAACTATTTTAGAATTGTGGTGAAGACTCGCACTACACTTTCAAAATGGAAATTAAGTGTGTTCTAGAACAAGTAGAATTTATAATCCGCAAACAAAACTAGAGTTGAAAGTACAGTGCAGATGGGGTAAAACAGAAAATGCAGTACAAAAAAATACAGTTCAGAAATTGTAGAGCAACTAGAATAGAACAAAAAATACAGTGCACAATATGAAGCTAATTTTACTCTGATAGTTACTCGGCTCACTCTAAACGACTCGTTTTTCAATATGGAGCATCTAGAGAGTCACTTTCTACTCTATCCCGTATAATCGAACATGAACAAAGTGTTTACGGAACACAATATTTGGCTTAAAATGCTTTAAATTATACATTCATACTGTCGCACCCAATAAATCAATTGACAAATAAGTGTTGCCAATCAAATCCCTTTAAAACCGGATGACAATTGTTTCAAACAAACCTCAAGTGACTCTGATCAGTTTGTTCAGATCAAAAAAATACGACTTTACTGCTCCCAAAGTGTTCTTCGTCTAGGCAGTGACGTCACAGATTTGTGCGAGAGTGTTCCAAAAGTGATTATAATCTAAGCGAGGGCATAAAATTTGACATCGCCAAACTTACTCTATTGTTCTAATCAAATTCTTCGATCAATCGAATTTGACAGAGCAAAAAAGAGCGCTCCGTGCGAGATTTGAGAGCGTTCCATTGCTTAAATCGAACACGTGAATTTTACCGAACATTTCGTATCGCTTTTTTATCATTTGGGTGCAGTTTCAATACAAAACTCGAAAGCGCTATTACTAAATACGGATTTGTTTCTTGACAGTTGGCAACACTTGTTCAAGGTCAACAAGTGAAAACACGCACATAACCTCACTTTTTTTGTGAAATGAAATGTGTGCATGAACAAAATACAAAATTTGGTATTTTTGTATTAATTTCAATATAAATTGAGGTCTATTTAACAACAAAATGACAAGCGATAATCGAAAACAAGTTGAATTTCTAGTGGTGGACACTACAGCTTTCATACAAAACACTCCACTTCATGTAAGTAATTACTATGAAAAACTTTTCACACATGAAAATCCTTTGATTCTATAGGAAGTTGCAAACACAATTATCACATGTCAAGAAGTTGTAGACGAAATCACCAGCAAACGCCAACTAAGGCGATTAGTGGCTCTACCTTACGACCTCATAGTCAAAGATGTTTTTCCAGAAAACATCAAAACCATTACGGAATTTGCCAAAAAAACTGGCGACTATCCTAGCTTGTCAGCAACTGACATCAAAGTCATGGCCCTCACCTATCAACTGGAAAAAGAAAAAGTCGGTGTAGAACATTTGAGAACAGAACCAGTTTTGCAAAAACCTGAAATCAATTTGGATAAACCTGTAGATGAAATCCATCCTGATATTAGTGGGTTTTATTTGCCTGGAGCACTAGAAGAAAAATTTGAAAATTTAGAAGTTGGTACAACTGATTCTAGTGCAAATGACAACCCTGATAATTCTGGTACAAATGAAAACCCTGATGATTCTAGTGCAAATGACAACCTTGATTCTAGTGCAAATGATGACAACCTTGCAAATGAAAAGGAGGATTCTAGCTCTAGTGCAAATGAAGAAGATGACGATATTGGCTGGATAACCCCCAGTAACATCAACCAAGCCAAAAAACAAATAAATTCCCAACTAATGCAAGACAAACAAGTGCAAGTGGCTTGTATGACAACTGACTTTGCCATGCAAAATGTTTTAAGGCAAATGAACCTAAATCTGTCAGCTTTAGACGGTAGAATCATAAACCAACTACGCACATACATTTTAAGGTGCTACACTTGCTTCAAAACCACCAGCCTGATGACCAAAAAATTTTGTCCCAAATGTGGCAACAACACCCTAAAAAAAGTCGCTGTTTCTTTAGACGACAAAGGCCAAATGCGGATCCATATAAACTCAAAACGTCCTTTGACTGGAAGAGGGAAAAAATTCAGTTTGCCTAAAATCAGAGGAGGCAAACACCCAAATAATCCTATTCTGGTGGAGGATCAGCCAATGGCTGATAACAGGCCTACTAGGCTGGCAAAAATGAAGAACAACCCATTGGATGATGATTATATTGCTGGATTTTCTCCCTTTATTATGAGGGATGTAAATTCAAAGTCTGCTCAGTTGGGAATCAGGCCCGGGGCTGAATTCAAGCAATGGATGAAGAAAAATCCAAACGAGTCTAGGAGGCGTAGGAAATAAGTTTTGAATAAATATATTTTTATCAGTATTTGTTTTTTGTTGTTTCAAAAAAATTAAAAATCCCATTGGTCAACAGATTGCGTTTTATCCCTCGGATTATCAGAAGGTGAATAAACCGGCCTTTTAAAGTTATATTAGCCAATTTTTGATGTGTCAATATGTCATACTACTCCTCCACCATCAAATTCTGTGATAATCGAGTATCAAGGACACTCAATTTCTTCTGTAAGAACAGACCGAAAATCACCTTTTCTACATTTAAAATCGACGAAAAAATTAACTTCCTAGCACAACCACAGTCTGAATCGCAAGCATTCCATTGAGGGCTGCGGGTGACGTCACTACTATAAGCTCTTATAGTGGCGTCACTCGCAAGCCTAGAATTTGATGGAGAGGGACTTAGGGCAGTATAATACAATTGACATATCACATAAGTCAACATAAGCTTGCTTATCCTCGCGAAAAAATGCCTAATGTAGGAAGCCACTAGGGATGACACACACTTACTTAAGTCGATTAAAGGCGATTAACCACTCGGTTATATTGACAGATGAACAATGCATTTAACGTCATTTATAACCGATTGGTTGACAAATGACGTTTGCTTCATTGGTTATCTGTCAACTATGACCGACTGGTTAATCGCCTTTAATCGATTTTATCGACCTCGTTTTTGGTAATCACCGGCATATTGGTGTGTCATCATGCTACGTCAAGACGAGAAATAACATGCTGACTACCCGTGCGTTCGTTATTTTGGTTTGAGTTCTCCGAGCTTGACTTTACCGTTCGTTTATTTAAAAAGTGTACTCGGAATATCCTCATTCGCGTTCGTTTATTAAAATTTCCGGCACTTTTATACAGCGTTCAACTGCTCTGTTCGCTCGATGGTCACGTGATTACGGCTCCGCTCAGCACGCTCTGCTCTTCGAGCAAAATACCGAACGCAAGGTACGTCACAACGTCAAAACTGGTGATATGGTTTTGGGGATGAAGAGGGAATTTGTTCCACACATGCCTTATGAGAATAGGCTAGCCTGTAGTGGTATTGTGTATCATCCTTGGGGAGCCACCAGGTCACATTCCTTTGGAATATCGGATTAAAATCAACGGACTTCAAAGTTGTATTCCGTTCGAAAGTTTGGAACACTCGAGCTACTCGTTCTGGTATTAGTCGACCCCGATTTGTGTTTGTGTTGCGTTTGTATTACTACTGGGTTCAATTGGGTCACTCCGTGCACTCTAGAAGTGATCCGTAAGTACTCCATTCACGAAGTGGAGTTGGAGGTGACTCTAAATGTTCCTTTTCGGAAAAAGAGATCTCTGCTTCTAAGAGCGAGTATTATAAAACTGCTTTGACAGTTAACTTTTTGAATTACATGTAATTCCAGAAGTTAACTTCAAGTTAACTCTCAAAGTAGTTTTATAATACCCGCCCTAAGTGATTCATAAGCACTTAGTTCATGTTTACTTAAACGGAATCGAGTTAGAGGTGACTCTAAATGTATAATTTTTGAAAAAGTGTCGTTTAGAGTGAGTAGAGTAACTGAAAAATCAAGAACACATAACAGAACACTGTTCTGACTACTCTTTTACTCCGTTATAAATAGATGAACCCAACTCTCCCCAATTTTAGTTGAATTCGCTCAATTCTTGACTATTCCAGGCTCTTGAAATTCTGTTTACTCAACACAAACAAAATTAAGAGTGTTCTAGATTCAAAAGGTTGGCGTGCGAGTTAAGGTCAGAACTTGTACGATGCCTAATTTGGAGCATCCTAAACCAAATATTACTTGATTCGGCTTGCTCCTTTCCTGCACTCTAAGTGTTCCATAAGCACCTCATTCATGTTCAAATACATGGAATTGAATTGCAGATTACTCTGATCCATTTCGGATAAAGAAACGTTTAGAGTGAGTAGAGTAACTAGCATATTTGCAGTTTCTATGCTCTACTCTAAAACACGACACGGAATATTGTTCTAATTATACGCTCCAACTCTGTTATAAAAAGCCGAACTCAACTGTTTTCGATTTCACTTTAAATTCACTCAATTTTTGACTCTCACTCCGTGCACTCTTAGTTATCTACGTTCTTGTTCGATTAAACGGAATCGACTTGGAAATAACTCTATGTTCCATTTCAGAAAGAGTCATTTAGAGTGAGTAGAGTAACTATAAAAGTCATTAAAAAATCAGAAGCGTTTTCTCGCGGGGCGAATGGTTCGAATCACGGTTTAAGCCAATTTGTAGATGACGTCATCACTTGTGAAAGCGAGAAAATTGGACCACAGTCTTATGTCAACAGAGGTGTTTTCTCGCGTCTCGAAGTTTTGAATTTTTTTTCAAAACTGATTTGAAACAGTTTCCCAATGACGTCATGACTTCTTGACGTGAGAAAATGGTTCAAAAACATGGATTAGATTGTATTTCGGAACCAATTTTGTGTGACGTCATAGGTTCATCGCGAGAATATACTATTTCAAACCTGTTTCGAACCAGTTTTAAAAAAGTGAACGCGAGAAAACAGCTCTGGGAATAAGCCATGAGTCTGGTTCGGACTTTTTTGAACCAGGTTCAATATGACGTTAATGGTTCAACGTAAGAATGTATTGGTTCGAACCTAATTGAACCGGATCGAACTAGTTCCACCGTGAGAAAACAGTTCAGGTAATTGAAATTTTTTAGTCGTTCGCTAAATATTATTGGGTTCGATTAACTCACTCTGCGTGCTCTAAACGATCCGTAAGCACCCCGTTTATATTCGATTGAACGCAATCAAATTGGAAATGACTCTAAATGTTCCATTTTAGAAAAAGAGTCTTTTAGAGTACTATCAAAGTAATCTGGATCGTTTGCTTTGCAGCTTCCCCTCTACTCAATAGTTAGAACAGTGTTCTGACTATTCTCAACTCCGTTTTGAATAGCCGAACCCAACTTTCTTCAATTTTTATTAAATTTGCTCATTTCTTCACTTCTCCAGGCTCTTGAAATTCTTTTTCCTTTCAGTTTTCAAATTTAAATGGATTCGGATAGCTAACTCCGTGCACTAAACGTGATTCGTAAGCACACCGTTCATGTTCGTTTAAACAGAATCGAGTTGGAGGTTACTCTAGGTGAGTTCCGAATAGTAGAAACTGTTGACACTATTGACAGTGTAGCGTTCGTTAATGCATAGGAGTGAGTTTGGATATTGGTTTGATACAAGATTGTTTGAGAGAGGTAGGTTGCATGATAACTTTATGACGTCATCTAGGGTGCCTTAACATAATGTAAATCCAAAGTTGTTTAAAAGAAGAAGGTTGCCTGATAATTTTTATGACGTCATCTGTATGCTTAAACATAGATAATGCAAATTTTCATAAGGCCAGATGCGTCATCAAGTTACCCCATTACCAGACAACCTACTAACTTTAGGAATCTTGGGTTTGGTGACACTTTATTCAAGGAAATATTTTAGTGCCCGAATGATATAAATATGGTGGGCACTGCTTACTCGGTACAAAATGATGGTTAATTCGGTGTTACACCTTCATCTCGTGGTATAACTCTGTATTACACGAACACCGCACTAGAATCTCATTTTGAACTCAACGTTTGAATGTTCTATTCTATGGTTCCATAGTAAAAAAATACGTTTAGAGTAAGTAGAGTAACTGTAGGAGTAATTGAAATATCAGGTATTTGAAATTTTCTTGGTTGTTCGTTTAATAGCTTCTATACTCTACTCAAGAATATGTTACAGAACACTGTTCTGACTACTCCAACTCTTCGAATTTCTGTTTCCTTTTAGTTTTCAAATATTACCGGGTTTGGCTAGTTCAATTTGTGCCTTCAAAGTGATCCATAAGCACCCAGTGCATGTTCGATTATACGGAATCAAGTTGGAGATAATTCTAAATGTTTCATTTCAGATCAGATTTATTGTAAATAAGCCATTTGACATTTTCTGGGTCCTTCGCTTTGCAGCTTCCATACTCTACCCAAGAACACATCACAAAAGTGTTCTGAATTAACTACTCTCTGTGACGTCACAGATTTCTGTGAGAGTGCTTTAAGCAGAACATGTAAATCCGTTTCGGATCGCTTTGTGAATAATCGAGTGAAGTTTTGAAGCAAAAATCGAAAGCGCTATATATCTTTTTAGTGGAAATGGAGTTAACTGCGATTGCTTCCAGCTATAACCGAATTTTCGCGACGAATGTAGTTCATCCATTAGTTCGTCTTGTGACGTCATGAGTTTGAACGCTGGCTAGAGGTTGCGTTCATGTTTCCTGCGAACTACGTTCATTATGACGTCATGAGTTTTTTGCGAAAACGTTTGTTTCCATGGAATCATGGAAATAGTTCGTCACGAAAATTTGGTTTATATTGCAGCATTAAATGGAGTGGAGCCTACTACGTTCCAACTCCAAAAAGAAGTGTTTTAGAGTAAGTAGAGTAATTGAAATTGTTTTGCTTCAAATATTCCGAGTCATTCGAGTGAGCTTTTTTGCTCGATTCTAAGAACACATGACAGAACACTAAATTCACTCTAATATTACTCATTTTTCCTTAGTTTTTATCAATAAAAGGTGTTATATTGATCGGGATATATCGATGTTTTAAACATATCGAGAACAAAAGCTGGGTTCGGCTATTCAGCGGGAAGTTGGAGTGGAGTAAGAACAGAGCTAATGGAGTCACCCCAGTTCGGTAAAAAGCAATACCCGAACCTTAACCCGAACGACTAGAGTGCGAATGGAGTCACTCGGAGTGCACGGAGTGAGCAAACCGAACCCACCACAAATATTGTTTCGATGCCTGGAGCCAACTTCATGTTAAAATGTCAACTTTCAAATTCACATGAAGTGAAGTTGGCTCTAAACAAAAAAATGAATGACAGATAAATGACATTTGAAATGTCCCCCCTTTGCAATTGAAAAAAAAACAAAAAAAAAGGTATTTATTTATATAAAAAAACAACCAATTCCCAAGCCCTAAACTGGCTCATAAGTTTCACAAATTTAACCCCATTTCACTCTAAATTCTCCTAAATTTATTTCAGTGCAGGAGCCCTACCGACACAGGCCCCCCAAGATGTCTTCGAACGGTTCCCCGTCGCCCTACGCCCACGACGCCTTCGTAACCGATGCCGATTTCAAAGTCGAAATCAACCAGAAAATGAAGGTACCGGAAAAGATCAGTTTCAGCCAAGACACCAACGGGGAAGTCCGGAATTCTTGGGTAAAAGACAACTTTAGCATGCAAGTACCTGAACGGATACTGGTCATGGGGCAAGACCAACATGTCGGTAAGAATTGTCAAAAATGTCTATTAGCTATCACAGATTATTTACTTATTTTATTAAAAATTCCAAACCAGAAAGTAAATTATTATATAGTGTATTAAGGCTTATAGGTATGAGGTGTTTTGTTTCAGGTACCAGGGCTCCGCCTAGAGAAATCGCATTTGACAATTCCTTTATAGCTTCAGAACCTTACCCTTCAAACTTACCTCGAGTCGCTACCCCTCCTAGAACCCTCACTTTGGACAGATACCCATTCCCAGGTAAGCCAACAGTTAAATAAAAAAAACTCCTGATTAACAATAATAATTCAAGAATACCAAGACCAGGAACCTGAACCAGAAGACCAGCTACCTGTAGTTGTAAGACCAAACAAAGCCAAAGTGCAACTTAATGATTCCATTTATTCGTTTCGGGATTCTGCTACTCCGCCCCTAGGAGGCGACTGCATGACTAGTTCAGAAGAAGTTGTTCACTTGAGAAGGCAAATGGCCAAGCTGAATCGCAGGATGATGGCTCTGGAGCTGGAAAATCTTAATCGGCTTCAAAAGGAGAAGTTCTTTTTTGGTATAGGGATGGCTTATCTGTTTTTGAAAGTCATTATTTGGATGAACCGAGTCTAGATTAAGAGTGGTTTTGGTAGAAAGGAGATGATTATTATTATTGTAGTTTGATTCTTTTATTGTTTAAAAATAGGTTTAAATTCTTTTGATTATTTTAAGTATTTATGCGTTATATTGTACGACTTTTAAATAAATTAATATTTGAATTGGGCGAATAAAGGTTTTTATTTTGTGTGGTGTGGTAACATTTGAAATTTACAGTTTCCTGTATCCAATTTAGCAGTTTGCGTCACTTTGAAGTAGAGTTTTTGCAGGTTTCTGTAATATTTGGCAACAATGACTGTCATGATATTACAGTTTCCTGCTATTCCATCAACATGATGTTTAAATATGCGGCGCTGCAAGCATTTTAAATACTTTAATATTTTCATGAAAACCTTTATTACGAGGGTCAAAGAAAAAGTTGTTTTATATCAGGGGAGTAAAAGTACTGAAAACAAATGAATTTAAATGATCCAATGTCAGTTTTCAATTCTTAACAACCAGAACTCAGTCATTCAGAGAACAAATAGGCTTTGTAAAATCAAGGATAGTAAACTTAAAAAGGTTGTCTAGATTATTCATATTCAAATTTGCTACAAATGACGTCACCGAAAAGTAACGAGCGTGCGGGAAAATACATCTTTCTCCATTTGCGTCTCACAGTTGCGAAATTATTTATGCAACATTAGAACTATTTCTTTAGGATTCAATTTGAACCTAAATCTTCTTGAATTTTAATATTTTTTCAATTCCAGGCTCTTGAATTTTTGTTCCGGGCTAGGATTACGACAAGTAGAATTCTACTTTTTCATGACGTCAAGTTGCCTAGCAACCGTCATTTTTGCCTGTACTGTAGTGTAGGCGATAAATAGGTCGCGGTTGACGTCATGAAAGTAGAATTCTACTTGTCGTGATCCCACAGCCCTGGAATAAAAAAAAAAAAAATAAGACTCAAGAACTTCAAAGAACAAATGGGCTTTGAAAATCAACGATAGTAAATCTAAAAAGGTCATCTGGATTATTCATAATCGAATTTGTTTCAGATGACGTCACCGAAATGTAGTGAGCGTGAGGAAAATTGCACTTACCGCACTTTTTTGTTTTTTTTTTATCTGTGTTGATCAAGAATATAGATAGACAGAGACTTCCAAAGAAATAGCATCGCTTCAAAGTTGTTTGAGAGACGTAGACTACATAATAACTTTTATGACGTCATCTGAAGTGCTCCAATATAATACAAATCTCCATAAGGTACCCCCTATGACGTCATTAAATTAACCATTACCAGATAACTTATTAACTTAAGGAACCTTGGGAGAACAAAAAAGGGAGACGCGCATCTGTAGTGACGTAACAAGGGTATTAGCGCTTAACAATAATAGTTAATCCCCTTTGGTTTGAGTTAATCATTCGTCGGCTGTCATTTGTCATTAACAACCTTTTTTCCAACTCTCGACGTTACATCTTTCTTCTCTCTCGTGTAAAGAAAATTTACCAAAACGTAATTTCTTATTCTCGTCCAAATATCAAACCGCCGCCTAAAAACTTTCATTTCAAGCATACTCACAAGACAACTAGGCAAGTAGGCTTTGAAATTCAAAGATAGACAGCCCAAAAAGGTTGTCTGAATTATTCATGTTCAAATTTGTACAAGGATGACGTCACCAGGAAGTAGTGAGCGTACGGAACATTGCATTTTACCGTACGTATTTGCGTTTCAGCGCCGATCACGTGGTAGATGTGATATTTATTAAAAACTATTTCCCCCCTCAGACAACTTTCAGACTTAGCGTATGACTCGGGGTAGAGACGAAGGACCACACAAAAGAGAGCAAGCACCTGGAGTGACGTCACAAGGGTATCAGCGCTAGTCAATAATAGTCCAATCCTTTTTGCTCATAATTCTTAGTTTGTGAAATATTTCTTTTCACTTATGTAACATTTATCAAAACGTGACGCATCTTTCCACCCTCCATTCTCGTCCAAATTCAAATATCAGATTGCCGTCTAAGAACTTTCATTTCTGATTGCACACTCACAACTCACAAGACCTTAGAGCAGGTAATTTCCTAGGTGGGAGGAGTAGGAACATGGAGTTGAAAAATGAAACCGTTTTTTTTGGTATTCTGAGATCCAAAATAATGGTGTTATAGCTAATTCAAAGCTTCACCTGTCATTTTGTGTACAAATACCTGCTAAAAACTGGCTTCACAACTTAGTTTTGAAAATCAAAGATGATAAGCTCAAAAGTAAGGTTATTCATAAACAAATTTGTTTCAGGATGACGTCACCAGATGTATATTTTCCATTCAGATCCAATTTTCTGGATGTTTATAACGAAAATTCAAGAGCCTGTAATAGACAAAAGCTGAAAGAACAAAAATGTAAAAAAAAAAATTCAAGAAAGATGGTTCAGTTTATTCTTATTCACGTATTCCAAAACCTACTATGATACATTGAAATGTCAGTCTAAGGAAGTAGATGGAGCTACAGTGACTCTATTACCCACAGTGACGACAATTGCTGTCTTATTTTTGATTGGTTCTAAAATCCCATATATTTATATTGAAAACGCGGCCATCTTGTTCCCACCTATTGCTTATTTCAAATATGAATATATGGGATTTGGGTGAACATCCAGCATAAAACATGGAAAACAACGTATTTGTTGGATTGTTGGATGTAATAATAGTCATCAAATACGTCGATTTCAATTTTTCATGATAGATGTTCATTTAAATCCTATATATTATTATTTAAAAGTAATAAGACGTTGGGAACAAAATGGCGGCGAGACTTGTATTGTCGCCACTGTATATAAAGATTTATTTAGCCACTGTAGATGGAGCCACACAGCCGGAGGCTTTTCCTACAGTGACTCTATAACACATAGTGGCGACAATTGCTGTCTCATTTTTGATTGGTTCTAAAATCCCATATATTTATACTGAAAACACCGCCATCTTGTTCCCAACCCTTTGTTACTTTTAAATATGAATATATGGGATTTAGGTGAACATTCATCATAAATCATGGAAAACAACGTATTTGATGGACCTAATAATAGTAATCCAATACGTCGATTTCAATTTTTTATGATAGATGTCCATTTAAATCCTATAAGTATATTAATATTTAAAAGTAACAAGAGGTTGGGAACAAGATGGCGGCGGGACCTCTATTGTCGCCACTGTTTGTTTTTCCTAACAATCCACTACTGTCAAAGAGTTTTATATAAATAACGTCACACAATAAAGTATTTTCTTCTGTGAATTCCACATTACTCACAACGAAACTAGTATTCTCTGGAAATCAAAGATAGTTAACTCAAAAAAGTTGTCTGAATTTATTCGTAATCAAATTTGTTGTAGATGACGTCACAAAAAAAGTAGAAAGCGTGCGAAAAAAAGCATTTTACCGTAATTATCTGCGAAAATTATTTCCAACTAAAATTCAAGAGCCTAGAATAGGCAAAAGTTCAAAAAAACAAATAGAAGGAAATCCAATGAAATTTAAAAAAAATAAAATGGTGGTAAACATATTCCAAAGCCTACTATGATACATATTGAATAGTTCAAGGAAGCCATTATCATTTCCGCTCACCAAAGGCTTTTTCTAACAATCTACTCTCAAAGAATTTCAAACTTTCATTTGCAAATTACACACTCACAAAACAAGTAGCAATTAAAAATCAAGGATAGCAAACCCAGAAAAGGTTATCTGGTTTATACAAAATCAGATTTGTGTTCCAGATGACGTCACTGGAATGTATAGAGAAACCTTTCAGATTGGATTATCTTAGGTGTTTTCAACCAAAATTCAAAAGCCTGGAATAGAGACAAAATGTATAATGAAAGAAAAAAAAAAAGAAGATAGCAGAAAAATGGTTCAATTAAATTCACTGCACAATCAGTTAAATGTCATTAAAATTTTTAAAAAATAAATCAATTCGCCATCTTGTTGTTGAAGTTTTCCATGATACAATGAAAATAGAGCTACTACCAATCTCACCAAGGCCTTTCTCAACGATCCACTGTTAAAGAAAATTCAAATGTTGCAAAATAAGCTGAATGTAACTTTAATTTCCAGATTACACATTCAAGAAAACAAGTAGGCTTCAAAAATCAAGGATAATAAACCCAAAAAGGTTGTCTGGATTATTTTCAATCAAGATGACATCACCAGAAGGTACTGAATGTGCAAAAAAAGTGCATTTTATTGAAACAACTAGAGATTTGTAAAGGATTTTATTCATAATCCACAACAAAATTAGTATAAATCTTATTCACTTAAATTAGCTAAATTCAAACTTTGATTTCCTCATTCACCAAAGTCACTGAGAGCAAAAAATAAAAAGTCTTAACCCTAACAGAACACAAAACTAATATCTAAAACTATTCGCTACTCTTCAGTTTCAAATTTGGGTAGTAGAGCCTCTTCCAAAACAACTACAGCTCGATCCAGCTGAGCAAACAAGACTTTAATGGAGGTGGTGATGTCATTGTATTGCTGCAATGATTTTAGCACCTTCTGAGTCACGTCTCGACTTTCTGAGTAAACAACCAGGTTAGTTTCAGTCAGCTGCTCCAGTTTGCCTGACAGCTCAGTCACTTTCATGATCTTATCTGAGTTGGTGTATGGGATGAGTTTTTGGACAGAACGTACCAGCTGGACAGTGTTTCTAAGCTAAAAATTACCATATTATAGCAACATGATTGAATAGTGAATTATTTTACCTCTGGATACAATTCCAATAAGTAATGCCTCTTAGCTTCAACTTCCAGATCGTTTTCCCAATTGCAAGGGTCCAAATAGTTGTTGATTGTAGTCATGTGGCCTAGGATAGAAGTGATTGATTCTCGACAGCTCAGAGCGGAAGTGATCATCGTTTGAGACTGCAACAGTAAATCGGTGATGGCCTGGGACTTGTTTTCCAACGAGGTTTCCTTGGGCAATATTTGCTCTTCGAGGGCTTCAATGCGTTTTTCCAACAAATCAATTCCGTCCATGTTTTTTCAGGATCACTTTCTTTCACTGTTACTTTTCTTTCGATAAAACGACTTCCTGGTTTGCTCAATATAATATTCACTTTCTTTTCACACTACACTGTGTGTGTGTGAGGAAATCTTACTTTTACTACTAGAAGAATTTGTGTGGTGAAATTTCATTCAACAGCTGATTGATGCGATTATATCACACTTAAATGCTATTTCACTTTGTTGCATTGAAATAAATAAAGACAACTAGAGTCTGTTTATGAAAACACCTACTCAAGACATTTTGCAACCAGCGCCATCTATTATCAACAACACAAAAATGTATATTAAATATCAAATAAAAAAAGCGCCAATATTCAAATTTACTATGGACGCACTCATTAGTTGTCTCACTTTGTGCCATATAAATAAACAATGACAAAAAATAATTGCTGTACTACTACTAATTCAAATTTTTAAAATAAGCGCCAATTTAACACGAATTTAATCAATATTCCCCCATTACATACAAAATCCCTTTCGCACGTGCGCTTTCAGTGTGTCCCTTTTCCGACCAGCTGGACGTCCGGTGTGTCCTTTCCGATCGTTCTTGTTCCCTCAGGAATGGCGTCAAGTGAATATGACGGCGTCTAAGAAAAGTTCCTACGCGAAATTCAAACCGTAAATATTCCAAAATTTGATTTGTAGATGAGCTTATATAGATGTAGATTTTTAGCGCAAATTATATGCCTCCCATGTGGGACGATTTATCGATTAGTGGGTCAATTTAAACACGTGATGTTTTCGATTTGTAGATGAATGGGGCTTCTTTTTCGACACTTGTAGAGGAAAGTGTTTTGTGAAATGTGTCCTAACTGAGTAGAAAAAAATAATACTTCTTCCTGGCACTTGTAGGAGAAATTGTAGATTATAGACTGCATTGGAAAACTTGTAGATCGACAGTTTACAAGGCCTACTTTGACTAGTTATTTGAGATTCTCCTATCTTCAAATTAGTGTTATGCTATTTCTTTTTATTTTAAGTCATTAGAATAGGATAGTAAATGTTCCACTCTCTCCTGTTATCATTAATGAAATTAAATTTTTGGTTTCTATTCTCAAACAGAGGCATTTTAGTTGACTGAGTGGTTGTGGGTTTTGCACTCAAATCAATGCAGTAAAGTGCACTTTTCCGCACACTGACTAATTTCCGGTGACGTATCTAAACAAACAAATTTGATTATGAATAATCCAGGCAACCTTTTTTGGGTCTAATATCCTTGATTTTCAAAGCTTACTTGGTTTTTAAACGTCAAATAGGTCGAAGTTTTTAAGTTTTTTACTTTTGCTTTGCCTCTGTATCATTGTTATACTTATGCACGCACTCACTAAGGATGATACACACTACTACTACAAGTTAATTTATCCTCATAAGGCTTGTGTGTAACAAATCCCCCCTCCCACCCCATTTCAAATCACCAGTTGTGACGTAGGCGGCATGTTATTGCTTGCCTTGACGTAGGTTGTTTAAACAGTTGATGAATTAGTTATGACGTCGGAAATGGTGACACACCAATTTGGCAGTGATTATCAAAAACGAGGCCGATAAGCAATGCTGTAGGTGTGTATGTTCCTTGATCAAGTTGGTCATGGATTGACACTTATTTGATGAATAGTTTGTTGTACAATTTGACAGAAGTGACCTTTGACAGTTAACATCAAGAGCCGGGAAATAGACAACACTTGATTGAAAAGAAATCTTTATTTTTTATTCTCTAATCAATGAGAATGACAAGAAACTTTCTGGAAAAATATGCCATCAAGTTGGCCATGAATCGACACATGCACAATTATGAAAAAAATGACAGTTGGCAGTTGAATTCAAGAGCCGAGAATAGACAAAAATTGATTCAAAAGAAATTATTATTTATATGTTGAACTGACAGCAATTATTAAATGATAATAAAAAGAAACAGATGACAGTTCTGAGATTATATTTTATACCCTTGCCTGTCACTTGTGGCGTCATCTTAAAGTCACAATATCGACATCGACAGCGTCCTACTAGAGAGTTACATGACATTTGACACTTGTAGAGGAAAGACTCCAAAATAATGTGTCCTAACTGAGTAAAAAAAAAATGTTTCTTCCTGGCACTTATAAGAGAAATTGTAGATTAAACAGTTTACAAGGCCTACTTTGACTAGTTATTTTTTTTTTAAATAAGAATTTGAGTTTCTCTATCTTCAAATTAGTGTTATGCTATTTCTTTTTATTTTAAGTCATTAGAATAGGATAGTAAATATTTCACTTTTTGTCTATCATCACTGATGAAATAAAATTTATGGTTTCTGCACTCAAACAGGTCCATTTAGTTATTATTTTTTTAAAACTGAGTGGTGAGGGATTTTGCACGCAAATGAATGCGGTAAAATGCACTTTTCCGCACACTCACTACTTTCCGATGACGTATCTAGACAAACAAATTTGATTATGAATAATCCAGATAACCTTTCTTGGATTTATTATCCTTGATTTTCAAAGCCTACTTGGTTTTTAAACGTCAAATGGGTCGAGACTCTTGAGTTTTTTACTTTTACTTTGCCTCTATATTATTGACATACTTATGGCCATTTCCACCAACTATTTTAGAGAAGCCCTAACGGTAGGTATGCCTAAACTGACATTTCTCCATGTAAAAATGTCATTTTAGGAAATACATATCGTTAGGACTCCCCTAAAACAGTTGGTGGAAACGGCCATTATGCATGCACTCACCAAGGATAATACACACTCCTACTAACAGGATGGCTTATCCTCATAGTCATAAGGCCTGTGTGTAACAAATCCCCACCTTCCCCCCACGCCAAATCACTAGTTGTGACGTAGGCAGCATGTTATTTCTCGCCTTGACGTATACCAATATGGCGGCGTTTACCAAAAACGAGGTCGATAAACAATCCTAGTATGTATGTATCATCCTTGGTAGTTGACAATACTTTTTGACAAACGAAAAAGTAGACTTTGGAAAATTTCAAAATTTGCATTTGGCGCCCTGTAATACCGACATCGTAATACATATTGTCTGTCGATTTTAATCTGATACTCGGACGGAATGTGAGCTGGTGGCTCCCTACATTAAAACGCCAATGGTTACCTGACGTCACACCTGTTTTTGCCATATGAAACCCCCCTCGCTCCTCATACGAAAAGTGTCAGTTGAAAATCGACGAACAATACATCGCCCGCAGGGCGAGGGTTTTTTTAATTACGAGCCCGAAAGGCCGGAATCTTTATTAACTTTATAAATTACGAGCTCGTCGGAACGGGGTCGAGATCATTCTAAATCACAAGCTTGAAAGGCCAGGGTCTTCTTACGAGCCGGAAGGGCCGGGGTCATTTTGAGTTACAAGCCCGTAGGGCTGGGGTCTTTTCAAATCACGAATTATAGAGCATGGATTTTTGTCTGGTAATACGCACGAATGTTCATAAAACCCCGACCCTTTGTGCTCGTATAACTCCAGGCTCGTAAAACTCCGACCCTTTGGGCTCGTATAACCTCGGCTCTCCGGGCTCGTGATTTAAATAACTCCGGCCCTTTGGGCCCGTATAACTCCGGCCCTTTGGGCCTGTATAACTCGAGCCCTTCGGGCTCGTATAACCCCGGCCCTTCGGGCTTCTATAACCTTGGCCCCCGGTCTCGAAATTCGAAAAAAACATATAGTATCACTGCTTATAACAAAACAAACGTCAAAAAATTGACGTTTCAAAGTAGGCTTTGTTGTCCTTGACAGTTGATACAAAATGGCGTGTTTCTGTTGCCCTGTGCACTTAAGATTGATTTGAAAACACTCTCACTTTTCGGGGGCTCATAATTTAAAAAAAAAAAACGTTATTTCGCCTCAAGGATAATACACACTACTATTACAGAATAACCTATCCTCATAAGGCCTGTGTTGTGTGCAACAAATCCCCCCTTCCTTCAATGCCAAATCACCAGTTGTGACGTAGGCAGCATGTTATATTTTGCCTTGACGAAGGTTGTTCAAACAACTGACGATTTAGTTATGACGTCGCAAATGGTGACACATCAATATGGCGGTGATTATTATAAACAAGGCCGATAAGCAATCCTATAGGTGTGTATCATCCTTGCGCACTCACTATACTTTCCGGTAACGTATGTAAACAATCATATTTGATTATGAATAGTCCAGACAACCTTTTTTGAGTTTACTATCTTCGATTTTCAAAGCCTACTTGGTTTTTAAACGTCAAATGGGTCGAGGCTCTTGAGTTTTTTACTTTTGCTTTGCCTTTGTATTATTGACATATTTATGCATGCACTTACTACTTTCTGATAATAAACAAATTTGATTATAAACAATCCAGACAACCTTTTCTAGGCTTATTATCTTTGATTTTCAAAGCCTACTTGATTTTTAAACGTCAATAATGGGTCAAGGCTCTTGAGTTTTTCACTTTTGCTCCGCCTTTGTATTATTGACATATTTGCACGCACTCACCAAGGATGATACACATCTATAGAATTGTTTATCGGCTTTAATTTTGGTAATCGCCACCATATTGGTTGTGTCACCATTTCTGACGTCATAACTAATTTGTCAGCTGGGGCGAGAAATAACATGTTGCCTACGTCACAGCCCAATTGATGATTTGGCGCGGGGGGGGGGGGGGGGGGGAAGGGAGAAATTTGTTCCACACCTTATGAGTATAATAAGCTATCCTGTATTAGTATCGTGTATCATTTTTGCGCACTCATTACTTTTTAGTGACGTATCTAGAAAAACAAATTTGTTTATGAATAATCCAGACAACTTTTCTTGGGCTTACTATCCTTGATTTTCAAAGTTTATCCGATTTTTAAACGTCAAATGAGTCGAGGCTCTTGAGTTTTTGAATGCTTTCAACAGAAATTCAAGAGCCTGGAATAAACAAAAGTTGTGAAAAAAAAAATGTAAATCTCCATCTTGTCGTTGAGATTTTCCAAAGCCAACTAACGATACATTGAAATGTCACTCTAAGGAAGTAGATGGAGCCACTGTCATTCCCGCTTATAACAAGACATTTGCTAACGATCCACTCTGTAACATAATTTAACTTTTTTTTTCAGATTATCGCCAGCAATGGATCTTCACCAGATATAAAACCAACAACACACCTATTTATCATTTTATTTTTTGAAAATTAATTTCGCACAACACTGATAAAATACAAAATCCGTCATGCTAGAGCCATATTCGCCCAGTTTGCTGTGGCTTGTTATCCTGGGATTCGTCATTGCGTTCGTGTTGGCTTTCGGCATCGGCGCCAACGACGTTGCCAACTCGTTCGGCACGAGCGTCGGCTCCAAAGTACTTACCATCGCGCAAGCGTGCTGGCTGGCGACTTTTTTCGAAGTAGCCGGAGCGGTCCTAATCGGTAAGAACTGTCAGTGGTGCTAAATGACATTGTTGACATTAAAAATTGACAGGTTATAAAGTGTCTGATACAATGAGAAAAGGCATCTTAGACGTCAACGTTTACAAAGACTCGGAAATGGAACTGATGCTCGGCTCGGTTGCGGCTCTGGCTGCCAGCGCCACCTGGTTGATGGTAGCCACATTTTTTAAACTGCCAATTTCGGGCACGCACAGCATAGTAGGCGCCACGGTCGGTTACAGTTTGGTCGCTAGAGGCGCTCAAGGCGTTCAATGGCAAACTTTAGGCAAAATCGGTAAGAATTTGATTACCAAATATTAAGAATCGTAAGCTCTACAGGATTGCTCAATCCCATAAGACATACGTTCATAAAAATATCCAACATGGAGGAATGCGAGTGACGTCACGCAGTCCTTGATCGGTTTGTTTTTTATTATGACAGTGCAGCGGCCATCTTGAAAGACAGGAATGCAGGTGACGTCATAGCACTTGTGAACTTTAGCCAATTGAGCAATCTTGTACAGTTTACGATTCTCATGTACCTATTTATTCTTTTAATTTTTGATTATATTTCAGTAATTTCCTGGTTCATTTCGCCATTATTAAGCGGTCTATGTTCAGTCGGTCTTCTACTAGTAATCAAAAAATTTATAATTTCCAAACCGGATCCGCTCGAAGCCGGTTTAATCTCGCTTCCGCTCTTCTACAGTTTCACCATTTTGGTCAACGTATTTTCCATCGTCCATGACGGACCCAAACTGCTCCACATGGACAACATTCCTTTGTGGTTAGCTGCCACTATTAGCCTCGCGGTGGCGCTAGTGTGCATGGTCTTCATATGGCTGGTGGTGGTACCGTGGCAACGTAAGAAAATCAAAATGGAAATGGTCAGCGTCGATGTCAATAATCAAGTTTGTTTCAATATCGGGGAATCGTCAGGTAAGAATTTTACGTGTGTAGATGGCGCTTACGTCATCAGTCAAGTAAAACTCCTTTTCCAAATTTAATCTATTCCAGGCTCTTGAAAACACACACAACATTCAAGAGCCTGGAATAAGAAAGTAATGAAATTGTGTAGATCTTTTTTTTAATACAAATTTGATAGTAGGCCTTGAAAATCAAGGCTAGTAAACTCAAAAAGGTTGTCCCGATTATTTATAATCACGTTTCTTGTTCCAGATACGTCACCGGAAAGTAGTCCGAACAAGAAATCGAACCGCAACTCGGCATATTCGGAACGTCAATTAACCGTAATTTCGGAACACACCGAATTGCAGCACTTGGATGGTAAAATAGCGGCCGCAAAGTATGTCTTTCCATTGCAAACTAGTGATAAAAACGGTTATATACAAGCTAAAGAGACTGAAATACTTTCGAGGCCAAACGATTTAAAAATACCAGAACCCGCCACTGTTATCAATCCGACATTGTCTCCTAATTCAAGCGGAGTGCCACTGATAAGAGACAAAAGTTACACCAGCAACGAAACTCAGCCTCGTCAAAATCCCGAATCAGTGTCGTCCGAAGATGACGAGAATCCGAGTGTTTCGAAGCTGTTCAGCTTCCTGCAAGTTCTGACAGCTATTTTTGGTAGCTTCGCGCATGGCGGAAATGACGTCAGCAACGCCATCGGACCTCTAATCACTCTGTGGCTGATTTACTCTGAGGGCAGCGTGGCTCAAAAATCTGAAACTCCTTTGTATATTTTGCTTTACGGAGGAGCCGGGATTTCCGTGGGATTGTGGCTGTGGGGCAGGCGAGTCATCGAAACTATCGGAGAGGATTTGACAACTATAACACCTTCAACGTAAGAACTGTTTTATTGTATTTTTTGAAAAGGTTTCGTTTTTAATTGATTACGGACGCCTATGGATTATAGGCTCCACCCACTTTGAAGTTTAATAAATATGAATTGAAGGAAGGAGCCTAATTTTAAGCTATGCCTACTTTATTGAATAGAATTGGAGGGGGAGCTTAAAAAACAGTGCCGTGGAAAAATTAAATTTTCATAGTGAATAAATCATGAAATTTATATATTCACAATTTATGTCATACCCCTGTTTACAGGTGGGAACACTTCAAAATTTTGGGAAATTTTTTCATTCGAAATAGGATTAAATTACCTACAAAATGACCTCATTTTTGATATCAATAATTATTACCGTTCTAGAGTTATTCAGGCTCAAATTTCAACTAAAATTTTAAAAAAGTTTCAAACTCAAATAACTCGAAAATGGTAAGTTGTAGAGGAAAAACTCAAAAAGCAATTTTGTAGTATACATTGAGAACTACAATTTTTAAGTAAAAAGTTTTTGTCTACGACTTATGGTTTCCAAGTTATGGCTGCTTAAAGTTTCAGTCGTGAAAAATCATTTCAGGAGAAATTCTAGAAAATTGACTTGTTTAGGCAAAAGTAAGGAAAATTCAACCTCTCTCATTGTAATTTTTTTCTGGAAAAGTAAATTTGAATTTGACATTTCTGTTTGAAAATTTTACCAAACTCACGCTATTTAGAATATTTTCATCCTTTTCTAATACAATGCTTTGTCATTTTGCAAGCAAAAGTACCTACCCAGCAGTAATTTTTCTCCAATACATAAATAAGAATTTAAAAAAAAATTACGACGCTAATGTCTTCTAAGCTCCACCCCTTTTGAATTTCAACACAATGTCGTGGAGGCATGGTCCGAAACAAATAGGCGGAGTCTAAAACACATTGGCGTAGACAGATAAACAAATTTGAATTTGATTTAAATAATTGAAGAAGAGTGCCGTGGAAAGATTATCCATCCATTGTGAATAAATCATGAAATCTATCAAAAACATGCATATCTGTTATTGACAATTATGTCGGGATAATAAACTTTTAATTAATTAATGTAAATTTTAATGAAATGTCCAGTACCAAGTACATTTTTTATTGGTCTGGTGCGAACATTGTATAGTACTGATGTTAAGCTACGCCAATGTCTTCTAAGCTCCACCCTTTCCGAATTTTAACCATGGAGGTGGAGCCTGAAATACATTGGCGTAATGAATTTGATTGCAATATCTCATCTATAGGTTTGTTCTCACAAGAGTATCTGGCAGTTTGCAAACTATCAGAAACAATCGACCAGCTAAGGGCAAAACGCATAGACATTCCTTGATGGTCATTTGTTTAGAATGGACACTTTGTTACTAGTTGACAAGTTTACCAAGTCAATTCTAAACGTCAAAGGCTTCTTGGAAAAAATTCAAGAGCCGGGAATTGATAAAAATTGAAAATTAAAAGAAAATAAATTTAGAAGAAATGCATTTTTCTGCATTCGATGACGTCATTTTAATTAACGTCATTTAGAACAATTTCAATTTTAAATAATTCGGACAACCTTTTTGAGTTTACTATCCTTGATTTTCAAAGCCTACTTGTTTCGTTGAGTGTGCAATGTGATGTGTGAGAGTAAACAAAAATGAGTGGGAAAAATTCTTTTGTTAGAGATTCTTATAAAAAAAAACCTTTTTGTCTCACACATTTGTCAAAAAAAAATTGATACACCAATGTCTTGTAAGCTCCACCCCTTGTGTTGTGAGGGCGAAAGGGGTGGAGTCTAATTTACTGTTTTTACTGCTTTGTGGTTTTTTTTTTTTTTTTGGAATTTTTCGGAACTCTTTGGAATTTAGTGTTTTTTGAAATTTTTTAGAATTTTTTGAATTTTTTTGAAATTTGGTGTTTTTACTGTTTTTTGGCATTTTTTGGAATTTTTTGAAATTTTTTGAAATTCTCTGAAATTTAGTGTTTTCAGTGCTTTTTCGAATTTTCAACATTTTTTGGAATTTTGGTTTTTCATTGGTTTTTGGACTTTTTTGTTTTTCTTCAAATTTTTTGTAATTTCTTGGTATTTCTTAAAATTTACTGTTTTTACTGCTTTTTGGAATTTTTTTTTTTTTTTTTGGAATTTGGTGTTTTTTGAAATTTTTCGGAATTTTTTGAATTTTTTTGAAATTTGGTATTTTTACTGTTTTTTGGCATTTTTTAAATTTTTTTGAAATTTAGTGTTTTCAGTGCTTTTTGGAATTTTCAACATTTTTTGGAATTTTTCGGAATTTTATGGAATTTGGGTTTTTCATTGCTTTTTGGACTTTTTTCTTTTTTTTTTAACTTTTTTGTAATTTTTTGGTAATTCTTGAAATTTACTGTTTTTACTGCTTCTTGGAAATTTTTGTTTTTTTTTGGAATTTTTCGGAACTCTTTGGAATTTGGTGTTTTTTGAAATTTTTCGGAATTTTTTGAATTTTTTTGAAATTTGGTGTTTTTACTGTTTTTTGGAATTTTTTGAAATTTTTTGAAATTCAGTGTTTTCAGTGATTTTTGGAATTTTCAACATTTTTTGAAATTTTTCTGAATTTTTTGGAATTTTAAGGAATTTTCTGGAATTTGGTTCTTCATTGCTTTTTGGACTTTTTTGTTTTTTTTTTTAATTTTTTGGTTATTCTTAAAATTTACTGTTTTTACTGCTTTTTGGAATTTTTCGGAACACTGAAATTTAGTGTTTTTTGAAATTTTTCGGAATTTTTCGAATTTTTTTGAAATTTGGTGTTTTTACTGTTTTTTGGCATTTTTTGGAATTTTTTGAAATTTTTTGAAATTCTTTGTTTTCAGTGATTTTTGGAATTTTAAGCATTTTTTGAAATTTTTCGGAATTTTTTGGAATTTTTCGGAATTTTCTGGAATTTGGGTTTTTCATTGCTTTTTGGACTTTTTTGTTTTTTTTAAATTTTTTGTAATTTTTTGGTATTTCTTGAAATTTACTGTTTTTACTGCTTTTTGGAATTTTTTGTTTTTTTTTTGGAATTTTTCGGAACGCTTTGAAATTTAGTGTTTTTTGAAATTTTTCGGAATTTTTTGAATTTTTTTGAAATTTGGTGTTTTTACTGTTTTTTGGCATTTTTTGGAATTTTTTGAAATTTTTTTCAGTGTTTTTTGGAATTTTCAGCATTTTTTGAAATTTTTCGGAATTTTTTGAATTTTTCGGAATTTTCTGGAATTTGGGTTTTGCATTGCTTTTTGGACTTTTTTGTTTTTTTTAAATTTTTTGTAATTTTTTGGTATTTCTTGAAATTTACTGTTTTTACTGCTTTTTGGAATTTTTTGTTTTTTTTTGGAATTTTTCGGAACGCTTTGAAATTTAGTGTTTTTTGAAATTTTTCGGAATTTTTTGAATTTTTTTGAAATTCGGTGTTTTTACTGTTTTTTGGCATTTTTTGGAATTTTTTGAAATTTTTTGAAATTCAGTGTTTTCAGTGCTTTTTGGAATTTTCAACATTTTTTGGAATTTTTCGGAATTTTCTGGAATTTGGGTTTTTCATTGCTTTTTGGACTTTTTTGTTTTTTTTAAATTTTTTGTAATTTTTTGGTATTTCTTGAAATTTACTGTTTTTACTGCTTTTTGGAATTTTTTGTTTTTTTTTGGAATTTTTCGGAACTCTTTGAAATTTAGTGTTTTTTGAAATTTTTCGGAATTTTTCGAATTTTTTTGAAATTTGGTGTTTTTACTGTTTTTTGGCATTTTTTGGAATTTTTTGAAATTTTTTGAAAGTTTTTGAAATTTTTTGAAATTTTTTGAAATTCTCTGAAATTTAGTGTTTTCAGTGCTTTTTCGAATTTTCAGCATTTTTTGGAATTTTGATTTTTCATTGGTTTTTGGACTTTTTTGTTTTTCTTCAAATTTTCTGTAATTTCTTGGTATTTCTTAAAATTTACTGTTTTTACTGCTTTTTGGATTTTTTTGTTTTTTTTTTGGAATTTGGTGTTTTTTGAAATTTTTCGGGATTTTTTGAATTTTTTTGAAATTTGGTGTTTTTACTGTTTTTTGGCATTTTTTGAAATTTTTCGGAATTTTTTGGAATTTTAAGGAATTTTCTGGAATTTGGTTTTTCATTGCTTTTTGGACTTTTTTGTTCTTTTTTAAATTTTTTGGTTATTTTTGAAATTTACTGTTTTTACTGCTTTTTGGAATTTTTTGTTTTTTTTTGGAATTTTTCGGAACGCTTTGAAATTTAGTGTTTTTTGAAATTTTTCGGAATTTTTCGAATTTTTTTGAAATTTGTTGTTTTTACTGTTTTTTGAATTTTTTTGAAATTTAGTGTTTTCAGTGCTTTTTGGAATTTTCAGCATTTTTTTGAATTTTTCGGAATTTTTTCGAATTTGGGTTTTTCATTGCTTTTTGGATTTTTTTTTTTTTTGTTTTAAATTTTCCAAAAAGCAGTAAAAACAGCAGATTTCAAAAAATTCCAAGAAATACCAAAAAATGCCAAACAAGTCCAAAAAATATCAAATTTCAAAAAGCAGACAAAAAATTCCAAAAAGCAGTAGAAATGCCAAAAGATTCCAAAAAACAGTGCTTTTTGGAATTTAGCGTACTGAATTTAATTCAAACAATTCTTTTTCAGTGGATTTACAATAGAAATCGGCGCAGCCTTCACAGTATTACTAGCGAGCAAAATCGGCATTCCAATTTCCACGACCCACTGCAAAGTAGGCTCAGTCGTTTTCGTCGGCTACTTCAGTGCGTCGAAAAAGGGGGTCGATTGGAGTCTTTTCAGGTAAAATTCCTTTAAAATTTTTACAAAATAATCAAAATTCGTTTTTTTTTTTACAGGAACATTATCTACGCTTGGGTGATAACGGTGCCCATTGCCGCCCTCCTATCGGCCGGTTTGATGTTCCTACTCAGTTACCTACTTTAAGTTTTCAAATAGAGCTGTGGTGTTAGGTTATAAAAAAAAAATAAAGAAAAATCGGTGTTTTATCCCATCAATTGATATTTACTATTATTTTAAAAACAAATTGGCAACGTTGCAATTTCTGTGTCAAATCATTTATTTATTCTACTATAAATACGTACACACCTAATTTACAACTAATTTAGTTTTTAAACAACTAATTTCCAATAAAAATAATATTAATTATACAAAAGAAAAGTTAAAAAAATCAAAGTGTGGCAACGTTGCAACGATAACTGAAAATTAAAGCAATAAAAAAAAAATACAAGTTGGGTTTGCAACGTTGCAAAAAAATTTATTTACATAAAATTCCCTAATTAATTATCATCATCAATAATGGTGATCTCGTTGACGTTTTCCTCAATTGTGACCTCATTGACGTCCTCCTCTAGAGTGACCTCGTTGACAAAAACCTCTTCAGGCTGACTTTGAACCGATTGACGGAAAATGTCTTCGCTCAAAAATTGATTTTCATCCATGACTTCTTCTTCTGTCATTTCTTCAGTGATTTCGTCGTCTTGAATTTCGTGAACGATTTCGGAATCATCGAAAACTGTCAACAAGAAATTTTAGTTAAAACATGTAAATAAGATGGAAGTGTCAAGGGGAATGTGACGTCATAATCTATGTGCAGTGATTAGTGTGCAGCTACTTATGTCAATATGAATGAGGTTGTTTGAAAGAGGAGGTTGCGTAATAAGTTTTATGACGTCATTGGTATGCAAGGTGGTATTAAGGATATTACACGCTATACAGATATTCTTGGCTCTTGATTGGTTCTAAAATTCAAATTTTGAATATTCCCGGCTCATGATTGGTTTAGAAATTGAATCAAAAGCTGGGAATCTTTGAAATTTGAATTTTTAATTAAAATTTGAAGTTAATCGAGAATAACCAAGAATAATCAAAAATTCAATTTCTAAACCAATCATGAGTCGGGAATAATCAAAATTTGAATTTCAAAGACAATCAAGAGCCGGGAATATCCAAAATTTAAATTTCTAAGCTAATCAAGAGCCAGGAATATAAATAAAAAAAAAATTGAAAATTGAGAAAAGTGGAAAAAAAAAAATAAAAATTGAAAATTGAGAAAATTGAAAAAACGAAAAAAGTGAAAAAATTGAAAAAGAAAAAACGAAAAAAGTGAAAAAAAAAAATAATTGAAAATTGCGAAAAGTGAAATAAAAAAAAATTAAAAATTGAAAATCAAGAAAATTGAGAAAATTGAAAGAACGAAAAGAGTGAAAAAAAAAAAATTGAAAATTAAGAAAATTGAGAAAATTGAAAGAACGAAAAGAGTGAAAAAAAAAAAATTGAAAATTAAGAAAATTGGAAAAACGGAAAAAGTAAAAAAAAAAATAGAAAAAAAATTGAAAAAAAAAACGTTAGGTAGTAAAAATTAAGAAAAGTAAAAAAAAAAAAAAAATTGAGAAAATTGGAAAAAACAAGAATTGAGAAAATTGAAAAAACGAAAAAAGGGAAAAAAAAACATTTGGTAGTAAAATTGAGAAAATTGAAGAAAAAAAAATATAAATAAAAATTGAAAATTGAGAAAATTGAAAAAACGAAAAAAGTGAAAAAATTGAAGAAACGAAAAAAGTGAAAAAAATTAAAAAAAAAAAATTGAAAATTGAGAATAGTGAAAAAAAAAAAATTAAAAATTAAAAATTAAGAAAATTGAGAAAATTGAAAAAACGGAAAAAGTGAAAAAAAAAAAATGAAAATTGAGAAAATTGGAAAAACGAAAAAAGTGAAAAAAAAAAATGAAAATTAAGAAAATTGGAAAAACGAAAAAACTTTAAAAAAATTAAACAAAAAAAAAATTGAAAATTGAGAAAAGTGAAAAAAAAAAAAATTAAAATTAAGAATATTGAGAAAATTGGAAAAACAAAAAAAGTGAAAATTAAGAAAATTGTGAAAAAAAAAAAATTGTAAAATTAAGAAAATTGAGAAAATTGGAAAAACAAAAAAAGTGAAAAAAAAAATAGAAAATTGGAAAAAAAAAATTAAAAATTGAGAAAATTGGAAAAAAAAAGAATTGAGGAAATTGGAAAAATGAAAAAAGGGGAAAAAAAAAATATAAATAAAAATTGAAAATTGAGAAAATTGAAAAAACGAAAAAAGTGAAAAAATTGAAGAAACGAAAAAAGTGAAAAAAAATTAAAAAAAAAAAATTGAAAATTGAGAATAGTGAAAAAAAAAAATTAAAAATTAAAAATTAAGAAAATTGAGAAAATTGAAAAAACGGAAAAAGTGAAATAAAAAAAATGAAAATTGAGAAAATTGGAAAAACGAAAAAAGTGAAAAAAAAAAATGAAAATTAAGAAAATTGGAAAAACGAAAAAACTTTAAAAAAATTAAACAAAAAAAAAATTGAAAATTGAGAAAAGTGAAAAAAAAAAATTGAAAATTAAGAAAATTAAGAAAATTGGAAAAACAAAAAAAGTGAAAAAAAAATTAGAAAATTGGAAAAAAAAAATTAAAAATTGAGAAAATTGGAAAAAAAAAGAATTGAGGAAATTGGAAAAATGAAAAAAGGGGAAAAAAAAAATATAAATAAAAATTGAAAATTGGGAAAATTGAAAAAACGAAAAAAGTGAAAAAATTGAAAAAACGGAAAATGTGAAAAAAAATTAAAAAAAAAAAAATTGAAAATTGAGAAGTAAAAAAATTAAAAATTAAAAATTAAGAAAATTAAGAAAATTGAAAAAACGAAAAAAGTGAAAAAAAAAAAAAAAATGAAAATTGGAAAAATGAAAAAAGTGGAAAAAAAAAATTTTAAAAAAAAAAAATTGAAAATTGAGAAAGGTGAAAAAAAAAAAATTAAAAATTAAAAATTAAGGAAATTGAGAAAATTAAAATAACGAAAAAAGTGAAAAAAAAAAAAATGAAAATTGAGAAAATTGGAAAAACGAAAGTGATAAAAAAAAATAATTAAAATTAAGAAAAAAAAATGAAAATTGAGAAAATTGGAAAAACGAAAAAAGGGGAAAAAAAAACATTTGGTAGTAAAATTGAGAAAATTGAAAAAAAAATATAAATAAAAATTGAAAAAACGAAAAAAGTGAAAAAAAAAATTTAAAAAAAAAAATTGAAAATTGAGAAAGGTAAAAAAAAAAAAAAAATTGAAAATTAAGAAAATTAAGAAAATTGAAAAACGAAGAGAGTGAAAAAAAAAAAAAATTGAGAAAATTGGAAAAAAAAAATTGAGAAAATTGGAAAAACGAAAAAAAGGGGAAAAAAAACATTTGGTGGTAAAATTGAGAAAATTGAAAAAAAAATATAAATAAAAATTGAAAATTGAGAAAATTGAAAAAATGAAAAAATTGAAAAAACGAAAAAAGTGAAAAAAATAAATAAATTGAAAATTGAGAAGAGTGAAAAAAAAAAAATAAAAATTAAAAATTAAGAAAATTGAAAAAATTGGAAAAACGAAAAAAGTGGAAAAAAAAAATTAAAAAAAAAAAAAAAATTGAAAATTGAGAAAATTGAAAAAAACGAAAAAAGTGAAAAAATTAAAAAAGAAAAAACGAAAAAAAAAAAAATCAAAATTGAGAAGAGTGAAAAAAAAAATTAAAAATTGAAAATTAAGAAAATTGAGAAAATTGAAAGAACGAAGAGAGTGAAAATTGGAAAAAAAAAAGAATTGAGAAAATTGGAAAAACGAAAAAAGGGAAAAAAAAAAACATTTGGTGGTAAAATTGAGAAAATTGAAAAAAAAATATAAATAAAAATTGAAAATTGAGAAAATTGAAAAAACGAAAAAAATGAAAAAATTGAAAAAACTAAAAAAGTGAAAAAAAAAAAAATTGAAAATTGAGAAGAGTGAAAAAAAAAATTAAAAATTAAAAATTAAGAAAATTGAAAAAACGGAAAGTGAAAAAAAAAAAAATGAAAATTGAGAAAATCGGAAAAATGAAAAAAGTGAAAAAAAAAAAAATGAAAATTAAGAAAATTGGAAAAACGAAAAAAGTGAAAAAAAAAATTTAAAAAAAAAAATTGAAAATTGAGAAGAGTGAAAAAAAAAAAAAAATGAAAATTAAGAATATTGAGAAAATTGGAAAAACAAAAAAAGTGAAAATTGAGAAAATTGTGAAAAAAAAAAAATTGAGAAAATTGGAAAAAAGAAATTGAGAAAATTGAAAAAAAAAAAAAAAAAAAATTGAAAATTGAGAAAATTGAAAAAACGAAAAAAGTGAAAAATTGAAAAAACGAAAAAAGTGAAAAAAAAAAAAAAATTGAAAATTGAGAAAATTGGAGAAACGAAAAAAGTGAAGAAAAAAAAATACAAAAAAAAAAAGTTGAAAATTGAGAAAAGTGAAAAAAAAAAAAAATTAAAAATTAAAAATTAAAAATTAAGAAAATTGAGAATATTAAAAAACGAAAAAAGTGAAAAAAAAAAAAAAAAAATAAGAAAATTGGAAAAACAAAAAAAGTGAAAAAAAAAATTTAAAAAAAAAAATTGAAAATTGAGAAAATTAAAAAAAACGAAAAAAGTGAAAAAGAAAAAATTGAAAATTGAGAAAATTGAAAAAATGAAAAAAGTGAAAAAAAAAAAACAAACGAAAATTAAGAAAATTAGAAAAACGAAAAAAGTGAAAAAAAATATAATTTAAAAAAAAAAAAAACGTTAAGTAGTCAAAATTGAGAACATTGGAAAAACGAAAAAAGTGAAATAAAAAAAACAAAAAATTGAGAAAATTGGAAAAACGAAAAGAGTGAAAAAAAAAAAAATTGAAAATTGACCAGCCGTTTATATTTTATCTTCCTTCAATGAATACGATTGAAAAAAGACAAAGGATATCAGCTGGTGATCCGGTTAATCGGATTAGCATTTCCGAAAAGGCCTAAAGTAAGTCGATAGTCGATACGTTTACGGATGCGGATCGACACTGCCACTCTGATGGTGTTTTGTTTTGAAAAACAAAAAAGCTAGGTTAGGGCTCATGATCACTGATCAGTTTGTGTTTTTTCAAGTACAAGATGAGTACAAGTCACCAGGCTCAGTTGTCATTGGTTGCAAGTAATAAAACTGAAAGTGATAATTTTTAGAAAGAATACATCCTTATGTGACATAAACAGTTAACAACAACTTAAATGAGTGATGATGTCGACAACGGTGCAACACTATGACCTTGATTTTAAAAATTGAAGCCCATGAGCAATTTTGTGGTGTAATGTGTAATATCCTTGAGGTGGCATTAGATTTGTATGTTAATAATCAAGAGGAGGTTGCATAGTAAATATTGGTCACAAAATGTTTACACATCAGTGTCAGCCAATACTGAGACAATTTCTTACCTTCAACGCCATCTTCCTGTTCCACATACTCCTCTTCCTGTAAGATTTCCTCTTCAATATACTCTGGCATGTCTTCTTGGTCTGTGTAGTGGACTTCTTCGGTTGCTTCTACAGTTTCTTCTTCGCTGTCAAAAACTTCCTGCTTCAAGTTTGTGCAGGCAAATTCGTTTTCGTCAATGTTGATCTCTTCAACTGGAACAACTGGTTGTTTTTGTTGTCTGACAATTTGTGTGTGTACCAGTGGTCTTTTGATGTACTTGGTCGGTTTTAAGATGATAGTTTTGGGAATTTGTTGTTTGTTTTTTATTGTAGCTATTTTTGGTTCTTGTTGCAGCTGAATTGTGTTCTGGATTTGTTGGGTGCGTTGCTGCAACCGAATCGGTGCACTCTGAACTTGGGTCTGAGGCTTTTTGATGATTTTTGTAGGCTTCAAAACAACAGCTTTGGGAATATTTCCGCTTCCTTGCGGTACCACTTTAAGTATGACGTTTTTGCCTGAAGCTGTTTTGACCATTACTAGATTAGAAGCAAACTTTGGCTGAGTCACTTTGGGAGTAGTTTGAGCCGCAGGTTTAGTCTTTTTCGATTCAAAACTTGTGGAAGTTCTATTAGATGGATCCACTGTTAAACCGTAATGGATGTCAGCGTTCCAAGGATTAAATTTTTTAGGAGTTATAATGCCATTTTCTCCAATAATATATTCTTGAGCTCCATCTTCTCCTTCCTCTTGCGATTCGTCACCGGTTTCAGTTTTTTGTATGCGCATTATTTTTTGTACTTTTTGATAAACAACATCGTCTTCGCCTTCTCGTGAAGAATTCCTTCTGCGCCTAGTAATAGTATATTGCATGGAATCATAGCCTTCTCTGCGCATCATGTCAGGCAAATACCTGCGTCTTGCGTTGATAAACCAGTTGCTAATTTGCAACACTGTAAGACCGGTTTCCTGAGACAAAACATGTTTTTCAATTTCAGTTGGATAAGCGTTGAAACGGTGCTCGTAAAGCCAATTTTTTAGGGTTTTTACAGAGTCTTTGGGCAAATGGCCGCGGCGTTTGATGGTGCGTTGGATGAATTCGTATTCGGGCTCGAAAGTTGTTGTGTACATGATTTGCTCGGTGAGGCCGTCGCCTTCGGAGGTGAGAGATTCATCTTCTTCCATGCTGCTTGCGTCCAAATGGCTCTGGTCTATGTGGAGGACTGAAATTGGAGAATTAGGAATTAGTTTTACAGGTTTGTAGAGAATTTAATTGGCTTCAATTAGAGCCTAATTGCGTTAAAATCGGATGAAAATTAAAGAAGTTATGAGGCCAAAATTGTCTCAGTGTCATTTTTGGAAAATTTTCAATTTTGAAACAAAAAACATATTAGGCGGGATTATCAATATACGGGGCGAGTTCTCATATTTGACACTTTTCTGACATCCTTGACATGTAAGAACCCGTATTCTAACCTCATAAAAATTTCAAAATGCCTGCTGGTTGACAAAAGTCACGTGGTTTGAATAGATTCCCTAAAGCCTAGTACTCATAACCGCGAAATTCAGACTTTTTTGATACTGCTTCGACAATTTGACGTTTGATTCACGCATAAAACGTCAAAGCAATGTCAAAAAAGAGCGAATTTCGCTGTTATGAGTGCTAAGCTTAATTAGGTAATTAAAACCACGCCTAAACCACGAGTTACAATAATTGCTGTATTCCTTTTACCCGTTGAGTTACTCGGAGCTGCTCAATATCAAAAATTTGAATATATTTTTTTAAAAATGCGTTGAGCTCATAGTGCACCCCCTTTCCTTTGATGTACCAAATTTGCCGGCTCTTGGTTGGGATCTTAGAGCAAATCAAAGTAAAATACTACTACGGCCATTTTTATTGAAAAACACAATTTTAAAATGGCCGTCCAAGGCCTACTTTGATGTTTATTTCGAAAGGTGAAGTTAGCTGATATTACAGGGACTCAATACACCTTTACGGTGGCGACAATGGAGATCCCGTCACCATATTTTTGCTAATTTTGAATATTTTTTTGGTAAATATAGAAGTCTCCGCTGCCATATTCTTGCCAATTTTTAATATAAACATATAGGATTTCAAAAATAGGACGGCAATTGTTGCCATTGTAGCTAATATAACAGTTTCCACTTACCAAAGGAATATTTCCTATGAAAAATGGCATTTTATTTGAATATTATGCAAAATCCAATTCCTCGTATCAAAACAAACATTTTCCGCACTAAAATCCATTGAAAATCGGAAAATATTCAAGAAAAACCAATGACGGCCAAAAAACAAAATTTTAAAATGGCCGCCCAAGATCTGCTTTGATGTTTTTGAAACGTGAAGTTAGCTAATGAATAATTTTCACTTTACTTGAAATTAGATTTCCCTTGAAAATTCAATTTTTTGCACCTTGCACCCCAATAAACGTTATTTTCCATATAAAACTAACAAAAAAGGCAATAGGGCAAACCAATGACTTGTCAAAACATATCAATTCAATATGGCGGTAACGGTCAAGCATCTGCGATGTGTATTTAGGAGTATAGAAATATCAAAACCCAATGTGACGGTTATGGTCAAACAATAAAATTGGCACCAAAAATATAGTTTACTTTTAGACAACCGTGTTCTCTGTGTGTAATTTGTGGATTTTTAAGGGGATTTTCTATTGCTCAAAAAGGATAATTTACTTATTTTCGTAGTGTATAAATAAAAAAATAAACACACATCACAGTTGTTTGACCGTTGCCACCATATTGAATTTATGTTTCCTTGGATTGCAGGAATAATACACACTACTAAAGGATTGTTTATCTTCTAGGACTTTTACAAGGAATATTCAATTCATCTCTCAAAATATTAATGTAAAGTGAGTGGTATACACCAAAGTCCGAAGTTGACTGGCCCACCGAGATTTACTTGGTATCTCGACGGCTCAATCCGGGCCTGCTATTAGCTGCTGATAATGATGACGTCACCCGTAGTCCCAACCCAACCTCAACTTACAAATGCACAGAAGTGCATTTTTTATCGATTCCCGGCGGTTGCCAGTTGAAACTTCATGATAACTGTCAAAGCTGTAACTAGGGTTGCCAAGTTTTTGAAATGGAAAAGCGGGAGGTTTAAATTTTTGTAGTAGTCAAAACATCCTGTCAGTCAAATGTACTTTTTGTTAAACAAATTACTTGCCAACTCGTTTTTTCCAGAAAAATTAAAAGCACTTATGATATTATCCCCGAGAAATTATTTTCCTTTTAATAACACCCTTATTTTTACTCTTAAGCCAAGGTTGTTTGAGAGAGGTAGGCTGCTTTATGTCGTCATCTGGAGTGTCTAAGCATAATACAAATCTCCATAAGGCACCGCAGGTGCGTCATCAAGTTACCCATTACCAGACAACCTATGAACTTTAGAAACTTTGCTCTAAAACTATCTAGATCTGCTTGGAGCAAGAAGAGTAGATTTGAATGAAAAGGCTTTGGAGTGCATGCGTAATCGATGGTACAATAGATGGCTGGCAATATTAGGTTACCTGATAATTTTTATATATGACCAACCAATGGCCTCAACAAAATGCAAATCTCCATAAGGCACATTCGATGACGTCATCAAGTTACCCATTAGTCATTACCCACCCATTACCAGGCCTAAATATCAAATAAAGATGCAAATGCCCGATGGCGAAAAAAAAAAAAATATATTTTGCTAAATATTGAATTATTATTTTTTTTTTTAGTCAAATGGGAAATTGTTGAAAAACGGGAGTCTCCCGCCTAAATCGGGAGGGTTGGCAACCCTAGCTGTAACACGTGACGTTGTCTGAATTATGCAATTCAGAGGCCGGATTCTATTTTACGAGTCGAGTCGAAATTCGTATCGAATTGTCAAAATAGCGATTCTATTTTTCAATTTTTCCATACGTATTACACGGTACGTCCGGAGCTGTCGTATTCGATATCGAGACAATTCGACTCGACTCGTAAAATAGAATCCGGGGGCTGATCACATGATTCAATATGGCCGAAATTCCACGATTCAATATGGCCGTTCAGGTTAAATATTGTGGTGATGTTCATGTGAAAAGCATTTTATTTTCCAGGTATTTTGGCACCAAAAATACTTTGCCTGTATTTTGGTGCCAAACACCTGCTAAAAACTTGACTTCACTTTAGTTTCATAAGCAGAATGGCGCGTTCCTACACCTTATGTCCGTAGGACAGCGCTTTACCTGCTCTAAGGTTGAGATGGTTGGGATTGAGTACCTACGCCATTTTATTTCCAATATTCAATGAAAACGCCATTTTGTAGGTTTTCCATGTATGACAAACAAAATGGTGACATTTTAAGCCAATCAAGAGCCGGGAATAATTGAAATTTTGAAGCATCTTAGCTAATAAATAAAATGCTCTATACTTCAACATGAAAGCTTAACTATTACCTGCTTTTTATTGGAGTACTTACATCTCCATATTTTTTTTCAAGTGAGCATTATGCATTATAAACTTAACTCTATGATGTAAACAATTAATTTTTATTCATGGCTCTTGATTGACACATAAAACGCCATTTTCTTTCTTAAACTCAATGAAAATGCCATTTTGTTGGCTATCAGAGACAAAATGGCGACATTTGAAGCCAGTCAAGAGCCGGGAATAATTGAAATTTTGAAGCATCTAATGTTTTACACTTCGAGATGAAATTTTGATTATCCTTGATTGACCTTTTATATTGTAAGCTTTGTTTGAAACAAGGATTGAAAACAAATCCATTAGATGGTTTACTTGCCGCAATATATCATACAGACAAATATTGTCATTGTTGTGTTTTTGTCTCTCTTGTACACATGAAGTTTTTGAAAATTTAATATAATGACGTCATAAAAGTCTTACCATAGACATCTATGAAAGTTACCATGTTACAGTGACTCTATTACCACAGTGGCAAAAATTGCCGTTTATTTTTCATTGGTCCCTTAAAATTTTCTATATTCATATAGAAAACGCCGCCATTTTGTGCCCAGCTTCTTGCTACTAAACCATATAAAAGTATGAAAATGTAGAGAGATTGAAATATATTTGTTTTATTTTGCTTTTTGGATGTTCATTTTAAAGAATTTCCCATATTAGAGTTTTTCATTGGAAAAATTTAAAAATTTGGCATAATGAGCTTTAAGCTTTCCACTTTCCACCCCCAAAATTTTAAAATTCTGGCTTCAGTAGTTTTTCAGAAAAGTATAATAATTCAGGTAGACATATTTTGTGTTATTTTACTTTTTGGAAGTTGATTTTCAAGAATTTTCCGTGTCAGAGTTTTTCATTGGAAAAATGTGAAAATTTGGCATAATGAGCTCTTACCCTTCCACTTTCCACTCTTAAAATTTTAAAATTCTGGCTTCAATAGTTTTCCAGAAAATCATGAAAATGTAGGTAGACATAATTTGTTTTACTTTCCTCTTTGGAGGTTGATTTTCAAGAATTTCCCATATTAGAGTTTTTCATTAGAAAAATTTAAAAATTTGGCATAATGAGCTTTAAGCTTTCCACTTTCCACCTCCAAAATTTTAAAATTCTGGCTTCAGTATTTTTCCAGAAAAGTATAATAATTCAGGTAGACATATTTTGTGTTATTTTACTTTTTGGAAGTTGATTTTCAAGAATTTTCCGTGTCAGAGTTTTTCATTGGAAAAATGTGAAAATTTGGCATAATGAGCTCTTACCCTTCCACTTTCCACTCTTAAAATTATAAAATTCTGGCTTCAATAGTTTTCCAGAAAATCATGAAAATGTAGGTAGACATAATTTGTTTTACTTTCCTTTTTGGAGGTTGATTTTCAAGAATTTCCCATATTAGAGTTTTTCATTAGAAAAATTTAAAAATTTGGCATAATGAGCTTTAAGCTTTCCACTTTCCACCTCCAAAATTTTAAAATTCTGGCTTCAGTATTTTTCCAGAAAAGTATAATAATTCAGGTAGACATATTTTGTGTTATTTTACTTTTTGGAAGTTGATTTTCAAGAATTTTCCGTGTCAGAGTTTTTCATTGGAAAAATGTGAAAATTTGGCATAATGAGCTCTTACCCTTCCACTTTCCACTCTTAAAATTTTAAAATTCTGGCTTCAATAGTTTTCCAGAAAATCATGAAAATGTAGGTAGACATAATTTGTTTTACTTTCCTCTTTGGAGGTTGATTTTCAAGAATTTCCCATATCAGAGTTTTTCATTGGAAAAATTTAAAAATTTGGCACAAATGAGCTCTATACCTTTCACTTCTTACCCCCAAAATTTTAAAATTCTGGCTTCAGTAGTTTTCCAGAAAAGTATAATAATTCAGGTAGACATATTTTGTGTTATTTTACTTTTTCGAAATTGATTTTCAAGAATTTTCCATGTCAGAGTTTTTCATTGGAAAAATGTGAAAATTTGGCATAATGAGCTCTAAACTTTCCACTTTCCACCTCCAAAATTTTAAAATTCTGGCTTCAGTAGTTTTCCAGAAAAGTATAATAATTCAGGTAGACATATTTTGTGTTATTTTACTTTTTCGAAATTGATTTTCAAGAATTTTCCATGTCAGAGTTTTTCATTGGAAAAATGTGAAAATTTGGCATAATGAGCTCTTAACCTTCTACTTTCCACTCCTAAAATTTTAAAACTCTGGTTTCAGTAGTTTTCCAGAAAAGCATGAAAATGAAGATAGACATAATTTGTTTTACTTTCCTTTTTGGAGGTTGATTTTCAAGAATTTCCCATATCAGAGTTTTTCATTAGAAAAATTTGAAAATTTGGCATAATGAGCTCTAAACTTTCCACTTTGCACCCCCAAAATTTTAAAATTCTAGCTTCAACAATTATTCAGAAAAGTATGGAAATGTAGGTAGACATATTTATTTTATTTTGCTTTTTGAAGGTTGATTTTCAAGAATTTCCCATTATTGGAAAAATTTGAAAATTTGGCACAATGAGCTCTAACCTTTCACTTTTTACTCCCAAAATTTTAAAATTCTGGCTTCAATACTTTTCCAGAAAATCATGAAAATGTAGGTAGACATAATTTGTTTTACTTTCCTTTTTGGAGGTTGATTTTCAAGAATTTCCCATATCAGAGTTTTTTATTGTAATAATGAGCTCTGAACTTTCCACTTTTCACCTCTATAATTTTAAAATTTCCACCTCCAGTAGTTTTTCAAATAAAATAAAAATAATTTACAGTTTTTTTATAGAAATTTTACAAAAAATTAAGGGTTTTTAGGACCAAATTATGGACCTACTGATAAAGTCTTTGGCAAATTTATCCTACTGGTAAAATTGAATTCACTTTTTAATTTTACCAGCAGGATATATTTGCCAAAAACATTATCAGTCGGTCCATAATTTGGATCTTAAGGCAAGTATTATAAAACTATTTTGACAGAATAACTAACTAAAAGTTAACTTCTCATAATAATTCCTAATTCGAGAAATTAACTTTTAGTTATCTGTCAGAATAGTTTTATAATACCCGCCCTTAGAGCACTTTCAAAATTCACTCTAAGACTTGGTTTATCCATCTCCTGATAAAGTATAATCAAGTATTGCAATGAGTGCAATGTGATAAATAATATTATATAATAAATTATAAGTGTGTTTTCACAAAAATCACAAACTAGTCGGAGCGTTTTTGATTGGTGCAAATCGTCAACAATCAGTTTTTAGACGGTTTTCAACCAATGAAATTTGTTTGTGATTTCTGGGAGAACAGACCCTGCAATCCTATTGGTCATTCAATTATTTGTCAACCAATATGATTATAGATTGCTAAATTTATCTTGTAGATAGTTTATCTGAAGGAAACATAAATGATAAATAAACCAGACCTAAAAAATTACAAAATACTTTAAAAAAAATACCAACCTGCTTCCTGCAACTCGTATTGGGGCGAATCTGACATCTTCAAAAATTGATTTTCTCAGTATCCCAAGCCTGAAATATCAAATTTTATATAAAATTTGCCAGTAAATACGTAAAAATTTCAATAAAACACCATAATATAATCATTTTATTAGGAAAAAAATTCCAATAATTATTGCCCAAGCCGACGCCACAAAAATGGCGGCCGAACCTGACGACCCCTTGCATCAAAAGCCCGTTTGAGGTCATAAGGGGGCGTAGCGGGGCCCCAATTTCGCATCCAAAAACGTCAAAAAACGTCAAAACAAATCTCAGCAAATAAAGCCAAATTGACAAAATTCATAGAAGAGAAATGATGCATGATGGATGACAAAAATTGCTTTAAATGTCACAAGCCAACGTCACGTCAAGTCAATATTGTCAATTTTTGGGCTTTATTTGACGTTTTTGGCAAATCTTTTCGGACACAAACGACAGCGGAATGTTATAAGATTATTTAGGAATTAATTGTTTACCTGGAACGTTGCAAATTATCCGGATTTTGAGGCAAATTGCACGAGAGAAACACCAACAATCCTCGAACTGGACACGCCCTGCGCACTGGGAACACGATAATGGAAAGTTTTTGTTTTAATTGAGGCGGTAACGTCACTACTAACGCCATCTATGAAACTTTTCCAACGACTAGTGTTTTTTTGTATTTAATTATTATATTTTTGATTATAAATTTATTTAATTATTGTTTGGGTTGTGGAAATTTATTTAATTTCCTTGTTGTTTAGCCTAGAATCGATTATAAAGTGCTGTATCGATGATTTTTATTTAAAGAGCGCCATCTAGGTTTGAATAGTCAAAATACATCATTTTAATAATGAAAGTGGAAGGGGCATATGAATTATTCGGCCCTGTCCATAGGGATGGCAAACTAATTTAATATCGATATGGATCGATAGGTTTTTTCAAAAAATAGTTATTTGGTATGAGCTTTATTACAGTAACGATGTTGTAGACCTAGAGTCGTGGTAAGTTACCGTACGGGTATGTGTAATATACAACATTTTATCTACGACCCAGTTTTTTTTCTTCGTCCTTACTTTTGAAAATCTTTTGTAAATATTTGGACGAGGACCATGAACGTCGTGTAATATTACGTAGATGTAATGTAACATGACGTTTATAGACGTCACAGACAATTTCCGAAACGCGCGCCAAATATTTTTTTGTACATAACCTTAATACTTATTCTAGAATAATCCAATCCAATCCAACTGTCAAAATGAAAAACTCAATATGGCGTGGTAGCCAGCAAGTTTATTTTGAATATGTGTTTTAATGCATATTTTAATTATTTTGCTTGCAACTTTGATTTTGATTATTTAATAAAATATTTGTCGATCAGGTACGTAAACTTTTAAGTCGGGCAGAAGCTAGGTATTTTTTTTGTGTTTTTTGGTCCATGTGTGGCCGCTACGCCATCTTGAATGTCACGTGGTTTAGATTCAAGTTTAGATTGCCTAATGCACCCGTTCCCGTATCAACTTTTCTGAATCTCCAATAAACAAGAAATTGTAATATAAAAACTTTTCACTTTTTATTTTGTTCGTATAGTATTTATATGTAAGAGTCGACGTCTACCGTTGTTGTGTCAACTCATTATATTCAAAATGTCGTCTATAGACGTTGTGTCACATTACTTCGATAAAAATTAGACATCTATAGACGTTCTGTCTATCAATATGATTGGTAAAAGATGTTTATACGTCATCGTCTGGCGCGTTCTAAGGATTTTAAACTTTTCCACATTTGAAGTGCCTAAAATAGTCCTTCATTTAAGATTTTATACCTATAAATTGGGTATATAATTTTTAGTGAAAGTGCCCATCATTATCGCCAGATTGTGATTTGGACCCAAGGTTGTTTATGAGAGGCTGCCTAATAAATGTATGACGTCATCTGGAGTGTCTCAACATAATGCCAATCTCCATGAGCCACCCCAGCTGACGTCATCAAGCTACCCCTTGCTTGACAACCTATTAACTTTAGAAACCTTTAATTGCTTGATAACTTTTATGACATCATCTGGAGTGCCTCAACATAATGCAAATTTCTATAAGGCACCCACAACTTATCAACTTTAGGAACCTTGGTTTGGATCAAAGTTATTCAAAGAGGTAAGTTATTTGATAACTTTTATGACGTTACCTATGATGTAATCCTAAACATAATACAAATCTTCATAAGAACCACCTGTTGACGTCATCTGTTTGCCATCACCAGACAACCTATTACGAGAAATTAAAATTTTGCAAATGATATCTGCAACGTCGCCGAAATTTGATGTAAGGGCGAAATCTCGATTCAATCCCTATCGCGCTATCTGCCTCTCTCTCTTTCTTGCACTGTTGACTGTTTCTCTCTCTCTTGCTTGCCTAAACCCAACTGGAGCGTTAACAAATTCAGACGTGTTGGCTCAATCCCAAAAAAATGTTTAGATTGCATCTAAAGAAGTTTTCAGTTCAAAATAAAAATTATCATCTCTGTTTAATACATTTGAAATGACAAAGAAGAAAGGTAACACCAGTTTTCCAAAGCCCATTTTGATTATCAAAAAATGAGTTTTGAAATATTTCCATCTTTGTCTAATGCATTTGAAACGACAAAGAGAAAAGATAAAATTAAATAAAATGGTACAAACTCATTGGATATTGTCAATCCAACGAGGTTTGTTTGAACAAAATAATCGAAAGTTTTTACTTATTTTTTCCTATTGTTTCCAACAAGTTTCTATTGACTTTCAATAATGTTTCAACGAGTTTATAAACAAGAAAATTGTTTTGATTTAGTTTTTTTATCGTCTCAACGAGTGTCTAATATTTGAATAATCTTGCATTTGAATTGAATCTCATTGTAAAGAAAAAGATGTATGCGGAATATAATTATCCTTGTTTAATATATATTTGAAACGATAAAGAGAACAAATGGCATCAAGTTTGACTCGTTTTGATGTTGTTAAAAAAACAATCAAATACACTATTCAATATCCATTTCTGACACATTTGAAACGAGAAAGTCAAAAAAAAAAAAATCACCATCTCTGTCTAATGCATTTGAAACGATAAAGAAAAAAGATAACGTTAACATATTTCCAAAGTCTACTTTAATCATTAAAAAATCAATTTGAAAATATTTTCATCTTTGTCTAATGCATTAGAAACGACAAAGAGAAAAGATAAAATTAAATGCACAAACTTATTGAAATAAATTATTTTGTCAATTTTGTTGAAACATGATTTTTAAAAATTTCCATCGAGTTTCTATTGAAGATGATTCAAAGAGTTCTGGGAATATGAAGAAATTATGAAGAAACAAGAAAATTTGTTATTCAATATTCTTCTTTGTTTAGCACATTTGAAATAATAAAGACACAAAAACTACATCTATTTTAATGCATTGCCTATATTATTTGAAAAAAAATCTATCATCCCTGTCTAATACATATAAAATGATAAAGGAAGAAAGATAACACAAACTTCACAAAGCCTACTTAAATCATGGAACGAGTTTTGAAATATTTTCATCTTTGTCTAATGCATCTGAAATGACAAAAAGAAGAGATAAAATTAAACGAGCAAACTCATTAGATTGAATACTTCTGTCAATTCTATAAGAGTTTCCAATGAATTTCAATAATCCCGTTTTTATTCAATTGCCATGGCATTATAATGTCAATGACATTGGAAAACTTGTTTATTGAAGATATTTATCCTTGTCTAATGTATTTGAAATGATAAAGACAAAAAAAAAACACGAATTTTCCAAAGCCTACTTTGATCATCAAATGAGTTTTGAAATATTTTCATTTCTGTCTAATTCATTTAAAACGACAAAGATAATAGGTAAAATTAAATAGGCAAACCTGTTGGATTGTATCCTTTAGTCCATCCAACAAGGTCGGGTTTTTATTAGGAATTGTTAAAATATGAATTTTATTTTTTCAATGAGTTTCTATTGAATAAATATGTTTCATCATCATTATTAATTCTTTGTCTAGCACATTTAAAAGACAAAAATAACATCAATTGTCATGGATTGCCTCTTCTAATATTTGTAAAAATCTATCATTTCTGTTTAATGCATTTAAAATGATAAAGAAGAACAATTTTTCAAAGCCTTCTTTGACTTTAATCATCAAATTAAGTTTTGAAATATTTTCATCTCTATCTAAATCACCTGAAACAACAAAGAGGAAAGATAAAATAAAATGAATTGGGCATAGACTTTAGATTATATTCTTTTGTTGATCCAACGGTTTTCTCTAATAATGTTGGCACAAAAAAGTATGCCTGCTAGACAGTTTATAAACATTTCTTTCTAGCAAACGATAAAAATAAGAAAATAGCATCAATTTTGACACATTGGGAGCTTATTTTGATATATGTTTGTCGAATATTTGTATCCTTGTTTAATGCATTTGAAACGATAAAGAGAAAAGATAAAATTAATTTGGAAACTCATTGGATTAATTGTTTTTGTCAACGAGTTTTTATTGAATTCCAACGACTTTCTTTCTAATGTTTGAACAACCTTGAAAGTGCTCATTGAATTTTGTAGAATATATTTATCCTTGTCTAATGCATTCGAAACGATAAAGAAAACAGATAAGAATTGACACATTACAACTTTTTTTTGATGATTTTCAAAGAATAAACCAATACGCTATTCAGTATCTGTTTCTGTCTATAGACTGCAGGTGGACATTCCCAGAAATCGTACTCTATTTTACTTCGAGCGGCATTTCGTGCAATTTGCCAACTTGACGTTTCTAGGGTATTTCGACCCCGCTGAATCGGAATCCGGATGTTGCCAAGCCGAATTTTGCCTCAAATCCAAGATGGCGGTCAAACTAAGGGCCTAAATGACATTTTTCTTGAAGTGCATCGTTATTGACCGACGAGATTTCGTTTCTAAGATTTTTGGGGTCGCTGAACATGAATATAAGTACCGAAAGTCGATTCGGATACCGGAAGTACCATAATTCAAGATGGCGGCCGTCGGAGGCCTAAATACAGAACTTTGGCATATTGTCAAGTGCGGCGTATTGACACTTATGTTTTTGACGTCGACTAGATTAAAAATTAGCACCAGATTAGGCAACCGGAAGTACCGTAATCCAAGATGGCGAGCGGTTGGGGCCCGAAAACCTTTAAGTTGCAATAATATGCTGGGTATGACCACAAGTGTTTTGGAGGTCGCTGAACATGAATTTGAAATCGAAAAAGCGATAGGCAATTACATGTTAACACAGGCCCATGACGGCCGCCATCTTAAATTATGGTACTTCCGGTATTCGAATCGACTTCCGGTACTCATATTCATGTTTAGTGACCCCAGAAACATATGAAACGAAATCTCGCCGGTCAATAACGATACACTTTAAGAAAAATGTCATTTTAAGCCCTTAGTTTGGCTGCCATTTTGGATTTGAGGCAAAATTCGGCTTGGCAACATCCGGATCTGGATTCAGCGGGGTCGAAATACCTTAGAAACGTCAAGTTGGTGAAGTTCGCACGAAATGCCGCTCGGAGTAAAATTTCTGCACCAGTCTACTAGCACATTTAAAACGATAAAGACAAAATGTAACA